GTTACATACAGACATACTGCTTTGCACAGTCAGAAGTGAAATCAACTTACGAGATCAGGGTTTCCAAAATAAGGATGCCAGGATCTGGGGACCCCCCCCCACTGTCCCTGGCAGATATCGTAGTGCACAGCTGGCTCGAGGCAGAATACAATGAACCTCCATGTTCAGGGTGTTCATGTTTATGTGTGAAGAGCAGCAGACTCCGACATTGTTGCTGTTCTTTCTCCTAGGATGCTCCTGTGCTGACGTTACTTAGCAACGCGACAGTCCCAATACTGACAAACATCCATCGAACAACTTGCATTCAATTTAGAGCAGACAGACAATGTATAGGGCTGCACGCTGGTTCAGTGGTTAGCTCTGTCCCCTCACAGTGAGGAGGTTCCTGGTTTGAATCCCCGTCTGACAGGAGCCTCACAGTGTGGAGGTTCCTGGTTTGAATCCCCGTCTGACAGGAGCCTCTCTGTGTGGAGGTTCCTGGTTTGAATCCCCGTCTGTCAGGAGCCTCTCTGTGAGGAGTCTGCATGTTCTCCCCATGCATGTGTGGGTTCTCTCCAGGTACTCCGGCTTCCTCCCACAGTCCAAAGACATGCTCGTTAGGTTCATTGCTTTTCTAGTCTTCTGACTACTCAAAGCGCTTTTTCACTGTAGGTCACACCTTCACATTGGCACACTGATGGTAGAGTTTTCTTTGTAGTGACCTAGTAACTAATCCATTCATACGCTGTGACAAAGCAGTGGGAGTAATTAAGAGTTTAAGTGTCTCGCCCAATGACAGCAGGGATCAGCTTCAGCACCCCGCGACCCTGAACGGGAATAGCGGTATAGCTAATGAATGGACAGACAATGTGTATCAATGTCTACAGCAGATGATGTATATCACACAGTAAAAAGTAGCCCGCCACAAGTCAAACTATATAAAAGTACAATGCACAGGTAAGAAGAGAGAAATGTTGGTGCATGCTCAGGTAGAAGGTGTATAAAACTACAAACAATCAGTCAAAGAACATTCACTGGGTTCATCTTTATGTGTAAGCATTTCTCAGCAGTTAAGGCATGCGTGTGTGTTTGTTTGCATGTGCGTGTTTGTGTGTGTGTGTGTCATGGTCGTGGTCATGGTCGTATCTGTCCTCAGCTGAACCCTCTGTGCTGCAGCCAACTGGTCGGAATAAATCAATAAAAACCATCGAGCTGCATCGAGACTTTAGAGTGCTGGTGTCACTTTCTTTTCCTGAGTGCTGCATTTACAGAGCCTGGAGAACATCCACACACACACACACACACACACACACACACACACACACATTTCATTGACTCTGGCTGCACAGAGTTAGTAAAGGATCAGCTTTGTTATGACTTAGAGCTCTGATAAACATGGATGATACAGTGCATGTGGCACTTTACAGTTATTCTAAAAGTATCTGACACACACACACACACATATCAGCCTACTGTGCACTTCACGGTCGGACGTCGCCGTCTATAATGTGCAGCCAATGAAAGTCCCCCCATTTCAAGGCCTGCTGAAGAGTTTAGAGCAGGCTGTGGATAAAGTGAGGAAGCTGAAATGGAAGTCGAAGAGGAATGCGGGTTATGTGAGGCATGCTCAACTCGGTGACCTTCAAAGCACTCTGCGTCTCTTCTTCCTCCCCCTCGCCATCTCTTCGCGGTTTGCCAATCTGCCTTTATTAACTTAAACTTTCTCCCTGACTTGACCACATTTAGTCTCATGATGCTGGAGCTGCAAGGAAACACCAGGAAACATCCAGTCAATGAGAAGTGTAGTGACTGAAATGATAAAGTGAGCTTACTATATGATCAGACATTAAGGAAACATGCTATGTTGAAGTGCTGGCTTCTCTGACAACAATGCAGCAGCCAGTATGTCCTCCTTCTAACTTTAGATTCTGGTCCTGAATGCTCTGGATTTGTTTGGACCAGAGAAGGTAGGCGGTTTTAAGGTGACCCCCCACGGCCGTTTTGGACGCCCCTTGGTTTGCCAGATATGAGAGCAGTTATCAGGTCAAACCAACAGGTGTTGCAGTGATGGAAGCAGCAAGAGAACTGGTTCAGATAGAAGTGATTGTACCCGACCTAAAAAGCCTCTGCATGTTTCTAATAAGCTCCACGAGCAGAAACGTGCTCAAACTAGGATCAATTTTGGAGATGCTTTTGAAAAATGGAGAGAGGTTAGAACACAGAAAGGTTTACAGACCGATGCAGAGCTGGCTAAACACTGAAGCTTCAGTGTCCACCACATGGCGTGCGTGCGTGCGTGCGTGCGTGCGTGCGTGCGTGCGTGCGTGCGTGCGTGCGCGCGTATCTGCGCGTGTGCGCGTCTGCGTGTGTGCGCGCGTGTGTGTTGAGGTCTCATAAACGGCCTTTGTCGCCTGTTTGGCTAATGACTCAAACCTCTAAGTTGGGTCTGTGATTGGAGGTCGAGGACCTGTGCCAGGTCTACAGTGTCCCAGGACCAGAACAAGACATGCAGTGCCTCTGGACTCCTCTGATAAATTCATTGTCTGTTACACATCCATAACTAATTAGAATAATGCAGACAGGAGAGCAGGACTGAACGCTGTGGGAGAAGCCCGTCATACCCGGAGCTTCTAGGGTGGCCAACTGAACCTCTGAGGTCTCTTCTTATATCTGCACTTTAACCCTTCGTCCTACACCGAGTCATAGAACCAGACTTTAAGGACCTTTGGATCCTGGCAGCGCCTACCACTTTACCTCTGACGCCTTCTCACCGGCGCTTACTGTTACTATGGTTACAGAAGTTCTCTCATAGCTCTTCTGCGGACTCTGCATGCTAAATGTTTGATTTTAAACAATGTAAATAAAAAACGATGGGGAGAAGTCGAGTCCTTCATCAGCAGCAGCTCTAGATCTGGACATTGTGCCCTTGGAAAGATGAGTCTGGATGCACCTGGCTTTAGTTTCTCCTCCACCGATGTTTCTGACGAGGTTGATACTGGAGTCCTGCCATTTCTTGATTTTGATTAGTCAGCGAGGGAGGAACACGCTGTCCCGCTCATGTCGGTCTGAGGAACGAGTGACATCAACAAACTTCTGTCACCTGAGAGCGCTGGGAGCACAGTGACATAACGCCTAAATTCCATCAGATATGTGTTCGGTCCGTCTCCGCTCTATCACTTTAGCAGAGCTGACAGGTTTTTACTTTAGTCAGTGTGTGTGCTTCCTATTTGTTTTTTTGTACCAGGCTGTAAACATGTTAATCTGCTGTAAAAACAGGCTTTTTAGAATGGGTGTGTATGTGACTTCCTGTGCTTCTGCAGCCAGCCTCTAGTGGACACTTGAGCACAGTAGTGCTAAGATGCTAATGTTTTTGCTCTCCTCAGAGCCAAAGTGGCTGCATTCCCAATATGGTAAAAGGAGCGTGACATTTCTGAGAACCGTGCTGAGCGACTGACCAATTACGACAGAGTCAACAGGCCGACCAATCAGATCAGACTTGGCACACGTGGGGACTCTGAACGTGGGCACTTCAGAGCCTAGAGAGTCAGAAGCGAGCCGGTGCATGGAGCGGCAGTACAAGAAAACAGACACTTTTTTCGAACTTTAGCTATTGTGAACATACTTTAGTAGGTACATAGATTAAATATACGAACCCCAAAAAGGGCAGAATATGACCTCTTTAAACACTTTAACGTCTGACTGACGCTGGAATGAACCGCAGAGTTTCCACAAAAACACAGAAGATGAGTCGAAGATTGTTGTGTGTTGTTAACCCTTTGTGTGCACCTCATGGAGGAGGATGCTGAATGCTCTCACACATATCAATAAAATATGACATCAGCAGTGAGTCTACATCAGAGAGACTTCTGTAGGCCAGGCCCCGCCAGGCATCAGCATGCTAACGTGGTTAGCACTTTTAGCTGTTTGAACAAAGAGGCCCAGCAGCCAGGTGACTGTGTTTGGACAGCCTGATAGCAGCTGGCTCTGAGCCGCCGCTCTAATCCACTGTTTGTATATTTTCTTTTTGGCTCAACACCAGCATGAACACAGCCACAGCTCAGGGCTGATGTGCAAACATGGCTGGTGAAACAGCCAGGATCACATTACCACTCGTCAGCGTGAGTGCATCGTCACAGACTGGACGAAGAGGGGTCTTCTCACAACCCCCGTCAGCCCAGACGTTTACAGATCACTACGTATTTAATGTGAATTTTCACTTAAAGCAGATCTATTATCCTCACTGTCACCATTCATTATATCATCTGATGAGTAGTGTTATGAGATGTGCAGCTCAAAACCTTCTTATGTATCTGATACTGGCGTCAGTAAAATCACAAATTTCCACCTCTGCCTGAAACACTTCATTTGAGCTACTGTCTCTTTAAGGCCCGCCTCCCCATGTGCCCACTCTTCTCTGATTGGCCAGCTCTGTTTGCAGTCGCAGGGAAATATGAGTGTGTTTTTTGGTGGGCGTGTCCTTGAAAGAGCTGTTGGGGTGGGCGTGTCCTACCACTCTGCTCCATGCTTTACTCTGATTCGTCGGCAGAACGTGACGTCAGCTTCTGGCTAGGCTCTTCCAAATTCTCGTAAAATCTCGTTTAGAGCAGCAGGAAACCACGTCCAGGGACTTTGCCTTTGCCGAGGTTTTAATACGGACATCCAGCAGAATAGATCTCCTGGGAGGATTTTACAAACTGCTAATGAATCAAATTCTGCTGCCTCGAACTGACCAGCAAAACCAGCCAATCAAAAGGAGGCCTGATCCGTTCTATAGATAATTTAAACGACGGTGTGTCAAACGATTAACAGAAAGCTGCAGAAACAGCCTCATGTTCATATGTACATGTCAAACATAACAAGGGAGGGAACACTGTTTACCCGTTTACAGGACGAGATTAGCAAGAGTTAAATCATCCTGCCTGGGCGACAGGGGGCGCCAAAATCACCCTCACTGTATCCTGCAGGTGAAGCTAACAGTCAAACTATGAGATGGTAAACAGCATCTCTGTTCCTCTCCTCAGGGCTGAAGACCTTCCTGATCTCAGGCAGGAAGTTGGAGCATGATGTGCAGTGCGGCTGCTCTCAGGTGGGACTATCAGCCGGGGTCGTCCTGTCGTCCTGCCCCAAGCCTTGCACGCCAGACCTCATCCCTGGTGGAGCGGGCGCTGCTGAAGCTCTGCTGCCCCGCCAGCAGCCAGACCGGACTGGGGTAAGTCCTGGAGGAGTAACAGAGAATGTTTAGTCTCGTCATGGTGCCAAGTGTTTGGGTCCTTTAGTAAAGGTTTATAATGACTGTCAGAGTGTCTCTGTGAGGAGGTGCAGGCAGCAAACATGTTATCTACTGAGGGTGTCACATCTCAAACTGCTCCTTGTCTTCTCTCCAGCCTCCCTGTGTGGCCCGCTCGTTGGTCTTATCTCCGAGGACAGAGCACGGGGAGGATGTGGCCGTGCTGAATGGCTGCCAAGAGGAGCACAAGTCCAGCAGTGCGAAGGTATGACACACACTATGACACACACACTTGAATTTGACTTCCTGCAGAGAGAGAGACCTAGTGTTTAAAATGGGTACTGCAGTCTAAATTCTAAACATTGAGGAGAGCTGTCTCTCCCCCTCCCCCTCCTCTCTAGAGTGGATGCTCACGCAGGTTGCCATGTGGTGGACACTGAAGCTTCAGTGTTTAGCCAGCTCTGCATCAGTCTGTAAACCTTTCTGCGTTCTAACCTCTCTCCATTTTTCAAAAGCATCTCCAATATTGATCCTAGTTTGAGCACGTTTCTGAATGTCTGAATGAGAATCTAAAGTTAGAAGGAGGACATACTGGCTGCTGCATTGTTGTCAGAGAAGCCAGCACTTCAACATAGCATGTTTCCTTAATGTCTGATCATATAGTAAGCTCACTTTATCATTTCACTCTCAACACATCTCACTGACTGGACCTGTAATATTGTCAGATTTTCGTCCCTCTTTCGTTCATTCTGTTTTTCATATTCTTTCCCCTCGTCCAGTTCCTCCCAGGTCACAGCCCCAGAGCAGCCAACGGTCTCCTGAGCCCCCCGCTGGATGACCCCGTGCGGGCCAGCCAGAGCTCTCTGTGCGACATGCTGCAGGAGAAAGAGAAGAAAACCAGCACCAGTACAGGGACCGGCACCAGCCTCGGCATGGCTGGAGGTACCGGGGCAGCAGGCACAGGAATGGATCACTCCGCCCTGATCCAACTGCGTGCCAAGAACTTCAAAGAAAAGAGCGACGTCCACTTTGTGGAGGTCATCAGAGAGGACAGGTGAGGAGAGGGTTAGAGGTAGAGTTTACAGACCGATGATGCTGGAGAAGGAATTGAATCTTTTAACTGAATGTTCTATCAGCACGTCTCGGTGAGATTGGGCCTTAAGAGCTTACTCTCCCTCTTCAGTTTTTTCTGATGCAGAAGAATGACCAAAACAAAGAGCGTCACATAAACCCAGAGAGATCGTTCATCTCCCTGCTTTAAGCTTTAATGAGTCGCACATTAAGCACCAGTCTCTCCGACCAGAATGAAACCTTTCTTCATGCTGCACACACAATGTTAGGCCTGATGTGCAACCTTTGACTATTGGGGGGCGTGGCCTGATATGCACCCTTTAACGGTCGGGGGCGTGGCCTGATGTGCGCCCTTTAATGGTCGCGGGCGTGGCTTGATTTGTCCAAATAATCCTCCAGTGTGTGTCACTACGATTATTTTGCTGCTCCTGTCGAGTCGGAATCCCCCCCATCTGGAGTGTTTGATATTTATGATTCAAGGTCGTCCTGCCTTCTTACGTAGAAACCGAAGCAGCCAATCAGAGCGAGCAGTACAGGAAGCGTCACCAACCAGATGTTGCTTCCTCTGACATCTCACCCTCCGTCGAGCTGCAGAGAGTGTAGAGCCCCACATAATCCGTCTTCTTGTCCAGGATCTCATTCATCTTGAACAGAACACACAGCAGGACAGTCAGCTGACCACGCTCATCGTCCTCCATGTTTGTTTTTATTCTGAAATCATGTGAGATTCTGTGTGTGTGCAGACTCTCCTCCTTTTAAACATTGGTTAAGATTTGAAAATCGTGTAGTCAGCTTCAGTCGTACCTCATCTGTCCCTCAGCGCGGCGCCACCCCTCCCCCCCACCGCCCATTCCAGAGATTTCATAGCGTCCTGAGAATGACGAGAAAGAAAAATGTTCAGTGAAAATCGATTTAAAAGGAAAAAAAAACATGTTATGTTTTCTTTGACAGTCTGATGAAGGACTACTTCTTCAAGCCGCCAATCAACAAGATCAGCCTCAACTTCCTGGAGAGACCGCTGGAGAAGGCGTACCGCAGCAGCTACAAGGAGGAGGTACACACACACACACACACACACACACACAGACACACAGACACACAGACACACAGACACACACACACACACAGACACACACAGACACACACCTGCATTGACCTCACAGACCTGTCGCCCCCTGCTGGTATGTCAGTGTAACTGAAACAGAACTGGTGTTCAGTAAAGACAGGAAGGGTAATAAGACTTTAAATGTGTTAATAAAGAACCTGCGTCTCAGCCTGCACACGTACCAACATTATTCTGTGTTTCTTGGACACATGTTCTTTATGTTTTTGTGTTTTTCTACTTTTTTCCTGATTTTGAATCCACAAACTAAAGATCACTGAAAGCATCATGGCCTCTGACTGAGAGCTGAATGTGTAGAAACATCTGGCCTGTAAAAGAGACTGGGCCTTAAAAGAGACAGAATGAGCTTCTATTAGAGGTTTTATGGTACATACTGTATGTTAAATCAATGCCATCGCTCCTCCTCACTATCACCTCCGTCTCCCGCTCCAGGTGAAGAACGAGGTTCAGGTGCAGACGTTTGCCAGCTCCACCTTCAGCTCCTTCCTGGACGTCCTCCTCAGCTGCTTCGTCTTCCTCGCCCTGACGCTGGCCTGCTTCCTCCCACCTCTGGTGAGCCCGGCTACCGCGGGTCCCACCGCCCTCGCTGCTGTCGTCCTGGCTCCGCTGGCGGGTCTGTTTGAGCTGGCGTCCCTGGTGCTGTCCATACGGTGAGGAGGCTCAGGCTGATGGTGTTTATGTGCAGGTTTAGTCAGGGTCCACATAGAGGACCAATGAACCCCGAGAGCGCTCAGATTCCAGGTTCAGTTTGAGATCCAGCAGAGACTGAAGCATGGACCTGTTAGCAGGAGAAGAGTTTGTATATCTAAATGTGTTTTTATGGCTGTCAGAACATCTCAGAGGAACACAAATTAATTTCCTCTTATTGCAATGAGGAGGCGGGCGATAAATCTTCAAGCTCCGCCTCTAAGAGGTCAGTCGTGTTAACGAGTCTTAAACTTTGTGTCAGTGAGATGAGAATTCTCTGAGTGGAGACAGAATAAACTTTTATTAAACTGGTTCAGTTTAAATGAACTCTAGTCTGTTTTCCAGGTTAGTGTGGTTGGTTTGTACTTGAGTGAAAGCTGTCAATCAAACCTTTAGTGTGGACCGAACAACCGACCTAACATCAGGAAGTAACCAGCGTGGTCTCTCTTTGTTCATCATTACTGAACATGTGTTACTCGTCAGCATTCTACTGCTCCTGAACTGACTGAGATTCTGTGATGGTTTGGTTTACTTGTTGATCCTGTTTTTGCTCTTTTTAAGAAAAGTCAGTGATCTTCAATGTTAGACTTCTCCTCTCCTCCTCTCGTCTCGTCTCCTCTCGTCTAGTCTCGTCTCATCTCTCTCCTCTCCTCTCCTCTCCTCTCCTCTCCTCTCCTCTCCTCTCCTCTCCTCTCCTCTCCTCTTCTCTTCTCTTCTCTTCTCTTCTCTTCTCTTCTCTTCTCTTCTCTTCTCTCCTCTCCACTCATCTTGTCTCCTGTCCTCTCGTATCATCTCCTCTCCTCCTCTCCTCCTCTCTTCTCCTCTCCTCTCCTCTCCTCTCCTGCAGTATGGCCTTCTACCTGGAGGAGGTGATGAACTGTACCCGCTCGCTGCTCCTGGTGGTCTCTGGATGGGTCCCACGTCATGTGATTGGGGCTGTGTTAGTCTCCCTCCCTGCCATCTCTGTGTTGTCCCACCTCATGTGCAGCGTCCACCTGCCCCTCCAGGTAAACATGTCATAATGGTTCATAATAATGTGCTGTATGTGAACACCCAAAGAATCCCCGTCTCCCCTCCATCCCGTCTCTCCTCCATCCCCGTCTCCCCTCCATTCTGTCTCCCCTCCATCCCCGTCTCCCCTCCATTCCGTCTCCCCTCCATCCCCGTCTCCCCTCCATTCCGTCTCCCCTCCATCCCGTCTCCCCTCCATCCTCGTCTCCCCTCCATCCCCGTCTCCCCTCCATCCCCGTCTCCCCTCCATTCCGTCTCCCCTCCATCCCCTCTCCCCTCCATCCCGTCTCCCCTCCATCCCCTCTCCCCTCCATCCCCTCTCCCCTCCATCCCGTCTCCCCTCCATCCTGCTCCTTCCCTCCACTCGCTCGATCTCTTCAGGGCTTGCAGATCAAAGCTAGTCTCAGGCAGGGTTGTTAATTAGACATGCGGTTTTCTGGACTTTAATGCCTTTGAAGATATAAAACCTAATAACAGTGCTGGGGGGAGGGGGGGCAAACGTGTAGGGATGAGAGGGAACATGTTATCCTCTCAATATAATCACTAACAACCTGTGAATGTCCTGGAAGTCCCTCCCTGGGTTTACTCCAAAACATACATGCCTGTTTCAGTACAAGATACGCAGATCAGTTTTACCTGTAGTATTTTTTTAAAAGGTTCATGCTCATGCAGGTTGCCATGTGGTGGACGCTGTAGCTTCAGTGTTTAGCCAGCTCTGCATTGGACTGTAAACCTTTATGCGTTCTAACCTCTCTCCATTTTTCAAAAGCATCTCCAATATTTTTAGGTCGGGTACAATCACTTCTATCTGAACCAGTTCTCTTGCCCGCTTCCATCGCTGCAACACCTGTTGGTTTGACCTGATAACTGCTCTCATATCTGGCAAACCGAGGGGCGTCCAAAACGGCCTACATATCTTAAGGCCTTTAAACACGGTCAGTGTGTCTGGACCATCGGTCGTCGCCCTAGTCTTTGTGGTGTGTCCAGCGCCGTCGATACCCGTCAGCCCCAGTTGGCTTTTTTTTTGGCCACATGTGGAATCGGGCCGTTCCCCGTGCGGTTGGGGGTAGGAATCTCTCTTATTGGCTGTTCAGCTCAGCGAAACAGGAGAGCCAGTGCATGAGAAGAAATACGGAAGCGCCTCTTCTCTTCCTGTTTAATAAAAGAGCTGACAACGCCAGCGCCATTTTCAACTCTCTATCAGACATTATTCTCCATTAGAAGTTCCTATATTACGAGTGTTGAGCGACAGCGGTGTGAAAATGGTCTTCTCGTATCACAACAACGGTTTATTTATCCGCGTTGTTCCTCGTCCTCTTCCGGTTTCCCCTTTTTGGAATGACGATTACAGACTACCACCCTCTGCTGGCACGGTGAGGTATTGCCTCTCGCGCATGCTCAGAGCGTACGTGGTGGTTGGCCGTCGGCTGTAGTCTTTGCGGTGAAACTTTGAAAGTGAAACTTTTTGGCTGATGCCACAGGCGGCCTTCGTCGCCACCAGTTCTTTGCCGTCTGATTGGTGTGTCAGGGCACCGTCAGGGCGTCTGTTAGGACCTTCAGTAAACGAGAAAAGACGTCTGGCAGGTCACGTTAAAGTCTTTGTGCACGTGAAGCCGCCTCGTACTCTCGTCTCCTCACCAGAAGGTTTTTAGCACTCATTTGTTAAAACTGTTGATACATTCGATCACATGTAGCTTTGATATAATCAGAGCGTCAGACTCCAGCATATCCCGCCTCCTGACGCAGACCCCCCTTCCCTTTCCAACAGAGGGGAAACTTCTGTAGGCTGTAGTGAAGACGCTCCTCTTTAAAGCCTGTCCTTTATTTCCAGGTGACCATGTTCCTGTGCTGTGCCACCATCCTGGCCATCATCCAGTACTGCAACTTCTGCCAGCTCAGCTTCTGGATGCGTTCAGTCCTGGCCACGGCTACAGGGGTCGCCCTGCTGCTGCTGCTGTACCGCCCGCTGCACAGGTACAGGAAGCACCTGTTCTCACACACTGCAAAAGGTGCAGTTCCTTGAGTGTCCACTTGAGGCTAATCCCCATGAGGTGCCATATCACAGCAGGATGAACATGTTTACGGTCTGCTACAAAAAAAAGGAATTGTGTCTAGACTGATGCTTCAGACAGACGGATGAGAGTAAAGCATGCATTTGCATAATGAGGGGCGGTGTATGTTGACTGGCAGGTGGTGCCGCAGTAGCTGCTTGCCAGGAAGCATACCTTAAATCCTCCTCTTTACCTGTTGAGAGGTTGCTGAATGATTATGTGGAAATAGCATTTCCAACATGGCGACCATCATCAACCGCCTTCAAAGGGCGTCCTCTATGACAAAGATTGCAGGTATATGAATATTCACAACTTCTTGGCTCCGCCCACAACTTAATACGACGTGTTGTTCATGCAGGTGAGGTATTCACGCCCTGATCATCCTGCAGTGTCTCAAATTAAAGTGCACAAAGGAGAAGCTCCTCCCCTGTGTGCAAATCTTTAAGTACAGTCATCGACGCGTTCTTCAGTCTGTGAAGACGGTTAATCTGACCTGTTTTATATGTTTACGCCGGTGTGCATCATGTGTGACCCTTCCTTACTCGCCACTGAAACCTTTCTCACCTTTTTCAGCTCCAGCACCAACAGCTCGCCACTTCACGGGTGAGTATCTCCATGGTTACGGCTGGGTTTGATGGAGGAGTGACATTTGGGGGCTCTGCTTGTTTTTTAATAACTACAGCTCTCTGTTGCTTTTACTCGTTCTCGCAGTTTTGTGCTATTTATCCTGTGCTCAGTTTCTTCTGAGCAGCGGTGGTCATGGCTGCTAAATGTCACGAGTGGGGGAAATGAGTCATGCAGCTCCTGCTGCTTTGAATTCTGCTTCACAGCGCTCACTCCTGAGGACGAGAGGGCGCTGTGAAGACATTAAGAGCCAGTGTTCAGAAAGCAGACGTTCTTTTGAGCATTTTAACAAACAAAACTAAACACCAGCTGATGACATAAATCTCAGAGACAGTCGCTGATTGACGTCTGATACATTTAAAGAAGGAAACAGTTTTATTAGTGAGCTGGAAGCTTAAACACAATGCTTTAAAAATGTCTCAGAGGTTTTTCTCTCTTCTTAACCCTGTTCATCCTCCTTATGAATCTCCTTATAGGTTCTTGTTTAAATTTCACATATATTTTTAACCCTGCATGGGTTATTTACTTTTCTTGTATAAGTCTATTTTTAATTGCACAGTTTAAGTTTGATTCATCTAGGGGTATTCTTTAAATCTTTTTTTCAGGTTAATATATATGTATGGGAGGGGGGGCGTCGGTTTTGTGGTTAATTTGTAACAAATGTTTCATGTCATGTACGTCTTTGTAACCTGCTACTGGATGCTTTGAATTTCCCTCGGGATCAATAAAGTATCTATCTATCTTCACCCTCTTCTTCTTCTTCTCTGCTGCGCCGTTGTCTGCTTTCCGTTTGAGCTCCAACCACTCTCCCCTTTCTCCCGTTCTGTTTTCCCGCTCAGACTGAACACCTCCACACTGGGCGATGGAGGTTTGACGTCGCTGGTTCCTGAACATAACCCTCTGCCGCGACCTCTCGACCTTCTGGTCCCAGAGGCCGTCCTGGCCTTCTTCCTGCTCCTTCTCCTGGTCTGGTTCCTCAACCGGGAGTTCGAGGTCAGCTACCGTCTCCATTACCATGGCAACGTGGAGGCTGACAAACACCGGTCCAAGATCCAGACTATGAGAGACCAGGCTGAGTGGTTACTAGGCAACATCATCCCCATCCACGTCGCTGACCAGCTCAAGGTTTTTGTAGTTTTTAAAGAAAACTATCCAATCGAAATATTTGAGGTTACAAAAGAAATCTTGAATGAAGGAGATAATGTTTAGAATTAATCAATAGACCTTGGTATTAGTAAGACCCCCACGACCCATGGGTCATAATGTGGTGTGTATCTCATAGGTCATAATGTGGTGTATATGTGGTGTGTATCTCATAGGTCATAATGTGGTGTATATGTGGTGTGTATCTCATAGGTCATAATGTGGTGTGTATGTGATGTGTATGTGGTGTGTATCTCATAGGTCATAATGTGGTGTATATGTGGTGTGTATCTCATAGGTCATAATGTGGTGTGTATGTGGTGTGTATGTGATGTGTATCTCATAGGTCATAATGTGGTGTATATGTGGTGTGTATGTGATGTGTATGTGGTGTGTATCTCATAGGTCATAGTGTGGTGTATATGTGGTGTGTATGTGGTGTGTATGTGATGTGTATGTGGTGTGTATCTCATAGGTCATAATGTGGTGTGTATGTGGTGTGTATGTGATGTGTATCTCATAGGTCATAATGTGGTGTATATGTGGTGTGTATGTGGTGTGTATCTCATAGGTCATAATGTGGTGTATATGTGGTGTGTATGTGATGTGTATGTGGTGTGTATCTCATAGGTCATAGTGTGGTGTATATGTGGTGTGTATGTGGTGTGTATGTGATGTGTATGTGGTGTGTATCTCATAGGTCATAATGTGGTGTGTATGTGGTGTGTCTCATAATACATGGGTCCCGATACGATCTTGAAAACAAACATCAGGATACTTAGCTGTGTCAGTTTCTCATTCCTCTCTTTGTAACGGCCTCTTGTAATACGACCATCTTTTTTGTCTGTTCGCTTCCTAAGGTGACGCAGAGCTACTCCAAGAACCATGACAGCGTGGGCGTGATCTTTGCTAGCATCGTCAACTTCAGTGAGTTCTACGAGGAGAGCTACGAGGGGGGGAAGGAGTGCTACCGCGTCCTCAATGAGCTGATCGGAGACTTTGACGAGCTCCTGCGCAAACCTGAGTTCAAAAGTGTGGAAAAAATCAAGACAATCGGCGCCACATACATGGCGGCGTCCGGGCTGAACGTCCGACAGATGGCTGAGAACGAGGACGACTCTCCGCATGGCCACCTGAGGGCGCTGTTCAACTTCGCCCTGGAGATGATGGGCGTGCTGGATGACTTCAACAAGAACATGCTGGGATTTGGGTTCAAACTTCGTATCGGATATAACCACGGGCCGCTGACAGCAGGGGTGATTGGCACCACAAAGCTGCTCTACGACATCTGGGGAGACACGGTGAATATTGCCAGCCGCATGGACTCCACCGGCGTGGAGTGTCGGGTGCAGGTGAGCGAGGAGAGCCACGCTGTGCTGAGCAGCATGGGCTTAGAGTTCGACTATAGAGGGACAGTGAATGTAAAGGGCAAAGGTCAGATGAGGACTTTTCTTTACCCCAAATGTGGGGGGAGATTAAGTCCAGACGGAGCGGTCCAGGGCATCAGCGTTGGATCCTCACCCGTGGCTTCAACAACCAATAAGACTTCAGGGTCTGTTGCACAGGCTCCTCCTCCTCCTCATCCTCAAAGTGCTGTGAGGCCTTCAGGGGCAGGACCTGGACCTCAGGCCACAGAGATAAGGGAGGAAGGGTACAGGGACGCTCCCCACTCTGAACTCGGCCCAGAGCCCCGAGCTGCACACCTGCCCTCCCAGGTGCAGCCGGCTCCTCTCGCACTTCAGGAGGGGGATGATGAAGAGGAGGCCGACGAGCTGACCAAATTCAATGAGGAGTTTTATGCTCGTCTCTGATCCCTCCTTTCCTCTCGTCTGGTTTTCTGCCCCACACGATTGGCTGCAGGTGTGGGCAGGAAGAAGAGGGAGTTTTATCACTCCGTAACAACCAAGTGTGGCTTTAAAAGTCTTTGACAGAAAAACCATGGTGAGGTGCTGAGGAGGGCGGGGCCTGTGTGGAGGAAATGTCTGACAGAAGTGTTGTTGTTTCTGTCCTCCATGTGCTTTTTTTTATTAAGTGCCTTCAAGACGAGAAAAGTGAACGAACAAAAAGTTAACAAAGTTTGATCAAATCCTCGACTACACAACACGCTGTGGTTTCTTACTCCATGCTTTGATTTCAATGCAAGTATTTCTTTTGAAAGAATCATTATTTTTGTGGCGTATTGTTTGTTGTTGATCAAATGTTTGACTTTACTTAAGGGAAATTATTTTGAATTCTATTCTAAGTGCCAGTGCAGAAAGATGAGCTGAGCAGGGAACTATGGGAAGAATGAGGGAATCACATGAAGCAGTGTTAATGAGTATTCTGCTTTAACATAAGGGCTTAATAAAGTATTCATCTGGGCTGCAGGCTCAGAGAAAAGGGAAGAGCTCACTGCAAAAACTCTGATCGAAGTCGCTGTGTTTGTCTTCAAAACACTTAAAGGTCACTTAAAGGTTACATGTCCTCCTCCTCTTCAACCAGTGTAAATAAGTCTCAGAGCTCCTCAAAACATGTGTGTGAAGTTTCTTGTTCTAAATCCACTCTGATCCTGTATTTGATCTTGCCTATAAACCCCTCTATTTCAGCCCTGCTCAGAACAGGCTGTTTCTGTGTCTGTACCTTTAATATGAAAATGAGCTGTGTCAGGGGGAGGGGCTACTGCCCTTTGTGATGTCATGAAGGGAAAATCTCCAAACGGCCTGTTTGAGCACACATTTTCTGAAAAGTGGAGCAGGGGAAAGACGGAGAGGATGGACTTTTCTCATCATTGGAGGGTTTGTAGACAGACTAGAGACACATGGTGAAGTGGATTTTGGAGAGTATGTGACCTTTAAGATGATCCAGCGTCTCCTGGAAACCAAAGAGAAACCTGCTAGTTGAAGATTTAAATAGCAAACGAAGAAGGCCTGCATCGCCTGTGATAAGTAAAAATATCCGCCCATTGAGCAACATTGACCTTTTGAGTGTCTTGAAATGAGACCAACATAACAAGTTCACTTCGCTCGCTGCATTGGCAGATTTCTTCCAGGCGTGCATCTGGACGGGTCAGCTAATTGTGGCTCATTCGACAAACAGACCTGCTCTGATTTGAGTTTTTGCAGGGAACAGAGCATCGAGTTCAGTTTGTGCTGCAGATAAATGCACATTTGAAGCACAGCTCTTGCACAGTGTTTGGCCGACCGGTTGTGAGTTCGGTCGTTCTTACGATGAATTAGCTCTAGAGGAAACAGAGCTCCTGTCTGTCCCCATGAGGACAATCAAAAGCACAACATGCGATCACGCGGGGGGGATAAAAACTCAGATCATCACAGGAGCTACACCTGAGGTTAGTCTGTAGAGTCTGAAACACTCCTCCTCCCTGGCAGCCTCAGACTGAAGCTGCAGGTCTGATCCCACTCCAGATCAATTTTTATTTCTTCTGTTCCCTCGGGAACATTTAGCATCTTTTGTTATCTTAGAAGACGACAGACACATGTCGACAACACGGGGAGCAGGTTAGCATGGCGTGTGGCGGTCTCACAGTGACCAGCGTGCCGCTATCACCAGACAACAAGTTCAGATTTGAGTTTTTGAATAATGTCCTCTAAGGGCTTCCGTACCTGTTAGTAACTGTCGCTTCTGAGTTTTGAATCACACACTGAGCTCCATGGCGTTCTGTTGTCGTATCACTTGAAGTGGGACTGAGGGACGATCATTGTGCTCTTTGTAAGCGACAGGAAGCACCACATCAAAGCACAGATCTCTAGAATGTAGCGTGTTTCACTCCTCTGATCAAAGTCCATCACGCTGATGTTGTGGTTCCATGTAACACTAAAGTATCGTCTGCGTTTAGCTGAAGGGGGAGGGGCCTGTCGCAGCCTTCAAACAGACGGGGGTCCTCAGCTGATTGTTCTTGTGGTGCCTCGAAGTATGACTGTGTTTTTACTCTGTTAGATTTCAGAGTGTTTTTTTTTTATTGTGCTGTTTTTCACAACGACTGTTTCACAAAATCGTGCTCGTTGTGAAGGTTTTTATTTTTTTCTGTGATTGATTTGAACAGATTCCATCGATTTCACTTCATTTGAATTCTGTCGTCATCGCGTCGTTAAGCAGGCGACGATGTCTCCGTCCTCAAACCCTGCAGCTCGGTCCCCCTTAGACTCCAGAAACACGGACCAGATCCCTTTAACATGATCAGATCCTGATCGTCTACATGGCCAGCTCTCCATCCCACATGACGCTGCCGCTGCTGCTGGTGATGAAGATGATGATGGTGGTGATGATGGTGATGATGCTTTATGTGTCTGTAGAGGAAATCAGCAGACTTTAAAATTGATATGAAATCTGTAAAATTAATCCTAAGACTTTGAAGAATAGACTTTGGCTGAAGATTCAACCTTGACGTCCATAAAGGTCGTGCAAATCTCCGACACTTTTTGTCCTCGTTTCTTAAACAACACAAACTCTCCTATTTTGATGTCTAACAGTATTTAAAGTACAGAACTAAAAAAAAAAAACAGTCTGAATGTTAGATTGAGACCACGTGCAGGAGTCGAGTTATGACCAAACACTGGTTGCCTAGGTCTCTATCTGTTGCCGTGGTAACAATCAGGCGTTTATATCGTTGATTTCTACTCGTATGGTATCGTGACATCCTTTAACCCCCTCACATACAGCGTGCTGAGGAGGATTGTTTTCTGTGGTGATGCACTCCTGACCCTCACACCTCGTGCCTTTGTGAACTATAAACACTTTAAATCTGGACGTGGCGAGCTTCGATCATCATAATGACATCATCACTCTGCACTTTCAGCAAAACTATTCTGAAATCCCCCCAAAAGCATCTCAAGACTCAGACTGAGCTGCAGGACACTCAACGCTCCCGTGAGGAACACCGCTGGCTCTGTGAGCTTCAGCGAGACGTGTGTGGTCGTGTTTGATGATCACAAAGCTTCATTAGAAGAGATTAAATATCATCATCATTCTTATTAGATTGAAGACGTTTGTCTTCACCTCATGTTTCACTCACACTCAGGATTCTGCAGCACTGCTGATTTAAGGGAACGCTCTCTCTCTCTAAAGCCCGCTTTCCCCCAGAACGAGGAACCTTTTGAGGAACCACGCTCTAAATATAGTTCTGGGGTAAAAGATCTACTCCTAAAAAAGACCCTTTGGGCCACAGGAACCTTGTAGTTCCTTGAGAAGAATTGCCTGTAACTTTTAATTCTGGAGACCTTCGGTCGAAAAGGGGCTTCTCTCTCTCTCTGTCTGTCTGTCTCTCTCTCTTTCCCTCCCTCTCTCTCTCTCTCTCTCTTTCTCTGTCTGTGTGTCTGTCTGTCTTTCTCTCTCCCTCTCTTTCGCTCTCTCTCCCTCTCTCTCTTTCTCTCTCTCTCTCTTTCCCCCCCTCTCTCCCTCTCTTTCTCTCCCTCCCTCTCTCCCTTCATGTTGTGTTCATTTAATTGATGAGTTTTCCAACAAGTACAGCACTCACATCAAAATGATGGAACAAGGAACAATCCTGTCGTAGCAGCTGCAGCAGCGGTGGTGGCGGCGGCAGCAGCAGCAGCACGCTTACATTCAGTGCTACAGTCAGTATAAAGCCGTCTGTGTTTCCAATCAGTCGGGGACAAACATGAGGCCGACACCTTCTAATTCAAACATGTTTTGGTTTGATGTTCATGAACGAGATGTTTGATGTTTCTTTTTGTGCACATGTTTCATTTATCAACACATGATCCTAATCTGTACACTTTGCACAAAGCACTCGCTGTTTGTACATATGCAGTTACTTCATGTCACATATGATTTTTTTTTATACAAGTGCATGTGTCCGATGTTTGCCAGACGACGAAGAGACACGGGTTCTTATTGGACGATTCAATGAGTGTCTGTTTGAGGACGTGTGAGTGTTTATGATTTTATTACACCGTGTGAGAGAAATAAATCTCCATCCCAAAACAGCTGAGTGCCCTGTTACCTGTATACGTACCCCTGAGCCTGACCTTTACTAAACAGTAAGCACGAGTTCATGTCTGACGATCTCAAACGCTGAGGTGTGAGCAGCGTCTTCTACCTCGCCATACGCTTATTCCTGGTCAGTTTCTTGTGCGATAACGTTTTTTTTTAAACTCTAATAGAGCCTCCTGTAACGCTTCTGTTCTAACTCTGATGGTGGGACCAGGTCGTCCCACCTCTGTGCCTCCATGGCGGCCATATTGGCCCTGTAACATCACACTTCCAACATGGCCGGCACGGAGGCGTTATGGTGCGACCAAGTCAGCCCACCTTCTATTCCACCATCAGGGTTAAAACAGAAGCGTTAAGGGGGGCAGAACTTTGTAGTCCATCCTTTCATGTAAGCGCTCTGTGCCACCATGACGCCTCCATGGCATCCATATTGAAAGAGGGGCATAAATATTGCGCCTTGAGTTGGCAACATGAAAAGAACTGAAAGGAAAACAGCCACCTTTAAGGCCGCCAAAGGTCGGACGATTGTAATTTACTGGAAGACAGACACGTACAAACGTTAACTTTGTTTTTAAAGGAAGAAAGTGCGATGTTTGACACTTAAGAACACACTCACTGATTATTTGGATGTTAGTAAGAGTTTTTAGATCACGCTCATTCTGTGTAAGTTTACATGCAATGTGAAGCTACGAGCTAACTAAAGAGCGCTAACATTAGCATGCTAATACAACAATTCAGGACACAGGTGATTGCAGCTCGAGTAGAGGACGATTTTGTCCGCTGCTTGCTCTCGACTGCCCCATGTGTAAACTCGAGTGCAGAGGGGTTGGAGGTGTGTCTCTGGAGGAGAGCGGAGGCTTCAGTGTGGAGGAGGCGTGGCTAAACAGAAGTTTGTTTTGGTTTCATGCTGGAGCTCAAGGACGACATCTACTGGATCAAAAAGTCGCACATTCTTCCTTTAATTTAATGTAATTTGCACAATAAAAAAAACTTTGACACAAATAACCAAAATACAGAACAGGAAGAGGCAGAAAACTCATGAGAGTTTGAAGATTCCTCTAAAACAAGTTAAAATATCACCAAATTAAAAAACACATAATCAACTTACAGAAAATAATATTTAATAATTGATGTACATTAACAACAAAACAAAAGCAGAAAATGTGAATATGAGGTTAATGAGTAGGCTACCTGTGTGTGTGCAACATCTTTGTTTACACCTGTACTGACACCAGAGCAAAAACCCTACAAATAAAAAAACACAAGTGATTCACATAACACATAGATACTAACCCTAAATCTAAAGAACAGCCATTAAATGTTGTCTAATCTAAATTATTATATAATTTAATAATATTGAACAGTCCTGTGACATATTAACCTCAGACTGACGGATATTTAGTCTCATATTTTTAATTATCAACTTAAATTTCACTTAATCTTTCTTTTTTAGCCACCACTTATTTCAAAACTATTTAATTTAATTCTAAATGATGTCACAATTCATAACAAGGTAAATACTTTAACTCATTAAAATGGAAAATACGCTTAAAAATAATGTTTGAATGATGTTATTTTTAATCTGTTAGTTAAATATTGATCTGCTTGTGTAATATTTTGTGTATAATTTACATATAAAGCTGTTCCTGATGTGTCTCTCGCGGTGCTTTGGCGCCCCCAGCGGTCACAGGGACCAGTGTTTTGACGTAGGGCGTGATTGCGCGGCCCCTCCCCCTCCACAGCCGAGCTGGAAAAGAAAAAAAAAACTTTTTTGTATCGAAGGAATCAACAGCCGCCATCTTGTCGTGGCTCGGAATTAGGATTTCGGTCCAACAGTGGCTTAAACGTAGAAATCGAGCCTCCTTTCCGCGGTATGACAGCCCCCTTCCTCCGAAAACGACCTCTTAACATCGCCTCGGAGACATTTTGTGCGAAAAAACGGGAATTGGATCGGTGGTCGTCGGGCGAAAACGCTCCGTATTTCTGATTTCCCCCTTCAGAGTGCGGAGATCCAGCCCCCTTCAGCCGCTCCCGGACCAGTCTTTACCGGGAGCAAGCCGAGACCAGGTCGGGACTTTCGAAGTGATTTGCAATAATACGGCATTTTTATGCAATTGTGCATTTTTTTTGTGGAGCTTCGCGCGATTTTTGCATGAAGAAATTTTACGTCACGCAAAATGGGTTCTCGGAACATGTAGATGTTTGGACCTGTCCCCCGGAATGCAGCACAGCCTCTAACGGGATCCGCACCAAGAAGTTGGATTATTTTTTTACATGGGGGATATTTAATTTGGGGGTGATTTAACGATAATAATGTGGGTGTTGGGTGTTGGATTATCATGGGGTGAATGGCGGTGGCGAAGCGGGGCGCTGTTGCATCTCTTTTGAAAGACTTTCACAGCACGGAGGAGCTAACCAATTAGCTCGCTATTAGCCAGTTAGCATACGTTAGCAGGCTGCAAGCTTGCTAATGTGCTAACCGGGGAGGTTCGGGTTGATAGAGAAACCCCCCCCCCCCTTTAAGGTAACCGTTGTTATCAACGTGAACAACCGACTGGACACGATAGCAACCATGGCGGAACACCTGCTGGACGTCGGACCTCCCATCTCCAAGCGGCCGAAGCTGAACTCACCTGCCCTGTCAGCGTCCGACGGACCAGGTAAAGGCCTTAACACTGTCTGCATATGTGAACACCACATTCATTCAGACTTTACGTAAACACAACGGTGCAATGATGTTCCTTAAAATGAATCAGCAGCGCATGCAGCACAGGTTAAAGTTAGCAGGTGAATCCAGGTGTGCAGAGCTGTGTGTATGTGTGTAGCAGGAAACTGTGACTGTGGTTTCTCTGCAGTGTTGTGGTGAGCATGTAATTTGCGACGACCAATTTATTAGGAACCCTCTCCTTTCTGTGTGCAATATGAAGTCCAGCATTAAGTCTTACCTCTCAGGGCTGCACATACATCCAAGTATGAGGTTTTGCAACAAACAGAGCACAAGCCAGAAAGTATATTAAATAATATGTCTCTGAAACTGCTACATGATGCACAATTTCCCCAAAAGACTGCATGAGGAGGTTAACGCATCTCTCACCATGAAGGCAACACTATAAATTATTGCATCGTTATCCCAGGATGAGCTTTCACAATGACCACATTGCAAATTTATCGCAATGAACTTAAAAAGTGACATATAGAGGTAGGATTATTTCTCACTCTGTGCACGTTTTACCTGTTTGATGGAGGTCCAGGTGTAACGACCATCCTTCACATCACGTTGATACAGTCTAATGAAGCTCCAGATAACTATCAGGGGCCTCATATAGAACAGGAAGAAACCTGGAGCAGAACCAGACTCATGATCAACAGGAAGAAACCTGGAGCAGAACGAGACTCATGATGAACAGACAGAAACCTGGAGAACAACCAGACTCATGTTGAACATACAGAAACCTGGAACAGAACCAGACTCATGTTGCACAGGCAGAAACCTGGAGCAGAACCAGACTCATGTTGGACAGGCCGAAACTTGGAGCAGAACCAGACTCATGTTGCACAGGCAGAAACCTGGATCAGAACCGGACTCATGATGAACAGGCAGAAACCTGGAACAGTACCAGACTCATGTTGAACAGGCAGAAACCTGGAACAGAACCAGACTCATGTTGAACAGGCAGAAACCTGGAGCAGAACCAGACTCATGAACAGGCAGAAACCTGGATCACAACCAGACTCATGTTGAACAGGCAGAAACCTGGAACAGAACCAGACTCATGTTGAACAGGCAGAAACCTGGAGCACAACCACACTCATGTTGAACAGACAGAAACCTGGAGCAGAACCAGAATCATGTTGAACAGGCAGAAACCTGGAACAGAACCAGACTCATGTTGAACAGGCAGAAACCTGGAGCAGAACCAGACTCATGAACAGGCAGAAACCTGGATCACAACCAGACTCATGTTGAACAGGCAGAAACCTGGATCAGAACCGGAATCATGATGAACAGGCAGAAACCTGGAACAGTACCAGACTCATGTTGAACAGGCAGAAACCTGGAACAGAACCAGACTCATGTTGAACAGGCAGAAACCTGGAGCAGAACCAGACTCATGAACAGGCAGAAACCTGGATCACAACCAGACTCATGTTGAACAGGCAGAAACCTGGAACAGAACCAGACTCATGTTGAACAGGCAGAAACCTGGAGCACAACCACACTCATGTTGAACAGGCAGAAACCTGGAGCAGAACCAAACTCATGTTGGACAGGCAGAAACCTGGATCAGAACCAGACTCACGTTGAACAGGCAGAAACCTGGAGTACAACCACACTCACGTTGAACAGGCAGAAACCTGGAGCAGAACCACACTCATGTTGAACAGACAGAAACCTGGAACAGAACCAGACTGATGTTGAACAGGCAGAAACCTGGAACAGAACCAGACTCATGTTGAACAGGCAGAAACCTGGAGCAGAACCAAACTCATGTTGAACAGGCAGAAACCTGGCTCAGAACAAGACTCACGATGAACAGACAGAAACCTGTATCAGAACCAGACTCACGATGAACAGACAGAAACCTGGAGCAGAACCAGACTCATGTTGGACAGGCAGAAACCTGAAACAGAACCAGACTCATGTTCAGTCTAGAGCCCTCTGCCGCTTATTCTGAGAACGCAGCCTGTGGGTGTTGACAGATGAGGGATCACGGACCGTAACAGAGCTGAGACACAATGCAGTCATGTGACCTGAGGCACGTCATGCTACCTGGTCCGTGCTAAACACCTTAAGCTATGATCTGCACCCCCCCACTAAAGTACACTAATATTTGGTCAGTGCAGAATGTTTGGGATTTATCTGATAATTTGTAGGGATTTTAAAGGCTTTGTGATTTTTCACACTTAAATGTAATAGAAATCAAGTATATCCTCTGAAAATAACTCTGTGAGTCATGACTGTCTACAAGGGGGGGAACATCCGAGTCCCACTGTGCTGATGCTGATGCTTTCCGAGTTTTCGGAGTCCTATCTTCAGTTTGTTTACATCGCCCGGTTGGCCGGCTCGTCCCCTCTTGTATAAAAGTTGTTTAATTAAGGGACTAGAGAAAAGAAGAATAACATACTGTACACTGCTTAACTGCGTTTCTAGATCACGGTCATTTTGGGTAAATTTACATGCAGTGTGAAATGGGGGTGCAAATGAGTACTCTAGGACCCGAATTCAGAATTTTAGATGATTATTTTAAAATCTCTTAATAACTACAAAAAGGAACAACCCTATAGGGAGAAATAGCTCATAGCAGACGGACAAGCGAGATTGGGTGAGTGTGTCATTACGCACAGAGGAGAAAGATGAAACAGACACTTAAATCGTTCACCTGTTCTATTGTAACTTAATTTACCAGAGTAAAGTGTGCTCTACACTGCAGACTGTAGTCTTTATTAACAGAATGTTGCTGTCAAAACAGCTTCGTGTGATGAGTGCGCATTGATGTCTGCACGTCCGTTCGCCACACTCACTACTCTAATTATAATAAAGTGTTAAAACGGTCATAAGATATGTCTGTGTGAATTTATTTGAGGTTTGCTGTCTGTTGAAGTAAGAAATGTCCTAATTTGAACGTTAATACAAAGGCCTATTACTAACAATTATTAAAATCCCAAAGATTCAAATTAATGAATAGATACAGTCGGCATCGCGTCATACTTAGGGGCGGGGCCTCCCGTGGGGAAAAAGAATCACAGCAAAAAAAATAACGATTACTTGAGTACTTGCTTTAACAATGGGAAGAGTAATCGATGAGAGAACATTTTGCATTTCTGCACCCCTAGTGTGAAGATATGAGCATAATAAAGATCGCTAGCATTAGCATGCTAACACAACAATGCACCGCAAGTTGTTTTGGTTTCATGCTAATGCTCAAGGGCAACATCTGCTGGATCAAAAAATCGCATATAACGCCTTTAAAGGTAGTTACTCAGCCGAAGGTTTTTTTTCTTGAGCATGCTGTCTCGGTAAAATAAAACTTGATGACGAACACGTGCCATTTGATAGTCTGAATAAAAAAAAGCCAGGCTGGACAACCCTTCAACAAAGCAGCTGTCACAACATCAATGAATCACATCACACATGGCAGAGGCCCCACATGTCTGCAGCCATCAATCATCAAACCTAACACGCCTCCTCTTAAGAGTTTACACCTAACGGACCCTGTGAGACGTCTCTGGGCGACTTGTCCATCAGCTGTAAATTACTGCACATAAAGAGCCAGCGTCTCCCTCTTCGATGACTGTCATGCCTGAAGCTTTGTGAGCTGCACGTCTCCGTGCTGACATTTGGCCTTTGAAATGAGCGTCCCATTTCTGCGTGTAATGTAACCCACGGGGAGGGTTTTGTGTAAAGCACGGACGCCTGCAGCGTTGTTTTCATGATATCAGGTTTTGTGTGTTTTCTGGGAAGGGACACAGAGCAAACACACGCCCTGTCTTTCTAGTTGGACCATGTGTCACCCTGCAGGGTCCCTGGCCCCTTCTTGCCCCTCTGTCCTCCAAAACATCTGTCGCCATGGTACACGTTTTAATTTACTCCTGAAGTGTTCATGCTGAGCGTCAAGTGTGAACTCAAACATCTGAATGTTTCTCTCTTCACCCGGAGTTTCTCCTCCAGCCTCCTCGTATTTATTCTGCAGAAAGTCAGAGTGAGCTGATGTGAGAACGCAGCAGGATATAATCAGGAGAATTCACCTGGAGCGAGTGGGAGGGGGTGGTGACGTTTATTCCCTGTGATCACTGCACGACTATAGACTGTCTGCACGCCACCTCTACCATCTCCGTGCTCTAATGAACCTGCTGCATTTTGTTTCCTGTTCTCCAGTATGTTCTTCTCCACTCACATTGAGATTCTGTTCAACTACTCGTAGCATTGATACAAAGACAAATATTCTCATTATAGCGTCGTATAGACCCGTGGTTCTGGTCTAGTCTAAGGACTCACCACTAACTCCTTCATGAAAATTGTGACCCAAATGTCTGAGATTTTTTCAACCAATCCTATTTACTGAATGAAAAATAGTGCAGTTTGGACCTCAAAACCAACATGTTTGAAAAGCGCTTCGTAGACCTTTTACACTTTTGTTTCCAGTCACATGTTCGCGACCCACTGAAAATGGCTCCCCGACCCACCTTTGGGTCTCGACCCCCCAGTTGAGAACCCCATAGTATAGACTACTCTGTTGCTTCGTCCATCACTTCCTCGCTGTTCTTTTTACGTTGTCCTTTGTCTCATTTACAAATTATGTAAATTTTGGCTGAACAATACGCTGTGCTGATAGGATTTGTTTTGCGATGCAACATAAATGTTATTTATTTGTTTATTCTGTGATTCGAAAAATCAAAGACAAATCAAACAACAGGAGAGAAAGAAGAATATCACGAGTAATATTACCAAAATGATGACCTCACACGTCCGTCAGTCTTTGATCATCTGCTTGTCTTACTATCACTCAGTCAGCTACAACTTCCAGACCATCTGTTCCACAAATCCACTTCTTCTGTGATCACCTGACAGTGTCTGTTTACTTTGTTACCTTGGCAACGAGGAGTCAGACCTCATCTATTGTATGATTGGTCGCCTTGAGCATAGCCATCAGCAGCGTGCTGTACAGAACGGGCTGAGATATTTCAGCGTTAATGCCCACCAGAGCGTCCAAATATAAACGCTAAACAAACTCCATGAACGCTCTGCACACAGGTATCTGTACGCTGCAGATTTCTATCTCTTTGTTGGGAACAGCTCTGCAAAAAAAGACATGAAAGCTAACCGCAGCTAATACTAGCGGGGTAATATTAAGCAGTGGTTACCGCTGCAGCGCTCACTCACTAACCTGGAACTGATATCCACAGTTCATTGGATCTGAACTCAGTGATCCATGCTTTGTGGATGGCGTCTGATGTTTTAAAGTCTTCAATTTAAAAACAGAATGTTTGTTACGTTAACGTCCAGCAGAGCGGACAAGGGGAGCTGGACGGCGGTGTTTCACCCTCCATCGACCTTTTCCATTTAGAGTGCTAATGACAGCATCATCTCTTTTTTCACATGGCGGGCGTGTTCTGCTGCACGGGTTAATTTACAGTCTTTGTCTGGATTTAACCTTCTGATGAAACATACTCTCCACAGACTGATTATTCATGTTTGTAGAGAATCCAGAAAATTCATCATCTTCTGTGTTTGTGCAAAAACTCTGAATAAAACGGGAACGCCACAAGTTTACTCAACGTTTGAGAAAGACAAAATATGTTTTATGACTGTCATTGAGGAAAGAGCTTCCAGTGTTTCCCCTACCATTATATTAGGGGGGCGGCCCGCCCCCCCAACGGCTAATGCTAATCTGAGCTGCACTCGCTAACGTTACACCAAGCCTAACCGTTTCAGTACATCGAGGGATTCAATTTACCTTGTTTGTTTTCACAAATCCCGCTGTTATGTTACTATGTTACTTTTATTCTCTCTCTCTCTCTCTCTCTCTCTCTCTCTCTCTCTCTCTCTCTCTCTCTCTCTCCATCTCTGAATCAGACTGGCAACTCATAATTCCCGACTTCCAAGATCAAATTGAACCAACCGTCAGTTCAGACCCCTAACCCTTTTAGTCAACATGACAAACATCCCCAAAACGACCACCAACTCCGAGGCTGTAGTCATGGGGAGATGCATTTAAAAAACAGAGAGGGCAGCAAGGCTTTCAGTCAAAGGAGGAGAATAATTTGGTGAAAGTGCAGAAGAAGGAAACAAGTCTGAGTCTCCCCTCTCCTTTCCGGAGCTGGGACTCCCTTGGCTGCATGTGGCACTACCTAACCAAAACATTGCTTTGCATTTTTGTCCATGTGTCTGCGGTTTTGAGAGGTGGAGCGAGTGAGGGGAAGACGGATGCTCTCTCCACACAGAGCACCTGCTCGCTGCATGCCAGGGACAGACAGCGGGCCGGCGCGGCTCATCGTGGAGGCTGTGTTTACTTAGGGACGAGCGCAGGCCAAGTGCCCTCATTAAAGACGGGATTCTGACTGAATCTCAATGAAGACATCCAGGGGCAGCAGATGGGAGAGGGAGGTGGCCATGATCCGTCTTCTCTCAAACTGTTGGATCATTTCAGTGATTAATTTGGACATTTTTAAAACTTGGTCAGATCAAACAGCCGGTTAATCGGCCCCGATAGTGACCAGTGTCAGCAGGCCTGCTGCTTTTTTTTCCCTTCCAGATGAAAAACGTTTAACTCCCATTCCAGCGTTTCCCACAAATAGATGATACTGCCCAGGTTCATTTATGGCCGCCCAAGTTTATTTCTGACCTGTATTCATGGGAGACGGAGCGAGATCGAGAGAGAGGTCCACTGTCTGTATGACCCTCCCTCCTTTTGGTGATGAGGCGAGACACCGGAGACGGAATTAAAACGCTGGGGGCGAGCTGTCGGACATAAAAAATCCATGATGTGTCTCCCCGCAGGTGAGGGGAGAGATGTATGTGTGCTGCAGGCGCGAGCAGGAGGAGCGAGTGTGTTGTACGAGAAACAGAGAGGCAACAACGAGTCTTAACAAGCAGTGAGTTATGTTTCAGCGCCGATGAAGGCTTTGCGCTGAAGCTGAGTGTGCGGACATTTCTGTTTTCTTGTAGTGTAGTGTTTTGTGTGCATCTGGAGTTTCATTTCTGTTTGAGTGTGCTCCTTTTGTGCTGTTTGGCGCTCAAGTAACAACCTGTCGCTTGAACAAAGGGATGGAAAATAAAAAAAAGTATTGGGTTTTAATCGAAAAGTAGCAGCTCTAAAGACACACAAGCACACACACACACACACGTGGTTTTTCCTGGCTCAGAATGGGCCTTTGGGGGGTGACTATACGCGCTGTAGTAAACGCTCAACCCGCATATTACAGTATAGTCTGTGAGTCTGTATTACCTTATTTGACAGAAATCTGTGCATTTCCTTTTATTTCTGACCATTTTTATAAATAATATTATCATTATGCTTAAGTTACTGAAACCCCAATTAAATCTGGTTAATGTTTTTTATTGCAACAGTGAATCAAGGGAGGAGAAGGATTTTGAGGGAGAGGGGTGTAATGAGATTGGGAGAGGGGAGGTCACATCCTGCCAGTGCATTGCACCCTCTTCCTATGATGGCTGTTCTTTTCCTTTTAAATTGTGTTTTTGTTTTACATACACATTTGTTTAAGTACATTTATTTGAGTTAAGGTACATATGTCAAATAATCAAAGATTTAAGTCACAGATCATTTGGATCATTTGATCAGATCAGGAAATTGAGGAATTATTAAAATATATTTGCTGGCTATAACGCAGCGCTGTTTGACAGTCAGTGTGGAGAAGTTCACATACAGCTGGCTGACGTTACGGTCGTTAAGTTATTGACTGTTGATAAAAGCAGACAGCAGAGGAGCAGGGACAAGTTAGCCGCAGCTAGCCTACATCATTCGCGGTTTAGTATAGTTGATTGCTCTTTGAAATTAACTCGCCAAACGGAAAATCACCCGGCATTTAGTGGGTGTTAGCGGAGTGTCCGGAACCAGTCAAAAGAAAAGAACAGTCAATCAGCTGGCTATCCAGCGCGAGCCACATGTGTAAATGAATGAGAGGGGAGAAGTCAGAGAAGTCGTATTTAAGTTTATGTTCTGCTTCGTTTGATGTATTGATATTTTTAACATACATTCAGGATTTGATTTGCAATTTGAATCGTCTTTTTTTTATTTTGGCGCTCGTGACTTTCCTTTGCCGCTGGTTAAAACCTCTTTGGGGGGCGCCAAAGAATTCTCTATGCAGGAAAAACCCTGCACACAGTCACACACACACAGACATACATACACACACACTCTCTCTCTCTCTGTCTTTCTTTCTCTCTGTCTCTCTAACACCCCCTGTGACACAGTCACACACACACACACACACTTTCTCTCTCTCTCTCTCTCTCTCTCTCACACCCCTCCCGTCTTCTCTGGCTGTCTTGAGTCGCTTCGTCTCAAACAAATCACGGCCTCGCTCGGCTCTCAGCGTTGTCACACCATCCAGAGGTGTGAGCATAAATATTCCCTCGGCCGCCCAGCAGGATCTGAAAGTGCTGCTGGATTCTCTCTCTCTTGTCACACTGCGTTTGTCAGCCAGTAGCGATGCTCTTATTATCGTGCTGCATCTTGTTGTCTGTGTAATGCTGCAGGGAAGACGCCACTGCGCTGCACCAGTTAGTTTGTTGGCTCATTAAAATGCAATAATTTAGAATAATTGTGAACATTTGGACCAAGGAAGAGGTTCAGGCAAAGAGTAAGAGTATAAAGCTTTGTGTAGCAAGTTTATATTTGAGGCAATGTGTCTTTGGAGAGTGTTTGTAAGTACTGAGCCATTTCTTCTTTCTCCTTCTTTCTGTAGATCTGGGCTCGCTATCCTGGGCCGATTTGGAGAACGACCTTCCAGATGAGTTGATCCCTAACGGTGGAGATCTCGGCCTGATGGGAGGGATGCCTTCTAATGGTGGAGCAGCACCTGGAGCTGGCGGTCCAGGCGGCCCTGTAGTCCCCGATGCGGCCGCCAAGCACAAGCAGCTCTCAGAGCTTCTTCGAGCAGGTAGCACCTCCAGCATCACCGGGATGAACTCGGCGAGTCCCCAGCAAGGTGGGATGGGTCCTCAGCTGGGTAAGAGCCCCCTTGGCCAGGGCTCCCCCAACAACCACCCGTCCCCCAATGCCCAAAAAGCAGGAACCCCGACCGGAGTAGCAGGACAGAACAACAACAATAACACTGCAACAATGGGCCTGAACCAAACAGGCTATAACCAGGGCCATGCTGCGCTGCTGACTCAGGGGGGGCAGCCTCAACCTGGCCAGGTGATGAATGGGGGTCTTGGACCCGAGACTGGAAGAGGACGAGGAGCAGGGGTGGCAGGCATGCAGTACCAGGGGCAGACAATGCCAGGAACTGCACCAGGACCTGGAGGAGCAGGGAGTGCGTTGGCAGAGACACTCACCCAGGGAGGGCAGCAGATGGGGGCTCACGCCTCCCTTAGTGCGGCCCAGCAGGCAGGCAACATGAACAAGGTGAGTCACACAACCCCACTGCACAAATATTATACTGCATGCAGTATCAAAGGCCTGACGTTGTTGAGGCAGACATTTAACTGGCCGGTGGCTCTAATGTTTATTATTTTGAGCAGAGTAAGAAATAAATGTAATTAATTCAAAGTGTGGAGGGAAAGCTTTCAAACAATGATCACTCATGAATTTGATCTTTAAGGACGAGTAACAGACTTGATGATTACGATGTTTTCTTCCTGTCTTCAGTACCAGAATAACCAGAAAAACCAGAATAACAAACTTATCTAATGGAACAATTCAAAACACTTATTTTCCCTCAACTTTCCAGTTTACTATTGCCAGATACCGCGCGCGCGCGCGCGCGTGCGTCGCTGGTCGTAAATCTTTCTCTGGTGATGTGTGTGTTAAGAGGGTTAGAGGGTCCCTCCTCCCGGCCCTCTGCTCTTTTGTGATTGTCATTGCGTTTCTCTGGCTGCTCTCCCCGTCAGTCACGCAGAGGAGGACAGGTATTGTAAACCACTTAATCAGTTAGCATGACGGAGGGCGGGCGCGGCGAGGGTGAAGGAGGGAAGGGCAGCTCAGCTGAATAGTCTGGCCTAGCTGCAGAGCGCTGAGATGATAGTTGGCAACCGTCCCGCCTGCCAATGTGTGGAGTGTGTCAGAGAGCGGTGGACTGAAGAGGAGGGGGTGTGCCTGTGTGTGTTTGTGTGTGTGTCTGCTCAGCTGTGTTGAAAGGCTGCCATAGTCTGGTCGTCTCAGCTGGGTCTTTTTTATCTGGTCTGTTGGAGCGGTGTCAGCAGCCTGAGGGGACACGGCCTGGCCTGGCAGAGTCTGGTCTCCCAGCAGCAGCTCAGTGGATGATCAGTGTGTAACACATGGCCCTAAAGAGGGTTAGATTCCCCCGGGTGCCTTACATCTCAATGAATGCTGTCATGGTTCCTGTTGAGTCTGGACAATCGGGGAAACATCGTTAATCTCATAGTTTAATTTCATGTGGGCATTTTTTTATGGAGCAGAAATGATGTGATTCTTCTGGATTTGTTTTTTTTTTTTTTTTTTACTTTTATTCACCAAAACGTGCATACACACACTCGCACAATAAAAAATAAAATAAAAAAAAGACATACAAACAAGAGGGGAACTGTGGTACGATACAGTTTTGCCAGCAGATTTAGACAAAAACAAACAAAACAAAAGGAAAAGGGTCAGTAAATAAAATGAATGAATTAGAGGGACAAAGTAAGTAAATGAGCAAACAGGACAAAGAAAAACATGGGGACAGTATAGTAACAAAATTGTAAAATAACACTGGTGGGATAGGTGGGATCGATTTTTTGTTATTTGTTTGTTTTTCACTTTGTATGGGTGCTAACATGATGATTGCCAAATCTTCTGGATTTATCTGAACAGTCCCCATGCACAGACTTAAGTTAACCATTTGTTTACCACACATAGACTTCACCTGGGGGGGCATGCCCAACTATATTTGTCGACCATTCTTCCATTTAAAAAAATAAATAAAAATAAAATAAATAAATCCGAATGAGATCTCCATCTGAGATCGCTAAACTAAAAGACGATTTCCTTCAGTCTTTCCTTCTCTTCCATGTTTGGAGCAGCGTCGGATGTTCTGTCTCTGCAGGTGATCAGAGAGAGGAAGTGACGTGCGCTGCAACATCCTCCTTTAATGGATTAATTTTGTATGTAAAAATACGCCCCCTCATGAGAGACTCAAGGACGCGTTTTTGGAGCTGCTGTGCCTGGAGCGAAGTGTCTCCGTTTGATTGGGTCTTAGGATCGTCAGACGCAGACGCACATCCTTCAAGAAGAGGGTACGATGACAAATCCATCCTGCCAATAGCTGGTCCCGTGCTGAGCTGACACGGTGCCAAAGCATTGGTTTTGGGTTTGGAGTACACTCAGCACAGTCATCCTGGCACCGTGAGGGCCCGCTTTGGCAGAGGGGGTCTTGTAGTGACAAATTGATGGTAACGTGTCGGTGGAGCTGCTGTTGGCACATTAGGGCTGTTTTTATAATTAAAGGTGAATAATGACCCTAAAATAAATCATCATAATGTCAGACCCGTACAGATCAAATGAAACGTGTCTGTTGTTGGGGAAAAATGCTGACCGTGTTGTTTATAGAGAACGTTAATCTTAACGCTACACATAGACTCTTTAAAGAAAATGGACTTGGACACACCGTGATGTCACTTAAAGATTCCTCGACTGAATGTTTGAAGCCTAGAGTTTGGTGTTTGTCTGTAACCATGTTGGGCTCTGGAGCTAGTAGTTACCAGGGGTGCAAACTTGTCACCTTTCGGCGAAATTCGCCGTTTTGGATCCCAAATAGGTCATTTGTGTGATTCATTTAGATCTGCAATAAAAACATTTGGAGGAAGGGGGTGGGGGGTGTTACTGTGACTGCAGTCAGAGCGCGAGCACTCAACACGCCATTGCAATCATTACAACGCTGTCGGCACGAACCCGTCCGCGTTGTTACAAAATCTTGGAGGTACACAGCTGGGTCCGCAGACCCTCCTCTCGCAATTGCGCAATATCGTCGCGCCGGCCAGAAGCATGAAACCTGATTCAATGAGTCTCAATGTGCAGCACATGGCTAATTTACACAACGTTACTTCTCCGTGAAAACACTGTGGAAAGATTTCTGTTAAACATCCTGTCTGATCTTATTTACTGTTTGTTAGCTATAGGTAAAGATGATGAGAGGAATGTGTGCTAGCTGAAGGTAACTTCATACAGTTTTCTGGTTCATTATTATCTTAGGCAACATTAAAGTGACAGCTGATCAACATGTGTAATAAGAGAGGGAATATAAACTTAACGAAAATCAGCAGGAGCAAAACATCAGGTTAATATATTGATAATGTTACATATTTAATGATAGAAGATACAATATTGCCATACTTGATGACTGTATTATGATGCTCTCTCAGACTCTGCTCTGAGAGCTACCTGCATAGTGACATCCTTCACATCACCCCTTAGTGGAACATGGTAAGCCCTGTTTTGCAAATTCACTCTCAATCCTCACTCAAGGTTGGGAGCACAGGTTTTTCATGTTTCACTGAAGCTTTATCAAAAAGTTAAAACAGAACATAAATATAGACAAGCAATTGTGTTTTTCTTATTGTTTGCTTCTTTAGTCTGAATTCTAAAATCGTCTATAAATTCACATTTTAAAGCTGATATTTTTAAAAAATCTTCCTGGGGGAGCATGCCCCCAGACCCCCCTAGGAGGTTTGGATCCATGTCACTTTTGTCATCCCTGATGAGTTTGCACCCCTGAATTACTGTATGTGTAGTAGAGATGGGTTTTTACAGTAATCTGAATACCGTTAAAAAGAAGAGCCAGACACACACAGACCTCCTGGTAGTGTTTTAGTCAAGACCACACTAACTAAGACCAGGACAGACCTTAGACCAGCGTGCTCAGGTCGCCGCCACTGGTGTTGAAGTAAACCTGACCTTAGTGGGAGTGGCCTGCGGTGCTGTGCATTCTGGGATTTGGTGTCTTTCATCCACATGAGCCAAAAAGACACTTTCTGCCTTTTCTCGGCCAAGAAGGCACCAACTTCAAAATGTATTTCACATTTCTACTACATATATGACCCAATGTCAATACAGATTCATGTTTCAACAGGTGAAGTATCTCTTTAACTTTTCCATCATCCGTCTCTCTTTCGCTCTCTCAGATGGGCCTGGGCAGTAACGGTGGTCCGTTTGGGGCCCAGCCCTACGGTCAGGGTGCCACAGGACCCGGCCAGCAGCAGCTCCAGAACAAGGCTGCCCTCGCCAACAGCCTGCCGCCATTCCCCAATGAGCTCAAAGGGGCCGCTGTGACCAGCGTGCCAAACATGGTGAGTGCCTGTTACTCTTTATGAAGATGTTAGATGTGATGCACGCTGAAGAGGTAAAACTTCTCTCAGCAGGTCAGAACCACTCGTGAGGCTTATTAGTCATCAGGTGCTGTTAACGATAACGCTGACCCACTGTTGCAGACTGACCCTAATTTTTGGGCTCAGGAGAAGATTTGAGAAATATTTTATTTCTTCACCAATTCAAGTGTCACGCAGTAACCATAGCAACCTATCAGAGGCGGACACCAGCCTGATACAAAACACAACGATCACAGACTTTTAACAACGTGTATAAACTATTCTACAGATGTCAGTTTTTATTATTTACTGATGGAGTCAGCAGCTTCCTCCTTCAAAATGAAATAGAGCAGCTTCCTCCTTCAAAATAAAATAGAGCAGCTTCCTCCTTCAAAATAAAACTCAGACTTCTCCGAAAGTGAAGCTGCTCCATCGTCCCTTCTGGGCCTCCATACATGTGTGGTGGTGACTGTGTCTGCAGAGACCCTGTCAAACACTGGCGGTTAGCTTGTGCTAGCGTGCGTTAGCATGCGTTAGTAAACGTACACACTACGTCCTGCAGGGGGCAGGGCTTCTGGGGGGGGATGAGCCCAGGAGTAGGGGCCCAGTTTGAATGTTGTTTTTAAGAACTGCTGCTGACTCCACCTTTCAGGTAACTTACAAACATGAACACGTGTCTCTTCATGCAGGCTACAGGTTTGTTTACTTTGTCGTCTTTCTGCTGCAGCTCAGGCTGCCAGAGCTGTCAATCAAACATGAGCTCAACACGCTGCTGTTGGAATAGTTAACTTTGAAAACATAATACAACAGTTGGTCCTGACGCAGGAGTCTGATTGGACGAGAGGCATTCCAGGAGTGCCTCATGTGTGCATCATGCCAGATGATTCTGAGTGTTTGGATTAATCTCGACCTACAGACCCTTTTATTAAACTGGCTGCATGATAAATTAAATCTTGAAAATAAATGTTCATCAGACCAAGGAGCTGGTCTGCGGTCGCCATGGAGACAAAAGTAGAGAGAGTGCAGGAGGATGTTTGGGTTGCTTGGCAACAAGTCAGGACCTGTAGACATGAATTAAAGGAGAGATGTCAGAGTGGAGGCGCTGGTATCCTTGTGGTTAGTGAGTCCTCAAAGTGGCGTTCTGGGTTCAAGTATGACCTCTGGCTTCATCCCCCCCCCCCCCCCCCCCTTCTCTCTCCCTGATTTCTGACTAAAGGCCTAAAAAGCTCCAAAGATCAGCCTGTAAAGATGGAGTTGTAGTGATGCTGCTTCTGAGTGCCCGAGCAGTCCTGGCATCTCTCCCGCCATGAGACCATACTTTGGTCTGCACTGGGACTTCAACTTTAAAAAAGACCAAAGGAAAATTCTACCGGGTGCAATTATTATTTAAAAATGGAGAAAAGAAAAAGCTCTGACATTTTATATTAATAGTAGACTTTATTTGGCATGGACATCACAGGTACATTGGACGAACCAGATGCATTGTTTAAGTGTTTTAGCAAGTTCTCAACACCTGTCCACAGAAACAGATCTTCAATCTATGATAACGTAATGCTTTATGAACTAGTTGGAGTTATTTTAACCACTAAAATCCCACAATGGTGTGTTTAACTCATAACAACATTTGCTTTGTTTCCCCGTGCAGCAGCTCCAGCAGCAGCCACAGCAGCAGGCGATGCTCCCCCTGGCTGCAGGCGGAGGCGTGGCCGTGCCTTCTGCTGGTCCTACTGCAGACCCCGAGAAGCGCAAGCTGATCCAGCAGCAGCTGGTCCTGTTGCTTCATGCGCACAAGTGCCAGCGACGAGAGCAGGCCAACGGCGAGGTGAGGGCCTGTGCCCTGCCTCACTGCCGCACCATGAAGAACGTCCTCAACCACATGACCCACTGCCAGGCCGGCAAGTCCTGCCAGGGTGAGTCACAACTATACATGTTTTTTATATATATATATATATATATATATATACACTTCTCACTGATGTTTGGAGATCTCGTAAAAATAAAGGTTTGGGGCGCTGGTGGCCTAGTGGTTAGTGTGTGCGCCCCATGTATGGAGGCTATTCCTCCAAGCGGGTGGCCCAGGTTCAAATCCAGCCAGTGGCTCCTTTCCCACATGTCATTCTCCCTCTCCCTGATTTCCAACTCCATCCACTGTCCTGTGCCCCCCCCCCCCAAAAAAAAAAAAAAATCTGAAAATAAAGGTTCAAACTGTCTTCCTGCGCTCAGTGAAGTCTACTACGGTCTGTTTATGTGCAGCTGTGTTGCTCACTTTGTGAAGTTTGCTCTCCTACTAGCTACAGAACGATAATCAAGCTCTCAGCCTGCAGGGAAAGTTCTGAAGTACCGACAGCTCGAAAGTCATGCTACCCACCTCCGCTGAATCTATCAGTCAGTCCAGCTCTCCACAAGCTTTATTTACTGACCAGTAAACCACCGATTGATTTAAATGCTGCATGATGACCTCATGACGGAGAGAAGATGGTAAAAAGTGGCGCTGCCTGACTAGTCTGCGTCGCTATGTTTCCCAGCACAGCTTGCAATAGACAATGAACGGGGAGGAATTTTCAATCACATCAGGTGGCGTGCAGTGTGTGCATTTGTCAGTATTTTATACTGGTATACTGGTCACAGCTGACTTTATAAATGGAAAGTGCGTCCTCTACAGCGGGTTTTACGCGAAGTGAAGACTCTGTTTTTAGCAGTTTTTTGTCTTATATTGCGCAAAGTTTAAAAAAAACTTATGTTTCTGGATCCAGTTTAAAATCTTTATCTGATCTCAATGACGGCAACACGCCCGTGCATCCACCTACTTTTAGACCTCAGACTGGGGTCCAAACACCCACCTGGGGGAGGGGTTACTGCCCTTTGTGATGTCATGAAGGGAAAATGTCCAAACGGCCTGTTTGAGCACACATTTTCTGTGAAGTGGAGCAGGGAAGAGGATGGACTTTTCTCATCATTGGGGGGTTTGTAGACAGACTAGAGAAACATTAGAGTTAGAGGAACATGGAGAAACATTTACAGAATATGTGACCATTAGAGGTTGGGGAAAAAAATCGATTTATGTAAAAATTTAGATTCTTCTCTTCTAAGATTTTAAATCAATTCATAACTCTTTTTTTGACTAATCGATCACTCCCTGCTAAGTGCTAATGCTAGCTCTTTAACTCTGTAGGATCAAAAATAGAGCTACAAGAAATTCAGCCAGTCTCACAGATGACTGGAGAAGATCCTGAAGTATGAACTAATTAAAAAAATAGACTTTGAATCCATTGATCAATCGTTTTGAATCGAAAATCGAATCTGAATCAAATCGTGAGACACCCAAAGACTCCCAGGCCTTGTGACCACGTGTGTCTACTTGACCGTCTCAGTCCGCTCTCCCTCCCTCCCTCCCTCCGCTGGTTCTCCTCCTCTTGAACCCAAGGAGTCCCTGCTCCTCTCCTTCCTGTCCAGCGTTTCTGTGATGAAAAATTCCCCTCGAGCTTCCCTCATTGAAATGTTGCTCCATGTCTGCTCTCTGGCCTTGGAACTGGAATGCTTAAGTTACGTTTCAGAGGCCGAGGTGTGTTCAGTGTGAAGGAGTCCATGGTTCTGCTCCCCCGCCTGCCAGCTCATTTCCTCTCGGCTTCATGCTGCCACTGAAACAACCGTGCAGAGAGATTTTGTTCCTGAACTCGAGTTATCGTTGCGGTTTCAGATTTATCTGATGTCTGTTGGCTCGGTTGATTTTCACCCAAGGCACCCTGCAGTTAGCGGTGTGACTGGTGCTTGGATTGGCTTCGCTCCTCGCTCTGAGGCCTTCTCTTTGTTCTTCACCACAGACTGAATCTACAGACAGCCACCGTCATCAACGCCCTGCTATCTCTGACTGCTCGCCAGCAGCGTTGGCGTTCTCACAGAGATAATAAAGTTAAATTGTGTTTACTTGTGCAAAGCCCTCGAAGCCAAGTAGTAATTATTTAAAGAGCGAGAGAGGCTTAATTTAGCACATTAGCGTAGCATGAACTGCAGCGCCCTCACTTCCTGCAGGAACGCACATGGGAATAAGGTGTGGCGTCCTGTCACACCGAGCCGATCAAAGGCCCCTCAGAAGGTGTAAATGTGTGCCGTTAGCTGAACCTGGGATCTGTGAGGTTTCAGTTCTTTAGTTTCTCTCTTTAGCTGGCCGACCATATGTCTCACTTCCTGTTCAGAACCGATATCCTTTCCTAGACTGTTCCTGGTTCTCACCAGACCTCTAGTCCCACGCTGTCATCGTGTTCACTCAGCAAGTTTGAATGAAGATCGATGTTTCATCTATTTTATATACTTTAGAATCTGCTGTACAGGACGCACTTCTGATACCCATCTATTAATCTATGAAGTCGGCTGCATCCTTTATACCGGTATAAAATACTGAGGCACGCGCCGTCGTTACCGTGAGTGCAGCCCTCGCCACCACACACTGCACGCCACATGACGCAATTGAACATCCCCTCCAGTTCATTGTGTTTTGAAGATGTACTGGGAAACAAAGAAACGCAGACAAGGCTGGAAGCACCATTTTTTAACATCCTTTTTTTTTTTTTTTTTTTTTTAAAGATTTATTTTTGGGGCTTTTTGTTCCTTTAATGGAGAGATGGGCAAGTGGATAGAGTTGGAAATCAGGGAGAGAGAGTGGGGAATGACATGCGGGAAAGGAGACACAGGTGGGATTCGAACCCGATCCGCCCGCCTGGAGGACCACAGCCTCCATATATGCGCCCCTATCGTGGTTAATTTGAATCAAACGGGGGTATACTGGTCAGTAAATAAACCGTGTTGTGCTGGACCGATTGAAAGACAACGAGTGACCAGTGGAGGTGGCAGGACAACACGAGAGACGTAGGTCTGTCCATCAAAACGTTCAGAAAGAGAAGACCGCTGCACATAAACCGCACGCCATGAGCTTCACGCCTCAAGCAGGACGGCCGTTTTGAACGTTTTCTCTCCCGGGAACCTGGAGCAGTTGTCCTGAAGTTATATATAAATGATCAGGAGTGTTTGTGTGAAAACGGCTTTGTATTTGTATTGCTGTCATACCCCAAACAGGAAACGATAGTGTTTACATTTTAATGGCATCGTTACAAACGAGGTCCGAAATGACTCTTTTTGGTTTACAGGATGTGATAATAATAATAAATAAATAATAAATCTAAAATAGATTTCATGTGAATTTGCATGCCCCTTTGTGTTGGATGTCAGCATCATGAACCAACCGTCACTGTGAATATACACGTGTATATATATATTATTTAATTTAAATGATCAATATACGCACTTATATTTATGTAAACACTGTAATTTACATCTTAATTGACCCATCTGTGACGTAACTGCATTTTTCTTATTATCATGTTACTTCAGCATCTTTTGCACTATTCACCACTGCACTGTTTCATGTTTAGTCATGTAAATATTAGTCTTTTCTTATTATGTTTATTGTTGATATTTAATGTTGTACCTGTACATAAGAGAGCACAGTTCACCGAAGTTAAATTCCTTGTGTGTGTAAGCATACCTGGACAATAAATCTGATATTGATTCTGCTTTATGAACCCTTTTTTTGTCTCCTTTCCCCCTGCAGTGGCTCACTGTGCATCGTCCAGACAGATCATCTCCCACTGGAAAAACTGCACGCGGCACGACTGTCCCGTCTGCCTGCCGCTCAAGAACGCCAGCGACAAGCGCACCCAGCAGCGTGAGTACAAGCAGCCGCCTCTGAACATCGTCTCAGCTGAATCAGAATTGCATCCAGACATGTCAAGCTTCTGGTTTGTCTCACAAAGTCCTTCGTCTTTATCGTGGTCAGATGTGCTTGAATCTCTCCTCAGCCGGGGGAGTTTGTGTGTAGAGTGTGTGTGTTATGTTTTGACGCTCAGGATGGTCAGCCAATTTATTTTCTAGCTTTGTGCTCCTGAGCGATGTGTAAAAAGCACTGTGTGAGTAAGAGTCCTGCTGGGTTTGTGATCTGACACACAGGAGGGCTTAAAAGAGGGATGAGAGTGCTGAGCTGCCGGCTGTTACTCCCAGTTACAACTGGGCGGAGTTTGACGCCCAGGCATTAAAACGGTTTCTCTCGCTCCGTCCATGCAAACATCGTCACAGGCTCACGGCTCTTCTCTGCCCTACCTTCCTGTTCATCCTTCTCTGTATAACTTTGCTCACCCTTGACTCCTCTGCGCTCTAAAGTTTCTATCACTAACAGCGCTGCAGTGTTGGGCCGTCCCTATGTGGCTCACATGTTAAAGAAGGCATCCAGTTAAAGATACTGGATGCCTTCCTTCTTTGTTCTGACTCGTCTGATATGTGTCTTTCTACAAACTACAATCTTTTAACCACAATCAAAGTCTGAACCTGGATAAATATGCTGATGCTGTTTCCCCTGCAGGCGTTCATACATATATTCAGTCCGCTGCTGTTTGAAGCGTTCAGCCTTTTAGCATACTCACCGTATGCTGCTGTCTTATGACTTCATCCTGCCCCAGGTCAAATTGTGAACGCATGTGTATTTGATTCAACCTGCTCTACTCCAGGTTTTGGCACACAGTAGAAACATGTGTATGTGTTTAGGTACTGTAGCTGGTGCTAGCTGACTGCTCCGTCTCTCTCCACAGCCATGCTGAGCTCCCCCAACACAGGCCTCCAGAACCCCATGGCCTCAGTTGGTGTGGGCCAGCCCAGTGCTCCCACCATCAATACCTCAACCCCCATAGACCCCAGCTCCATGCAGAGAGCCTACGCAGCACTTGGGCTGCCCTACAGCAGCCAGGCCGCGGGGCAGACCCAAGCTCAGCAGGCTGCAGGCCCAGGACAGACCGCAGGCGCCCAGAATGCACAGGCCCAGCAACAGCAGCTCAGACCCATCAATGCACTTGGTAAGTCCAGGACGATTGTTCTCCTGTATTTTATGAGCAGTTAAAGAAACTTTAAAGAAGATTTTTTTCACACATGAACCTTTAACTGTATAAACAGATGGAGGACGTGTCCCCACTTCCTCCTCTACTTTGCTACTGGTGCACACAGCAACACAGGAGTCTCATTGGTCAACAAAGCTGTCAATCATGGACATCATTTAAACCTCTTTAGAGCATCAAAAAAACTGATTTAAAACTATCAAATAAGAGGACTTGAACAAATCAGCGGGGTGATAACAACCACGCTTTAAAAAAGTTTGCCTCATGTCCCTCCTGCTAACATGGAGGAGGCGGGGTTTATGACCTATACGGTCAAAACTGATTGGCTAGTGTGAGTGCGCCCTTAGAGTGTGTTTGTTGTGTCGACTGCTCTCCAGGTGGAGTCGTGGCGGCCTTTTTTAAAACCTCTCTATGACTGAGCCTGGTGATAATCATCACTTCAAGGCTGTTTGCTCACAGCGTTTTGTATTTACAGGTAACCAGATGGCTCTCGGAGGAGCGGCGATGGGTGTGGCCGCTTCAGATCAGACGAACCTGCACACAGACTCGCTTTCCAACACACTCAACACTAACAAGTGAGTCCTTGAACAACTGTGCATCTTTATACGCTGAATAACATGACGACTACCTGTACAGGTTTACTCGACTTAATGCTCATCTAACCTTTGACCTTATGCTTCTTCCACCTGCAGTCAGCTGCTGTCAGACGGTTCTGTGGGCTCGATGGGAAACCTCCCGACAGCAGCACCCATCTCTGCCACGGGCACCCGGAAAGCGTGGCATGAGCATGTCACTCAGGACCTGCGAAATCACCTCGTGCACAAACTGTAAGCTCATTCTGCTGCTGGAGACGTGTTTGTTTTAGAGTGCATGATCACAGACTATTATAGACGATCACAGATGATCACAGACTATTATAGACAATCACGGACTATTATAGACGATTACAGACGATCAGAGACTATTATAGACGACCACAGACTATGATAGACGATCACAGGCGATCACAGACTATTCTAGATGATCACAGTCATCTTAGAGCTGCTTTCACACCTGCACAAATCTGAGAGCTGAATGTTTCTCTCTTTATCCGGAGTTTCTCCTCCAGCCTCCTCGTATTTGTTCTGCAGAAAGTCAGAGTGAGCTGATGTGAGAACGCAGCAGGATATAATCAGGAGAATTCACCTGGAGCGAGTGGGAGGGGGTGGTGACGTTTATTTCCTGCGATCGCTGCACGACTATAGACTGTCTGCACGCCACCTCTACCATCTCTGTGCTCTAATGAACCTGCTGCATTAGTTTTCCTGTTCTCCAGTATGTTCTTCTCCACTCTGCAACAAATTGCATTTTTGGGGACTTGTAGATGCTTTAAAACTCTTCCAGTTCAGCATGTGCATCAGGCCTGGTGAAAAATATGATTTTTGCTCAATAGCGTCCCCCAGAGAGGATACTTTAGCCGATTCTGTTGAACTACACAAAGCAATGATATAAAGACAGATTGGAGTGTTTGTGTGAAAACAGCTTCAGCTCTCTGTTGACTAAACTCTCAGGAGTTCTTAAAGTTTAGACGTAGAAGTTGCCATACATATATATATGTGTGTGTGTTATAAATGTTCGAATCCTGTTCTTCTGTGGCAGAGTACAAGCCATATTCCCGACCCCTGACCCTGCAGCGTTGAAGGACAGAAGGATGGAGAACCTGGTGGCATACGCCAGGAAGGTGGAGGGGGACATGTACGAGTCGGCTAACAGCCGGGTAGGTCTTAACTCATCACGGCCGAACATCAAGCTTACCGGAAAGCATTAATTAGTATAATTCTTATGTTCCATCTTCTTCTGAATCTCCCCCCCCCCAGGATGAGTACTATCACTTCCTGGCTGAGAAGATCTATAAAATCCAAAAGGAGCTGGAGGAGAAGAGACGCTCGAGGCTACAAAAACAAATCATCAACCAGGCACCTCTGGCGGCCCAGGGGACCCAGCAGCCTGGGCTACCCCAGACCAACGCCTTCAGCCCGAGGCCTCAGAGTGAGTACAGCGCGGATACCATCTCTGATGATTAGTTTCTGTAAAACTCGGACTAATCTGCATACTCGTGGAGAAATCTAAGTGCCAAGTTTACATGTGTTCATGGAGGTTAGGAAAGAGGACTCTGCTTTGCTGACACGTCGACCCTCAGGAGATCACTGATGCTGATTACATTACGATATGAGGATCTGTCAGTCTGTAGAGATTCAGGTTATGTTTGGTCACACAGACCAACAAAAGCAGTTTCAAACGAGGTGTGGTGGGGTGTATCTCGGGCCCAGAGTAGTGACGAGTACTGTAAAATCCGGTATATAAGATGTCTGTTTTGAATATTTCTTATATAGAGAAAAAAAAGTTTAAACTGTCTTACTGCGTGACATTTTATATTGTGTTCAGCGATGTCTACAATGTGCAGTTTCTGTACAGCTGTGTCGCTCTTTTAGTTCTGTTTGCTTTCACTTTGTGGAGTTTTCTCTCCTACTAGCTACAGTACGGTAGTCGAGCTCTCAGCCTGCAGGGAAAGTTGTGAAGCACAGACTCCTAGCTTGCGAGTCTCACTGCCCGACTCCACTGGTCACTCTTTAACTTTAATATAGGACTCTTTCAATCAAAAGAGCACTCCACAAGGTTTATTTACGGAACAGTATACCACTGTTTTCTGTAAATGCATGATAATGACCTCGTGAGGAAGAAAAGATCTGGAAAAAGTCACGTAGCCAGCCTGGTCTGTGTCGCCGTCTTTCCCAGCACAGCGTGTACTCAGCTTTCAATACACAATGAATGGGGATGGGTTTTTAATCACGTCAGGTCGCAGTGATAGGGGCTGCTGCACCCGCTGTAATGACGGCGCGTGTTTCAGTATTTTATACTGGTATATTGGTCGCACCGCTGTATAAGACACAGCCAAGATGAAAAAATAGGTATTAAAAGTGCTTCTTATACACCGGATTTTACGGTAGTTTGAAAACATCTCTCTCGACCGCTTGAATCAGCAACACCTCCTCTGTGATGTAATCGTTGACAGCATTTGTTATTTGTTGCCGTCTGTTTCTCTTCTCGCTGAACGACTGCAGAAGGTTGAGCGAGCAGGTCGTCTGCTCGCTCCCAAAGCTTTCCATATTCTTCATATTCTGCATGCTGGTTAATTTGAAGGTGAAGAAAGACGTCGTCTAATCGCCGCCTTCAACAGGCTCTGCTTCCCGACATAGTCTGTAGATTGACGAGATCGGTCTTTTAAAGGCTAGCCCCCTCCTCTCGAGTGAGGAGGATCGATGTCTAGAAGTGAAATCTAATGACGTCGACCCTGAGGCTGCTGGTGGTTGTTTACGTATTTGAACCCTTAGCCATGCAGGCAGCTACGCTAGCTTAGCTTGTTGTGATGGGTGAACACTGCAGATGTTCTCGTTGTACGTTGTAGTCCGTCCTGCTCGGTGTGATCAGGCGGTGAATGTGTGCGTGCTCACAGGTTTTGAGACGATGTTTGTTCTCTCTTTCTTCACAGACGGACCCGTTCCTCTGCCCAACATACCAAACCAGATCATGAATCGCATGCAGGTTTCACAAGGTACAACTACCATATCAAATGTTGCATATCGCCTCATACAGCACTGACGTGGAACTGCTCGTTCGATCTCAGAAACTTAAGCTGCTTGTAAATCGACATGTGTTTAACTTTAACTGAAAACTTATTTTTAGGCGTAAAGTAACAAAATGATCTATGCCACATAGTGATGGTGGCATCGTGTGCTGCTCCTGCACTTCCTGTTGACTGAGAATCGTTTTCCACTTTCTGTTCAGGAATCAACCAGTTCAACCACATGGCTCTGCCAAACGCACAGATATCCCAGGCACCGATGGGAGTCCGAGCTGCCTCCCCCATGAACCACCCGCAGCAGATGAACATGAGCACAGTCCCAGCGGTGAGGAGGAAGGACACACACATACACACACACACACACGTAAAGGAAGCTAGGGTTAGTGGGAGTCTGAGTCTGTTTCCCGGACTCAGGAGGGGATACAGCCTTTTGAACCCTTAGTGCAAATTAAACTTGTGTGTCAGAGAACAAGACCACAGTAAATACAAGGAAGGGGTCATTAGGATACAAAGTCAGGTGCTACTCGGATGGTCCATGTTTCCGAGTTTGGAAGTCGTTCTTCCGACTTCAGTGTGTTCACATGATTTAAGTTCAGAAAGTCGGAATGTTGTAACAACAGCACAAACAAGCGTTGATGCTACAAAGAAGATCAGTGAAATGTAACTGTCAAAAGTTATATTTGATAAAAAAGTTGATGTGCAATACGTGAATTAATAAAAAGTATGTTAACATTAACAAAAAAATATTTTGCCCCCCATTTGATGACGATTCTGACATCAAGTCGTGAAGTCAGGCACCTTATTCTTTTCCGAGTTGTTGGTCTGACTTGAGCAGGTGTTCATGTGCACACCTTTTGATGAAGTCTGCTATGGTTTACAATGATTTTAGAACAGCTGAGGGGGTACGTGATAATCCTCACTTGTAATGTAGTTTTCGTTTTGTCACATTTTTGTGGATTAGATGAAGTAATATTATTTATCAAATCTAAGTCTGGACGACTAGAAGCTCTGCTGCCCTGCACCAGTCAATCTGTGGTGATTATTTCAGGTTGTTATTGTGAATCACCCCTGACTCTACTCATATCTTCCTGCCTTGTAGATGGGGATGTCTCCCTCCAGGATGCCCCAGGCTCAGGGCATGATGGCCGGACACGGTGGTGCTAACATGGTGGGCCAGACGGCCAGCCAGGGGCAGTTTCTGGCTCAGACGCAGTTTCCTCCAGGATCTGCTGCGGTCGCTGCGACAGGCACCATGAATGTCACCGTGGGGCCAGGAATGGGACAGCCGCAAGCACAGGCTGCCGTCACCCAGGTGAGACACAAACAGCGACTAAGGGGTGAGGAGCGGTTTGTAAACAGAGCGGCTGCAAAGTTGTGTTCCAACTTGCTGCAGGGGAACTCAAACTTTTCAGCGATCATGAGAGGCTCTAATTAATCTTAAAGTGTTCTCATAGCGATCACTCTGTGTTCTCTAAACTTCTAATTGTGTGCGGTGTTGTGTTTGACTTTGTGTTTGTCTGCTTTTTCTGTGTGTTTGCCTGCCTTTCCTTTCTGTGTGTGTGTGTGTGTGTGTGTGTGTGTGTTTGTGTGTGTCCTTCTCTCCAGCAGCAGCAGCAGCAGCAGCCGAGCGCTAACCTCCCCATGAATGCACTTGGCCCCTCGCTGGGCCCTCAGCTAGCCTCCTCCCAAACCCCCTTGCACTCCACGCCTCCACCTGCCGCCGCCTCCTCGGCCTCCACGGCTGGGGGGGCCACTAACCTGCCGCACCCCCAGCCCTCCAGTCGCAGCTCCACCCCCACCCTCCCTGGCCCTGCCCCAGCCCCAGGTGCCACCCCACCCCGCCCCACCCAGCCCCAACCCCAGATGGAGCTCCCCGCAGCAGCACAGACGCAGCCCCCGCCTCAGCCCCCTACCACACCGGTGAGACAGAGAACCTTCGCATGCCCTCCACTCTGAACCCCCCTTCCCCTGCAAGCTCCCATCCTTTTGACTGCCATGTACCATTCCGCCCCCATTCACATCCACCTTTCAGCATCCTTCACTGGGAATGCTCCATCTTTCAAGAGATCGATAGCAGACGTGTTGGTCTGTGTCGCGGCTTCAGCCCTGCATGCAAACAGAACAGAGAAACTTGAATCAGAAGCTCATGTCTGTCTCTACTCTCCCTCCTCTGTGTTGCAGCTTTCTCAACAAGGAGCCAGTCTCGATAACCGGGTGCCCACGCCGGCCTCAGCCGCCAGTGCCGACCTGCCCACCCAGGAGGTCAAAACAGAGACGCACCACGACCAACAAGAGTTTGAGGCCGCTGGCGGCAAAACTGAGCCCAAGATGGAGGTGAGCTGAAGCTTTGTGGTTCACTTTCCTCTAGTAGATAAGGAAGCTGCGCTGATAGATAGATAGATAGATAGATAGATAGATAGAAACTTTATTAATCCCTTGGGAAGGTTCCCTCAGGAAATTCAGATTCCAGCAGCAGGTAACACCAAAGGATAGAACAGCACACAGATAAAAACACAAGTGTATATACAAATAATATACTGTATACAGTAGCAGCAATAGACATGTCTAAATAAAATATACCGGTACAGATTTATAATGAAATAGCAGCAGCAATAAAAAAAAGGAGCAGCAGTTGTGTTGTTTTGTATTTGTCTTTTGTGTTTATAAATAGATAATTAACAATAAATAATGAATAATGCAAGCGGATTGTGTTGTCGTCTGATGATACTCACTGATGCTCCTTCAGCAATGCAGACGACGCAGATGCAGATCATTTATCTGATAGTGATTGTATGTTACGTCATGATTGACAGCTCTGTTGATAAACGCCGCTCCTGCAGCGCCGTGTGCACCGCAGAGTAGAGACAGATTCATAATTTATCTTTCTTGTCTCCAGACTGAGGACGACACTTCCTCAACGACGGTGAAGAAGGAGGAGCCAGAGGAGAAGCCGGAGCCAATGGAGGTGGAGGAGAAAAAGCCGGAAATAAAGACTGAACCCAAAGAAGAAGAAGAGGGCAGCGCCAACAGCACCACCTCCTCCTCGCCCTCTCAGTCACGGAGGAAAAGTGAGTCCAACGTCAAGCGTGGAATGAAACCTTTGTACGGTCTCTGCAAGCGTCAAGGGTTTTCTGCAATGCCATGTTTATGCACCCACTCTGAGCCAACAGTGAGGCAGAGAGGGAGGTAGAGAGAGAGGGGAATGACATGCCGCATGCTGGATTCGAACCCGGGCCACCTGCTTAGAAGACTGTAGCCTCCATGCATGGGCACACAAACTAACCACTGCGCCACCAGCGCCCCGTGATTTATTCAGAGTTTCATTCAAAGTCCAGACTACTGTCTGATTTCGCTCTTAAAGTCTCGACAGGCTGGAGTTCAGGAAGTTTAATGACCCAAAGACAGTCGGACCTGCACATCGGTTTAATTTATTTGTTTGATGCCGATTCAATGTTCAAAAACGTGATTAGACGCCTGATGTAAGTTTGTGCAGCATGATCGGATTTAAAAGACGTTACTCGACTTTGAGACCAGATAGCAGCGTCAATAAGCTTTGTTTTGAAAAGTGCAGTCGGGTCTTTCCTCATCATCAGGGTACTGAGGAGTCTTTTTGTAAAGCTAGTCTGAAAGATGTCGTCACCGGTTTCCCACATGGGATTAAAGTCTGTTAAACATTCTTCTTATCTCTGGATCTTTCTTTTTAGTCTTTAAGCCGGAGGAGTTACGCCAGGCTCTGATGCCGACTCTGGAGTCTCTGTACAGGCAGGACCCCGAGTCCTTACCCTTCAGACAGCCGGTAGACCCCATTCTTCTGGGTATCCCGGTAAGTTTAACATTTTCTTATGATGAGTTTCAGTTTAGCTGCACTTTCAAAGTCCTGTTTGCATTTTTTATGAATTAAAAGATATTTGGTGTTTTTCTAAACATGTCTCGATGTTGTTGAAGTTTAAAAATCTGGAACTGTGAGGACACTGAAATGTTTGGTTCCGTCTCCAGGACTACTTCGACATCGTTAAGAATCCAATAGACCTGTCCACAATAAAGCGTAAGCTGGACACAGGTCAGTACCAGGAACCGTGGCAGTACGTGGACGACGTCTGGATGATGTTCAACAACGCCTGGCTCTACAACCGCAAGACGTCGCGTGTCTACAAGTTCTGCTCCAAACTGGCCGAGGTGTTCGAGTCCGAGATCGACCCCGTCATGCAGGGTCTGGGGTACTGCTGTGGCAGGAAGGTGAGATCAGGAGGGCGCAGGGATTAAAGTTCTCCGTTGCTACGACGGATTTCCGTCAATTTCAAAATGGTAATACATTTTGTCAGTATCAATAAGACAAAAAAAGTCGAGCAGAATTTGGGTTAATGACAAACTTGCAAACTGCTGTTTCTAATGTCAGGCATTTATCTGAATCCTGTAACACAAGTGTAGTTTTGCGTCTGGGTGGCATTTCAATGTACTTTAATCTGCTACGTGAAGTCCGCTCTGTGTAGGAGCCTTTTATTGTGGTAGCGAACATCAGCGTGCACTGCCCGTCATGTCTAGACTTTTTTTTAAGTCTCCGATGTGCAATTTATTTACCAGACCAAAGAAATACCAGGGAAATAACAATCCGTAACATGACAGAGTTTACCGTTAAAGTTTTATTACGTGCAGGCAGAGCAGACAGTCGCCGAGTGCTCCGCTACCGGACACACTCTGTTAGAAACGTGTGTCAAGTCAACAGGTGATACAACACAATTCTTACATGTCATATTAGCTTAACAAGCTAGCACTAGTTTACTTTTAACGACTGAGTGGGTGAAAGTTATAAAATACAATACTGCATAAGTTCTGTCCAATGTAAAAAAAAAAAGCCTTAAAATAAAATATACTTCTTACTCCACTGAATTTATAGAAAATCTTAAGTTTGTTTGCTAGTTACTTCTCAGATTCAGATTTATAATGCAAAAAAGGATGAATATACTATTTGTTGAAAACATCTTTATTATATGCCCTGGGAATTCACAAGGTATCCAGCTACAGGTATCGAAGTAGGATTAGCTCCAACTGTAGCAATGACAACAAAATGAGGAACACATTAATGCATGAAAAAAATATATAAATAATATTCTGTAGAAGGTAAATTTTTGCAAAGTAACTATTATTCATTTGTTACTCTAGACTAAAGTCTGATACGTTTTTTACTCTTCAGTGTTTGAGGGTATGTCTGTGTTGTTGCTACTTTAGGCTGCATAAGGTTAAGGACAGAGTAGGCTTCTTATTTAGCATCAAAACATCCTGGCTGTAGGTCAAATTTGTTAAAAAGAAGCAAGCTCATATCTGTCTGCCTAGATCTTGAGCTTCAAAAAGGAAAAATGTGTCAGTTTTATTCCTTAGATAGAAAACAGTCAAAATGTTTTTTTCTGCTTTAATCCCTGAGGGTGGGCGGTGGGGACGTTAAAGAGGGTCCTAATGAAATACTAAAGTTCAGACTAAGAGCTACTCTTCAAAGATGCTGATGGAGAGGACGACTCAGGTTTTTTCTGACCATCTGTGTCATGTCATTCATGTCTGCAGTACGAGTTCTCCCCACAAACCCTCTGTTGCTATGGCAAGCAGCTCTGCACCATACCCACTGGAGGGACCTACTACAGCTACCAGAACAGGTAACTGTGTGTGTGTGTGGACTTTTTAGGTTGGGTACAATCACTTCTATCTGAACCAGTTCTCTTGCCCGCTTCCATCACTGCAACACCTGTTGGTTTGACCTGATAACTGCTCTCATATCTGGCAAACCGAGGGGCGTCTAAAACGGCCGTGTGGGGGGTGTCTTAAAACCGCCTACCTTCTCTGGTCCAAACAAATCCAGAGCATTCAGGACCAGAATCTAAAGTTAGAAGGAGGACATACTGGCTGCTGCATTGTTGTCAGAGAAGCCAGCACTTCAACATAGCATGTTTCCTTAATGTCTGATCATATAGTAAGCTCACTTTATCATTTCACTCACTACACATCTTACTGATTGGTTCTCCTAATGTCCACACAACTTTCTAGAGCATCAGACAGTGGGAGAAACCCAGCTCAGCATCACTGGAGGGAAAGTGTGAATCTCCCCCCCCCCCCACACACACACACACACACACACACACACACACACACACACACACACACACACACACTTGATGATATTTTAACACTCTGGTTAAGGCCACAAACAGCCTTTTCCTCTCAGTTGAAAACCAGCTGATGGCTGCTTACACCATGTCACCTTGCACCTCCTGCTGCACAAACTGTGTAACTGCAGCCCTTAAACCAGGCAGTTAGAGAGTGCAGCGTGAGGCTCCTGCAGCGCCGACCATTTACACTCTGGATAGTAGCGCAGGGAATCCACTCTCTCTGTTATCAAACACAAAAGACAAGTTTCACTTTGTGCATGATGAAGCTGCCACATGGCGTAAAATACTTCAGTTACATAAAGAGCAGCAGGTCATCTATCTGACCACCTGATGATTTTTATTCTTCAAAGTCTGCAGCGTTCAGTTTCTGTGTCGCTCTTTAAGTCCCGTCTGTTTTTTACTTTGTGGCGTTTGACAGCCTGCGAGTCGTTCTGCTTGCCTCTGCTGGTCACTCGTTGACTTAAACTGAGGAGTCTTTCAATCACAACAGCACGCCACTGTACATGCATATCATAATTTCATTCAGTAATTTTGTCTTTGTTTCAAATTTTATGTATATTTTTCCTCATCAAGGCAACGGCGATCTGTAAATAGTTTGTATGTTTGATGATGCTGTCTTAGGTTTCTGTCATTGAAGCTCATGTGTAGAAGCATCTTCAAAAATTTCAATAAAAAGTTGATCACAAAAGAAAACAGCACGCCACACGCTTTATTTACTGAGCAGTAAACCACCGCCTGACCTCACGACGGAGAAAATATCGTGAAGTCACGCTTCCAGCCTCGCTATCTCGTCCCAGCTCTGTTTACAATCCACGATAAGTTGGAGTTAATTTTTAATTGCATCAGGTGGCGTACTGTGTTTGATGGTGGCGGCTTGCACTCGTGGTAATGGCGGCCCCGCTGTACCGTACCGTGCTGAATCACGATTTCCCCCATTCCCCTGTCGGCCTGCACTCACACTGCTCCACGTGAACGCTTCACCGCTACCGGAGGTCACGCTACATCTGGAGAGTTGAATGTGCTGATTGATAAATGTTTTCTTCTTTTTTTTTTTCAGGTATCATTTCTGCGAGAAGTGTTTTAACGAGATCCAGGGCGAGAAGGTGACGTTAGGAGACGATCCCGCACAGCCGCAGACGTAAGTGAACCAGATGAAACCCAACACCATGCTTTTAGAAACGAGCTCGTTGACGACGTTCATGTTTTATTTTGAAGACAAATAAAATGGAAACAGTTAAAGTGAGACGTTTCCCAGCTGTCGTTAGTGGATCCAAACCGCCGGGCTTAGACGTCATCTTTAGCTTCTTTATCTTCAGACATGTGGTCGGATTCTTTCTTTAATGACGTCTCAGCGTTTGTCGACTTTTTGAAACGATCCTCGGCAGCGTGGTCGGACTAAAGAGTATTTTGACTTGATCTCCTCTTTGTTTTATTCTCCCCAGGATGATCTCTAAAGACCAGTTTGAGCGGAAGAAGAACGACGTCCTTGACCCTGAACCGTAAGTAGAAGGCGACCTTTCCCCTCCGTCAGTGTGCGAGGCTGACTCTGTCGGCGTTTAAGTGTCTTCTTCTTCTTCTCTGAAGTTTGTCTCATGTGTGTTTAATCATCATTGGCTGCGTTTCCTGCTCGCTTGTTTTCTACCCCCACATCTGGCTTTGTTTGTGTTCAGGCCGGGAGTCTCTCTCTCTCTCACTCGCTCGCTCTCTCTCTCTCTCTCTCTCTCTGCCTCGCTCTCTCTCTCTCTTGCTTGCTCGCTCTCCCTCTCCATCGCTCTCTCCCTCTCTTTCGCTCTCTCACTTGCTCTCTCTCTCTCCACCTTGTGGATCCTGTGCTTTTGCTCCTCTTCCAAACGTCTGGGGTCGAGGAACAGTAAGGGGCGCTCAGTCGAACAAACTGGACTCGCTCTCCCTCTCGCTCGCTCGCTCTCTCTCTCTGCCTCTCTCGCTTGTTCTCTTTCTCTCTCTCCATCGCTCTTTCTCTCTCTCGCTTGTGGATCCTGTGCTTTTGCTCCTCTTCCAAACGGTGCTCAGGCGCCGTACGGATCGCCTTGTTGTAGCGGCTAACTGATCTTTGAAAGCTGCTGTGAATACGTTTCCTCTTGCTTCCCTTCAGGTTTGTTGAATGTAAAGATTGTGGACGGAAGATGCACCAGATATGTGTCCTACACTACGATGTCATTTGGCCGTCTGGGTAGGTTTTCAGTCTCTACGTAACGATTTCTGCACACAGCGTTGGTTTATTGTCACAATGCCTTAACTCTCGTCTCTCTCTCTTCAGATTCATCTGTGACAACTGTCTAAAGAAGAGCGGGAAAACACGCAAGGACAACAAGTTCTCTGCAAAACGTGAGTTCAGATTCTCACACTCTCTCCCTCTATCTCCCTCTCTCTCTCTCTCTGTCTCTCTCTCTCTGTCTCTCTCTCTCTCTCTCTGTCTCTCTCTCTGTCTCTCTCTGTCTCTCTCTCTCTCTCTCTGTCTCTCTCTTGTCTCCCTCTCTCTCTCTCTCTCTCTCTCTCTCTCTCTCTCTCTGTCTCTCTGTCTCTCTCTCTCCCTCTCTCTCTCTCTCTCTCTCTCTCTCTCTCTCTCTGTCTCTGTTTCTCTCTCTCAATCTTTCTCTCCCCCTCTCGTCATGATTACTGTTCGGTTTTACGACGTCGACCACGTCCACCTGCACACGGGCTGCACATGCCTCGCTCTCATTGGCTCCCTTATTTTTTATGTTGGCCTTGTGGTCTCACTGGTATTCTCTCCTGCTTTGTACCCTTCTATAACATGTGGCCTTCATAGCATCTCGTGTTCTCAGTCCTGAGCTTTCTGTCCTGATCTCTCTCAGGCCTGAGCTTGTCTTTTGACCCTAAAGTTGAAAGGTTTCTCGTATGTGTTCTGTGCAGGACTGCAGTCCACCCGATTGGGAATGTACATAGAGGACCGTGTGAATAAGTACTTGAAGAGACAGAACCACCCGGAGGCCGGAGAGGTGTTTGTGCGAGTGGTGGCGAGTTCGGACAAAACGGTGGAAGTCAAACAAGGAATGAAAACGAGGTGAGAGCATCACAGGCGGGACGGCAGAGGGTCATATGTGCAAACAGATTCAAAGATTCAAGATTCAAGATTCAAAAAACTTTATTGTCTATAAATTACCTTTTGTTGAGGCTCAACATACAAACATTCACACTCACATTAGGTCATAAATAGTTAAAAGTACCCGAAATAGGTAAAAACACATATGCACAGCATTTAAAAAACATTGCTTATTTAGCCTTGTTTAAAATGCATATTGCAGTGGGAATAAAGGAGTTTCTGTAAGTTTTCTTTTTCCTGAGTGGTACTCTAAAACGACTGCCTGAGAGGAGCAGCTGAAACGTGTAGTGAAGCTTGCGTGGTGAAACAGCTTTTCTTACATTAATTTTTCTGTCTCATGTCAGGTTTGTGGACACAGGTGAAATGCCCGAAACCTTTCCATACAGAACCAAAGCACTTTTCGCCTTTGAGGAGATTGACGGCGTGGACGTGTGCTTCTTCGGCATGCACGTGCAGGAGTACGGCTCTGAGTGTGCATTCCCCAACACCAGGTATGTACAAAAGACAGTGTTAATCTTCACACCATTTTCTAATTTAGTCATCTAAAAAATCTCCTTTTATATTTAGTCAGATATTAGTCATTTGTTATTGATTTAATTTAGTCAATTAGTCACTGACTAAAATTGCACATAATTTTAGTTGACGAAGATATTTTAGTCACTCAAAATAAAAGCGTGCGTCTTATTTTGTTATCAGAAGCTCCAGGGGGCGGGGCTTCACAGACCTGCAGGCTCCAGGCTGCACATTGTTGCACTCGCCACACACACACATCTTTGATGAAGTCTGCTATGGTTTACAATGATTTTAGAACAGCTGAGGTGGTTTAACACTTATTTATCAAGGACATGATAAATAAGTCACTTGTAATGTAGTTTTCGTTTCATCAAATTTTCGTCAATTAGATGAAGTAATATTATTTATCAAATCGTCAAATAGCCGAGTTTCGTCTCGTCATTGTCATAGTTGACTAATTTAAAAATACCAAATATTTTCGTCATTTATTTTGTTGACGAGATCAACACTGACAGGAGGTTAATGTAGGCGGTGCTGAAAGCATCAGGTGCTGGTTAGTAACCATGCTCCCTCTCTCTGCCTCTACAGACGGGTCTACATATCGTACCTGGACAGTATTCACTTCTTCAGACCGCGGCTTCTGAGAACAGCCGTGTACCACGAGATCCTGATCGGCTATCTGGAATACGTCAAGAAGCTCGGGTAAGCCTCACACTGCTTTGAAGACGCATCATGGGAGTGAGAGTCTCTGGAGATTTGTTAACGTATCAGCCTCTTTATTTCCCAGGTATTCCCAAGGTCACATCTGGGCGTGCCCTCCCAGTGAAGGAGATGACTACATCTTCCACTGCCACCCCCTTGACCAGAAGATCCCCAAGCCCAAGAGGCTGCAGGAGTGGTACAAGAAGATGCTGGACAAGGCCTACGCAGAGAGGATCCTGCACGACTACAAGGTGAAGAGGAGGACTCTCTTTTCAGATCTGAGAACAGAGTTGTACTCATGCTACTGTAGGGGTTATTAACTGGTAACGTGAAATATTAGACTGAATGAAACATGGACGTAGTCTCAGATAGTCTCTGAGACATCAACCATTGGTGTCTGAAAAGGCGTTTTAAAGCCAAACGATGGCTGACCCCGTATAAGGCTATATCTACCCAACTATGTCCACCCACCCAACCCAAAAGTGTCTGCTATGTGACGATTTCGGTTCATCAAAGGGCGTTTGCGCTCCTGCTAGCTACAGTACGCTGCACACCTGTGCTGGTTGTCCTTAACTGAGGAGTCCGTCAATCCAAAGAGCAAGCAAAATGCTTCATTTACTGAAGCATCATTACGACCTCACGACATAGAAAAGGTGGAAAAAGTCACACAACCAGCCTGGTCAGCGTCGCTGTGTTTCCCAGCACAGCGTGCAATACACAATGAATGCAGGTAAATTTTATGAGGGGGCGTGCATTGGGTGATTGTTTCGCTGAACTCGCAGTTATGATGACATGTGTCAGCATTTTATCCAGGTATATTTGTGGCAGCGGTGTATAAGACGCAGTGTACTTTCATACAGCGGGTTACACCTGTCAGTCAAAGTCATGCCGAGCTCCTCGCCCCTCAATATGATCAAAAGGGCATTTTTTCCACTTCCTCATTGTTTTCATTGTTTAACACTGGAGGTCGTTTGTTGAAGTGTACGTTTAGATTTATCAAAGACGAGATTCTTTAAAAGCTCATCTGATCCATCTCTCTCTCTCTCTCTCTTGTTGTGTTTAGGACATTTTCAAACAGGCGACAGAAGACCGTATCACCAGCGCTAACGAGATGCCGTACTTTGAAGGAGACTTCTGGCCCAACGTTCTAGAGGAGAGCATCAAAGAGCTGGAGCAGGAGGAGGAGGAGAGGAAGAAGGAGGAGAACACGGCGGCCTCTGAAACTCCTGAGGTCTGCTCTTTGTTCAAATAAATATCTTTTGATTCCAGTCAGACGTTAGAACAAAGTGTGACTGAAGATCTGAAGCGCCGTTGAAGACAACCTTGCAGTGGCGAGACGTTAATAACACGTCTTTGTTTTTCCCCTCACAGGGCACGCCAAGTGACAGCAAGAACGCCAAGAAGAAGAACAACAAGAAGACCAACAAAAACAAGAGCAGCGTGAGCCGAGCCAATAAGAAGAAGCCTGGGATGCCGAATGTAGCCAACGATCTGTCCCAGAAACTCTACGCCACGTTGGAGAAGCACAAAGAGGTCCGACCCGTTTGGTTTTTGTCCCGTCAATTATGGCGTTTTCACATTAAGCACGATTGTTCGGTAACGTGACAGAGTACGATTCCTCCCCGGCTGGTCTGCGTTCATTAGTAACATCATTCTGTAGGGGGCAGTGTGCGCATTGGCAGAATGAAGTAACCATGGCAACCACTCGCAGACTGGGTCCATCCTGCTAACTGTTTATGTTGTTTCTGAGACACCAGCAACGACCCTCTTCCTACTTCCTCATCCAGCATGCAGCTCAGGGGTGGAAACGGGCTGCGCTGCGAGGACACGACGGTTTTTGAAGCCAGTGGCGGCTAGCGCCCGTTGGCCGCAGCCACCAAAACACAAGACCGGCCTGTCGGCAGCAACTGTCTCGCCACTATGTTTATATTTTTTCGCCATTATCAGCTTTCTCCATAGAGCCTGTTAGCAAAGCTTCCAAGCAATATGGCAGACGTTAAGTTTAGATTCTGGGAGTGAGTTTCCACCCACTGATCTGTGATTGGTCTGTAGCTTCAGTGGTCGAAAATATGAGGAACTAGCGTTGTAAAAAAATAGTCATTTTGCGTCACTGGACGCTCCTTTTCAGACTTCAAAATACAAAGATTTCCCATCTCGGGAACATGAGGGCGGGATGCACGACCATTCAAAAATACTACCAGGTTTCTGATGATACAAAGCTTAATGCAAATGTGTGAAGTATCCCTTGAAGAAACTCTATCAGCTTCTCCGTTTCTCATTCCGCTGTGTCCTCTCTGCTGAAGGTGTTCTTTGTGATCCACCTTCACTCTGCTCCCATGGCCAACACCCTGCCGCCCATTGTTGACCCGGACCCCTTGCTCTCCTGTGACCTGATGGACGGCCGTGACGCCTTCCTGACGCTGGCCAGGGACAAGCACTGGGAGTTCAGCTCCCTCAGGAGGTGCAAGTGGAGCTCCATGTGCATGCTGGTGGAGCTGCACAACCAGGGACAGGACCGCTTCGTCTACACCTGTAACGAGTGCAAGCACCATGTGGAGACACGCTGGCACTGCACGGTGTGCGAGGTGAGATGAAGCAGATATTAATATGCAGCTCTGTGTCAGTATGAATAAATGACTTTAGTGGGTTTTCTGTCCGGAGAGACAGAATAGGATAATACTTTATTGGTCCCCAGAGGGAAAATCTGGGCGTTGCAGCAGCACAGACAAGTAGGGTCATACAAAATACACATTAAAAAGAATAGATTAGATAAGATAAATAAAAATAGGGGGTATATACAAGTACAAAATGAATGAATGATGAGGTCAACTGCAGGGATTTGAGACGGTATGTGCAGGGAATGGCAGGATAAAGTGACAAGTGATGATTAAAGTGGTATGATCAATACCAGCAAGTAATGTAAATCAGAGAAGAGAGGCAGTGTTGTACCACAGTAATGCAGAGTGCAGTTATAATGTAGTATAAAATAATATAGTGCAATATAAACAATAAAGTGTAATATAATGAAATGTAATATAATATAGACTAATATAATAAAATATATATAATAAGAATATACAGTATATATATTGATGATAAATAATAATATACTGTTAGTAATGATGATAATAATGAAGCAGGTCATGACAGGAGACAGGATTTATTCAGGAATAATACCTGCTTGGACTCGTGTTCATTACTTTTCCCCGTCTTCCCTTTACTGCAGGACTTTGACCTGTGCATTGGTTGTTACAACACCAAGGGGCACGAGCACCAGATGGTCAAGTGGGGCCTTGGCCTGGACGACGACAACAACAGTCAGAGTGGAGAGGCCTCCAAGAGCCCGCAGGAGAGCAGGCGCTTGAGTATTCAGCGCTGCATCCAGTCGCTGGTGCACGCTTGTCAGTGCCGCAACGCAAACTGCTCTCTGCCGTCCTGCCAGAAGATGAAGCGAGTGGTGCAGCACACCAAGAGCTGCAAGCGCAAAACCAACGGCGGCTGCCCTGTGTGCAAGCAGCTCATCGCTCTGTGCTGTTACCACGCAAAGCACTGTCAGGAGAACAAGTGTCCCGTCCCGTTCTGCCTGAACATAAAGCACAAGCTCCGCCAGCAGCAGCTTCAGCACCGCCTCCAGCAGGCCCAGCTGATGAGGAGAAGAATGGCCACCATGCAAGGCAGAACTATGCCGCTCCCGTCCCCGCCAGCCTCAGCTGCCCCCAACACTCCCACATCCCACCCTCAGCCCAACACTCCCCAGACTCCCCAGCAGCCCCTCTCCAACCAGCCACAGACCCCCAACTCAGCCGGTGTAATGTCCCCGTCTTTCCCCAGCGCCCCCCGCAACGGCCAACCCCAAGCTCCGGTGTCTCAGGGCAAGGCTGGGCCCCAGGCCTCCCCTCTGCACCAGCAGCAGTCCCCCCTCCCCCAGCAGCCCCAGCCCCCCCAGCATCTTCAGCAGCAGCCCCCCCCTGCTGCGGTCAAGATGGCGCGGCACATCGAGATGATGGCACAGGCCCAGCAAAACCAGCAGAACTACCGGGTCAACATGAACGGCTTGCCCATGAACCCGCAGCAGCCACAGCCGCGCATGACTGGACCGATGCAGCCACCCATGCAGATGGTGCCGGGTCCCAGAGGACCACAGGTCATGCAACCAGGCATGGCTCCAGGGCAGTGGCCTGTCTCTGCAGGGCCCATGCAGGCAGCCCAGAACCAACAACCTGGCCTTGTCCCAGGTCAGACCCCCCAACAGCCCATGCCCATGCAGCGAGCCATGATGGCTCCCGGACCGCAGCCTCAGACAGGTGTAAGGATGATGATTCCACAGCAGCCAGGTGCTCGGCCTCAGACGCCTCAGAGACCGGGCGCCATTGCCCCAAATGCCCTGCAGGATCTGCTCCGCACCCTCAAGTCCCCCAGCTCACCACAGCAGCAGCAGCAAGTCCTCAACATCCTCAAGTCCAACCCTCAGCTAATGGCTGCTTTCATCAAACAGCGAACAGCAAAGTACCACGCCAACCAGCCCCAGCAGCAGCAGCAAGCTGCTCAGCAACAGCAGCCCGGTATGCCGATGCAGGCCATGGCCATGCCAGGAGGGGCGGTGCAGAGGCCGGGCATGCCCCCTCAGCAACCCCAACAGCCTCCTGCACAGGGCATGGCTGCATTAGGGGCCCAAGGGCAGCTGATGAACCCAGCACACAACACCAACCCTCAGATCCAGGAGCTGTACCGCCGGCAGCTGTTACGGCAGCAGCAGCAGCAGCAGCAGCAGCAGCAGCAGCAGCAGCAGCAGCAGCAGCAGCAGCAGCAGCAGCAGGGAGTGATGCCTCAGGGCCATCCGGGCCAATTCCCCGCCCAGGCTCAGGGCACAGCAGCTACATACTCCCAGCTCCGCATGCAGCAGCAGCAGATTGCCATGCAGGCGGGCACAGGAGCATCTGGGGGTCCAATGGGGCATCTACCACCCATGGCTCAGATGGCGCAGCCTGGGATGGGGATGGACTCCACCCAGAACTTGCTGCATCAGCGGCTGCTCCAGCAGCAGCAGCAGCTTCCCCCACAGCAGCAGGCCGTCCTCAAGCAGCAGATGGGCTCTCCTGCCCAGCCCGGCCCCATGAGTCCCCAGACCCACCTGCTGGCTGGCCAGCCCCAGGGTGGAGCCCACCTTCCAGGCCAACCCACGCTAGCCAACGCCCTCAACAACCAAGTCCGCTCCCCTGCACCGGTCCAGTCCCCCTGTCCGCCCTCCCAGCCTCAGCAGCGGCCACATTCCAGCCCCTCACCGCAGGTCCAGAACCAGCCGCAGCCCTCACCACAACACCCTCATCCGCCACACTCGGCTTCTCCGCATCCAGGACTTGGGGGTCCACTCTCGGCGTCTATGGAGCAGGGACACTTGGGGACACCAGAACAGAGCGCCATGCTACCGCAGCTTAACACGCCCAACAGAGGGGGACTGAACAGTGATTTGGTGATGGTGGGAGATGCTACAGGGGACACTTTGGAGAAGTTTGTGGAGGGATTGTAGCATTTTTGCTGGGAACTGAAGATCACAGTCTTGCTCCCAGGGTCCCAGTCCTCTGCGCCCCCCTCAGACTCAAGACCCCCCCCAACCCCCCCCGTCAGAGGGCTTTGTTTGTTCTTTCTAAGGTTGAAAACGTTCTTTTGTACCGACGTGTAAAAAGTTTCAACTGTTGTAAAAAGAAAAAAGAAAATTTGGTTTCAGAAACAGAAAAATGCTTTTCGGGGGATTGTCGTCATGGTAACCTGAACCCAACTGATGGGTGTTTTCTTCCTGAAGATGTTTGAGGGATTGAAAAGTTTCTTCTTCAATGAAATTAAAATCACAAAGAATATATTTTTTGTTTGAGACCAAATGTGTTCGATACTCAGATTATTTTTGGTTTGTTTTTTGGTATGGTGTCACGCCTCTTCTCGTTTCTTTTCTTCTTTTTTTTTTAAAGAAAATGTACAATTGCATTATATTATTCATATCTTTTTATTTTGTACCTTTTGGAAAAGAAACTTCAAAAAACATATTTGTGTTGAAACTGTAAAATAATTTGTCTGGGAAGAAGTGCGCCCGGTTCTCACGCTGTCATTGCTGGCTGATGTAATCTAGTGTTGTACCATTACTCCGAGACGTGGCGTTCAGGGACAACCCCTTTCCTCTTTGTGTATGAAGAGCACTCAGTTGTATTAAAATAGGAAATGGACTGCGGGCATGTATGCAGGCGCACATGAACACACACACACACACACACACACGCACACACGAACACACACACACACACACACACACACACACACACACACACACACACACACACACACACACACACACACACACACCGAGGACTGCAGCTACGTCTCCGTGACCTTAAATCCAACAACCAATCAAACATCCGTCTCGCTGGTGTAGAAAACTGTTGCTTTGACATCTAAAAAAAAAAAAAAAGAATTTGTCATACTTTTTTTGTCATACAAATGTTGTAAAGTGTAAAGAGAGTGTGAGAAAGAGCGCAGCCCCCTAAACTGAGGTGGAATGATCGCCACGTAATCCCCGCCCCCGCCAATCCTGGAAGTTTTACACTAAACTGTGTGCGATCATGGGATGAGGGGCACGTCTGAGGAAAACTTAAACGTTATCCACCCTCGTTCCTCTCTCACAAAACTTGAATTTGGGGGTTTCAACTTTTTCTCCTATTGTACATCAAGTAATGAAGCAGAATCTAAATATACGGCAGAGAGAATGAAATCACTGTATAAACTGATAACAGACTCATTTCTTACTTGTATACCATATTGTTAAATAAACTGTGTGCAACAGAAGAGCAGAACTCTGTTGTCTAAATGATGACTCTGCATCATGCCGCTTGTTTGTGTTTCAGCTTTTTATCAGGAAGTTAATAAAACTCTTAAGGCCTGAGCAAAAACAAGGGAAACGTGTGTGTGTGTGTGTGCGCCCAGGTGTGGAGGAACTCCGCCCACAAGCAACCTGTGGGGACACAAACATAATAGCAGGCCTTTTTGGCGGGGGGGCTGTCACAAATCTAACGTGTTTCTAATGAAGCGACATGGTCTGTTTGCTGGAGAGGTGTCAAGTCACTTCCTGAGTAGTGCAGATGTGCCCTTGAGCAAGACACAACCCCCACCAGCTCGGGTCCTCCTTCATGTGCATCCCCCCCGCCCTCACTCTGACATCTCTGCGGAAGTGAAAGTGCACAGGATCCTGTTTATGTGTTGGTGTTTCAGGACTGTGAGAAGCCTCTTGTGTTTCAAAGTAATGGAGTAAAACTAGAATTCACCGTCAGTTATTAATAAAATATTTTCAATCAAAAAATAAATAGAAAATGTTTTACGTTTTGATGATAAACACATCTTTAAAATACATTTAAAAGAAAATCAGAGACGACGAAAACAACCCAACAAGACTAAGATAAGTTTAGTTTATATTAAGAACAAAATTTGGATCTGCATTTTTAACATATTTTTAGTTTTTAGGCTGAATTTGTCGTTTTAATTTGAAACTCTTTGCACTTCCGTTCGTTTGTCGTCACTTGAGCGGAAGTTCTAATAGAAGCGGTGGAGTGTGGGCACTTTGAAAATGAAAACAAACCTTTTTTAGCCAGCTTCTTTTCTTCTTTTGGCGGCTCATATAACTTGATTTACAGCTCACAGTTTATGGAGAAGATAAAGCGACATGTCGGTGAATAAAAACACGAAGAAGCGGGAAACAGAGTTTATTTATCAGAACAGGGAAGAGCAAGTGTTAGCATCACTAGCTGGCTAGCTAACTGATATTTTCACTGGGAAATGATGTGTAGACTTTGAGAGATGACATGGCTGGTTTCCTTTAAATGTGTTAGGAATAAATTAAAGTGTTCCTCCGTCACCGTGGGTCTTTTTTAGTTTCCCGAAAACAACATCAGTTCATCATGAACCAGCTCTGTTAGCAGGCAGACAGTCCGAGCAGGGAGACATGCATCCAAGGACTTTTAATGTGTGAAACAGAAGAAGGACGCCATCATGGATGACTCGGACCAGGACTTTGCAGATCTCTGCTCAAAGCTGCTGAAAAGAGTCCGCAAGAGACCAGGTGAGTCAAGACAGGCGCGGAGAGAAGAGCAGCTGCAGCCCTCCAATCAGGCAGTGAGTGGGGACAAGACCAGGAGGAATAACAGGAGACACGGAGAAACCGGGTCCAGGAGTGCAGAAACGCAGCCTGTGTCTAAAGATGAAGGAGGAGATCAGCCTGTGTCTAAAGATGAAGGAGGAGATCAGCCTGTGTCTAAAGGTGCAGGAGGAGATCAGCCTGTGTCTAAAGGTGCAGGAGGAGATCAGCCTGTGTCTAAAGGTGCAGGAGGAGATCAGCCTGTGTCTAAAGATGAAGGAGGAGATCAGCCTGTGTCTAAAGGTGCAGGAGGAGATCAGACTGTGTCTAAAGGTGCAGGAGGAGATCAGACTGTGTCTAAAGATGAAGGAGGAGATCAGCCTGTGTCTAAGGGTGCAGGAGGAGATCAGCCTGTGTCTAAAGGTGCAGGAGGAGATCAGACTGTGTCTAAGGGTGCAGGAGGAGATCAGGCTGTGTCTAAAGGTGCAGGAGGAGATCAGGCTGTGTCTAAAGGTGCAGGAGGAGATCAGCCTGTGTCTAAGGGTGCAGGAGGAGATCAGCCTGTGTCTAAAGGTGCAGGAGGAGATCAGGCTGTGTCTAAAGGTGCAGGAGGAGATCAGCCTGTGTCTAAAGGTGCAGGAGGAGATCAGGCTGTGTCTAAAGATGAAGGAGGAGATCAGCCTGTGTCTAAAGGTGCAGGAGATCAGCCTGTGTCTAAAGGTGCAGCAGCAGACCGAAGAGACGAGAGAGGATTGTTGGCAAAAGACAAAGTCCTCCTCAGGATGCAACAGTTCAAGAGAGCAGATCCTCAAAGGATGGTGCATAAGAGTCAAACAGGGAAGCGTGAGAGCGACTGTGATCCTCCAAGAGGAGGTGAGATCAGCTGATTCTCCTGTCAGAGATGTTGGCTTTATCTCTTCTCCTTTTTTATCTGATTAGAAACTTTATGTGTGATTAATCCTAAATGCAACTCAAGCCATGAGGGATGGGCCATGTATCAATTTAACTTCCCAAAGAGTGGCTCAGTGGCCTCAAGTATGTGATAACCAGCTTCATGTATTTTCCTTCACTTCAGGCCTCTCCTCTGAGCCCCTGGACAGTGACGAAGCTCTGGCCCTGCGCCTGCAGCAGGAGCTGGACAGGGAGGCAGCAGAGTCTCGGACTGTGGACCTGGAGGAGGGAGGACTCTTCTTCTGTCAGATCTGCCACAGAGACCTGTCTCACATGACCCCAGAGGGGCGCATGCAGCACCTCAACAGGTCTGGGTCTTAAACTTTGTATTGTTGGCATTTTACTGTTATAACTAGCTGTTTGTGGCAGGGGGCGGCAGTAACTCAGTCTGTAGGGACTTGGGTTGGGAACCGGAGGGTGCGGACCAAATCTGGAAGTTGGTCTGGTAGCTGGAGAGGTGCCAGATCACTTCCTGAGCACTGCCGAGGTGCCCTTGAGCAAGGCACTGAACCCCCCCTCCCCCACCATCAGCCCAGGAGCGCCTGCGTTGGGCTGCTCCCTCACTCTGCCATCTGTCCATAGAATCCTGTTTGTGCATGTGTGTATATTTCAGTCTATGTGTGTGTTCCATGACTTACAGAGTGTAAAAACAGAATTTCTCCTTGCAGGGATCAATAAAAGTAAATCTTAAATCTTGTGAATTTGAAAATGATGCGTCTTTGCAGGTGTTTGGATGAGAATGAACAAGGCGCCCAGGCACTTGCTCCTCCTCCTCCTCCTCCTCCTGGTGTCCCTGAATGTCCGATCTGTGGCAAGAAGTTCAAGTCCCAGAAGAGTCGCTCAGCCCACCTGAAGCGCTGCTCTGCAGATTTAGGCGTCCCTCCAGCTGTGCTGCTGCAGGCCGTGCAGAGACAAGCTGAGGAGAACCAGAACGTCCCGACTGCACACACACTGTGAGTCCGCCTCAAGCCTTTTTCATACGTACACTCCAGAAAACTTCAGGAAAGTCTGCCCCTGAAATCTTCCTGAGTTGTCTGTTCACATATGCACCTGAAAGAGGAAGCCTTTCCCTTGATGTTTAAAAGATGGCGAACAAAGAGTCTGAGATCACAGTAGGGCGGGGCGATATAACATCAACATAACTTGATTAATTAATTGATTTAAAGTTAAAGTAGGAGCCACATTAAGCACCTTTGCGAGCATCTTTGTATACCTGTGTCAGTGATTCAGACTCCTATATTTGGCTGTTGATGATGACTGTTAACATCCACACAACGACCAAGCCGTCATGAAGACCATTATGACGTCTGCTTCGTTTTTCACCTCAGCACACAAACTGGAGGAACCAAAAGAAAAGGTTCGTCCAAGCCGGGTCTCCCAGCGAGGAAGAAGCCCAGGAAGAAGACTGATCCCCAGGACGAGGACACCATGGTGGCCTTGGCTCTGTCGTCCTCCCTGCTGGAGCTGGAGAGGGAGCATCGAGGAGAGAGAGAGAGAGCAGAGGCCGCTCCCGAGCGCACCTCTGTGACTTCAGGGCTGAAGTGGAGGTCAGACACAGGTACTGGAACATCCCCTCATGAGTCCTGAGTCTCTGCCTTATATCTCAGTATAGCACTGTGCTGCAGTACGCTGTCTCACTGTAGGAGAAGTTTGTCTTGTTTCTTTGTGATCTGTTAACAGACCTCTCCTCTCCTCTCCCTCCTCCCTCCTCTCCCTCCCCTCCCCTCCTCTCCTCTCCCCTCCCCTCCTCTCCCCTCTCCCCTCCTCTCCTCTCCCCTCCCCCTCCTCTCCTCTCCCCTCCCCCTCCTCTCCCCTCTCCTCTCCCCCTCCTCTCCTCTCCTTTCCTCCTCCCCTCCTCTCCTCCTCTCTCCTCTCCTCCTCTCCTCCTCCCCTCCCCTCCCCTCCTCTCCTCTCCTCTCCTCTCCTCTCCTCTCCTCTCCTCTCCTACCCTCCCTCGTCTCTCCTCTTTGTAGGTAAGGGGCGTGGAAAGAGGAAAAAGGGCGCAGCCCCCCGCCCTCCTCTGCTCCTCCTCGTTCAGGATGCAAACACTGCTCTGACAAGGCTGCAGGACCGTGTTTCTGCTCTCCTGCTGCAGGGTCGGTCCCCCTCTCCACCCACCCCGACCCACTGCCCCAGTAGTCTGCCCGGCTGGAGCGGTGCTGCCCCCCTCTGGCAGAAGAGCACGCTGCAGGATGGAGGCTCCACTTGTCTGTCTGATTTCTACACGCCAGAGCTCAGAGAGTTCATCACGCCTACGGAATCAGCAGCGGTGAGAGAGCAGAGAGCAGATCTTTCCCCTAATTAAAAACATGAATTTATAGATAATCTTTAAATGTTCATGCATGGTAAAGGCACAGTTATAGAAAATGATTCAGACATGTTTGATTCAACCTTTTTAATCTCCTCCTGCTATGTTCAGACATTTAGCATTTACCTCCTGCAGGAGAGAAGTCGAATTGAACAGAGTTAGCTGCTCTTTGCTCAGGTACAGAACACGACAGGTACATCGGAATATGTGAGTCAGCTTTACAAAATATTGCTCGAGAAGAGCAGCAAGAATGAATGAAATTGTTATTAAAGGGCGCTGATGGCCTAGCTGTTAGCTGGTGCCCCATAATGGAGGCTATAGTCTGTTCAAGTCCGACATGTGGCTCCGTTCCTGCAGGTCGTTCCTCTCCCTCTCTCTCTCTCTCTCAATTCAATGACAGATCAACAATCTATGTTGCCAAAGCAGTACAGAAAACATTTTGAACAACAAATGATTACAATATATACATCAAACAAATATAAATAAAAAAACATTAACAATAACATGAATCATTTTTAGGGTGTATTTCTATGAAACATTGTGTGTATTTTGTGTATTTTGTCTCAGTTTGTGACAATCATGAACAAATTTAGCAGCTCGCACTGCACACAGACTTTTCTCTCCACATAGAGCAGCTTCTGAGGATCAGGGAGATGGAGAAAGTCAGGATATTTATTATAAATGTAATTAAAGAGAGTGTCTCTTAAATCTTTGTACATGTCACAGTGTAGGAGGAAGTGATTCTGTCTCTACTTGTCCTTGATGGCAGAGTGAACACAGCCTGGCCTCTCTGGGTAACCAGTTCTGTCTGTGACGGCCTGTTTCTATGGTCAGACTGTGTCCACTCAGTCTGTACATCTCCATGGTTTTCCGTAGTTTCACATCCCTCACTGTGCTCAGGTACTCTGCCAGCTTGTACTCTCTGTTTAGGCTCAAATAGAATTCTTATTTACTTTGTGATTTGGTGCTTTCCTTCCAATATTTGATATAATTGTCTTTTTGTTTTGAGATAATTTGGTTGGGCCAGATTGTTTGGGTGAGTCCTATAGCGCTGGTATTTGAGGGCGGAGCTTCAGGATCAGCTGGCAGAGGGGACAGCTGATCTTATCTGGGTTCAACTCTTGGCACTGAAGGGCTTTGTGATGGCTGTGATGTCATGGCTCTCTTTTGGATATTAATGATTAAATGTATCTAAACTAAAGGTATCTTTACCTCTCTCTCTCTCTCTCTCTCCCCCTGTCTCTCTCGCTCTTACAGTATATAAACACACTGTACATGCATCAAATAAACTACCAAGCATTTGAACATCCAATCACAGTGGAGTAAAGGTGATTCTCTTCTCCTCCACCTGCAGACTGACTCCGCCTCCTGCAGCACCATCACTAAGCCCGAGTCCTCGGTGCGAGCTGCGGCTGAAGGAACTCCTCTCACAGGAACCCGGGCCTCCGTCCTGCCGTCCTCCTCCCAGACGGCGTCCGACTCCCTGACTCCCTCCACCCCGGGGACAGGAGCGCTCCCGGTGGGCAGCCAGGCGCTCCGGGACCTAATGGAGCTGGCTGAGGACGGCATGACCCTGACCCAGTGTGGCTACACGGCTTCAGGCTCTGACGGTCAGAAACAAACACTCAAAGTGCACAAAGTGGTGAAAGTAGTAGTAAAAACAGTAGTAAAACAGTACAAATATTTCAAACTGGTAGATCACGGGTCTGAATATTTAATCTGCACTGAACAAATTTAAACACTCAGGGAGACCAAAACAGGAAGTACAATCAGTTTTAAATGAGAAGATCCAGATTTATTTGTTGTTTCTTCAATTATCTGAATTTTTAACGAAAAGTGAGGAATAAAGACACCACAGGAAACAGACCCAGATCAGTCTGAACATCCGGGTCAGAATACACCAGACCCAGTCAGTCTCGCTCCTCGCTCTGCATCCATTCTCCTCCTCGATGCACGTCAGAGTGAATATGAAACCGTAAACAATGCTACTCCAGTGGTCGCCATGACGACCTCCTTAAACAACGTGTGTCGTCTTCAGACATCCGATCTGATCTGGTTCCTCTTAGTTTGACTTGTCCCCCTTTTTAGGCTTTTTTTAAGACCAGACTGAAGACTCACTTTTCTCCCATGTCCCTAAGACTCCTCCCCTTATCTTCCTGTGGTCGTAGCGGTCGGATGTTTACGTTTCTTTATCCACTGTGGCTCAGATAAAGAAACCGTGCGTTATCTTATTGTGCAGCACTTTGAATAAAATGGATTTGATTTGAGTCCTCTGCTCCTGATCGTCTTCTCTCCACCAGGTAAAAGTGCCGCTCGGATCACAAACCTCCGTCTGAGCGGCTTCGTCCTGGACGAGTCGGAGGAGCACGCGAACTCCTTACAGCGGGAACACACACAGGCCAGCGCTGGAGGAGGAAGAGCGATGAGCCAGGATCAGATAAAGAGCGATCAGTGAGAACTGTTAGTCTCTACATGTCAGTTTGTCTTCTCTGCTGAGTCAGCTGTTTGTCCTCATGGCGTCCTGAGTGCTGAACCCGAGTCCGTTCCTCCTGCAGGTTCAGTTCTCCAAATTGGCGTCAGACCTGAGCAGCATGGTGAACAATCCTCAGCTCAGCGATGTGCAGCTTCAGGTGGACAGTGGAGACGTCTTCTTTGCGCATTCCTTCATGGTGTACGCTCGCTGCCCCCTGCTGGCACAAATGGTAATGTGTGTGTGTGTGTGTGTGTGTGTGTGTGTGTGTGTGTGTGTGTGTGTGTGTGTGTGTGTGTGTGTGTGTGTGTGTGTGTGTGTGTGTGTGTGTGTGTGTGTGTGTGTGTGTGTGTGTGTGTGTGTGTGTATTTCAGTATGGATACTAACTTCCGGGTTTCATGCAGTATGGATCGGATGCGTGCTTTCAGGAAATGAATTGTATTTTACCACCCACAATGCTGTGCGAAATTAAACGTGAATCGTCACTTCAGGTGCGCCTCAAAACAAACGAGCGTGGATTAATTGAATACATTTTTAATTTACAGTTAAAGTCCCGACTGAAATCACTACTTTTAATTAACAACAGAAAATATAACAAATGTATTCATTCATGCATTCATAAAACACTTCCAAATGACGCCACTTCCTTACCGAATGAATCAGACGAAGTAGGAACACATATCTGCCTACTGTGTGTGCCCATAGTAGGTAGGTCCTGCCTACTGCAGACACACACACCCTATAAATGAACGGCGTGTGTGTGACGTGTTCAACAGTGTGAAAGCTCTTAGGGACAAAAAAGATAACTAAATATTTCTGTATAAAAACAAACTCAAGATTTCTGTTTTGTCCCATAGACGCAGTGACTGAGGTTCATCGTCTCTCGTTAAAACTGAAACGTATTATTCCGTTGTTTCAAAATTTACTGCAGCTGCGTGCTGCCGACACTGTCCTGCTGTCGGAGTTTAGGAGGACTGTTGTGAAATGTGACCACCTGATGTGAGAACAGGATGTAGAGCCACACTTTTCAATGTAAAGCTATTAAATGTCTTAAAGGAATGATGCTCTGCTCTTTTTGTGTCTGCAGATATTGTTTTTAATCAGCGCTACAAAAGTAAAGACAGAATGAAGCGTTCTAACGGTGCTCTCTCCTGGTCATCATTTTCCCTCTGCTCCTTTCACAGGTACATGAAAGCGGGTTTGGGGTGCAGGAGGAAGGCGTGCCTGCAGCTCAGAGGGTGCTGATCAGTGACGTCCCGGGACAGGCTGTGTTAGCTTTGCTACGCTACGTCTACTCAGCCCACTGCTGCGTCCCAGCTCCTCTGAGGCCTCATGTCCGAGAGCTGGCATCCAGGTGAGTCCCCTGAGAGTTTATCAAGCTTAAGATCAGCAGTGTGAGGACTTCAGGAGGCTCTATCCTCTTTTCAAAGGTGGTGGAGCTTCTGATGTGAAGCATCTTTATGTCTTTTAGAGGACACTCACCCCTCTTCTGTTTTTTGTGTGTGAGCAGGTTTGACCTTCAGGAGCTGCAGCAGCTTTGTGAGCTCCACAGAGAGGATGCAGCAGCTGAAGGAGACGATGAGGAGGACATCAACAACCAAACAGAGCAGGCTCTGGTGGAGCTGCTCCGCTCCATGTGGAACGAGGAGGATGCAGAAGAAGAAGAAGAGGGTACAGACACGGACAGAGAAGGGGAGGGAAAGGAAGCGTTGGAAGAGGATCATCAAAGTGACGACCTTGCTGCAGCTGACGCAGAGATCCATGAGGAGAAAGTGAACGAGGAGGAGCTAGAGGAGATCTATGAGTTTGCCGCCACGCAGAGGAAGAGAGAGGGCGAGCAAGAAGGCGTGGAGGAGGAAGAGGAGAGGGCTGATGAGGAGGAAGAGGAAGTGTTCACAAAACTGACAGAACCAAGAAGAAGTGTGAAAAACCTGAAGCAGAACTCTCAGCTTAAACCAGACCTGAGCCTGGACCGCAGCTACAGCCGCCTCTTCTCAGACTCCTGGGGCGTCTACGAGTCCTCCGCTGTGCCCTCCAGTTCTGCCAGGACACACGTCCCTCAATCCCAACACCACCAGTCCCCTCTTAAACCCACATCCGACCTGTTGGCAGAACTCTGCTCCAGTCTTCAGGGAGTGTAGTCGAAGAGAATTCTCTCAGCCCTATATCCAGTTCCTCCAACCTGCCTGTCCCGGGTCAGTCCCCTGGTTTACTGTTTGACTTAGGAAGACCGAGTCCAGCAGAATCTGTTCCCTTGAAGGGAGAAAGCCAAGGTCCTCAAAGTATCTGTGCCCCTCTTTCCCTTCCTCTTGTGCATCAGAAGAAGAAGGAGCCTGAGCTCATAGTTTTGTCCGACTCGAGCGAGGAAATGGATGAAGAAGTTTTTTGTTCCCGTAGTCCATCGCAGGGTCTCCTGGTGCAGAGTACGACCTGCAGAGCTCCCACACCCAGTTTAAACCTCAGCAGGTTCTTCAAAATGATGAACCCAGCCTGGAGAAGAAAAGCTCCGTGAGTTCAGACTTTAGTCCTGATCAAGCGTCTGCAGCTCCAGGTCAAAGTTATTCAGGTTCTCCTGAAGTCTCGTGGCTGATCCCGTCCACACCGCTCCAGCGGAGCACCACGAGCAGCTCCACTCAGACCAGAAGCAGCATGTGCAGGACTCAGCTGTTCCCTAAACAAGACTCTTCATCATCATCATCTGTTTTCTCTTCTCCTGCCTTACCCTTTAAGAAAAGTCTAACCAGAGTGTCTGCCCTTGTTGGCCCAGCAGAGGGCGGCGTTCCCCGCGTAAAACAGGAGGCGGAGTCCTGCAGCTCTGGTTCTGACCTCAAACTGAATTCAGAAAGAACCAGTGGTTGTGATCTGAATACAGGTAGAGATGTTTTTACATTCCCCAACAGACACACTAAAACATCACACCTTTCAGTCTCTACTTCCTCAAAGCAGGACACACCTGTTCACCCTCACCTGCAGCCCTACAGCAGCAGCACTCCTCTGCACACACAGCTCAACCTCCCCCCTGCTTATCCAGCCGAGTCTCCGCTCCACAGCAGCGAGAACAAACACAGGTCAACAAGTGAAGAAAGGCAGGCGGAGCCAATAGCGAGAGCAGAGCTAGGGAGCTTTCATCTGTCTGAGCCGTCAACTCACCTTCCTGTAGAAGTCACCAGAGGTCACACAGCGCCTCAGAGCCTGAGCTGACGAGTCCAGGAAGAAGACATGAGGAAGAAGAAGTGGAGAGAGAGAGTGATGATCGAGAGCAGGAAGAAGCTAAAATGGATGCTAACGAGGCCGATTTCATGGTCATGGACGAGCCTCCCATCGCTTTCAACGACTCGTGGGGCCTCGACGCCTGCGCGGAGGCAAACCCCCCGGGGTGCTTCAGTCTGAGGCTGGAGGACAGCGGAGGATCCAGCCTGCAGGACCAGAGCACAGGACCAGGAAAAACACCCGGGTCATCTTCATCTACTGACTGTCAACCTTCACCGGCTGCTCTCGGTGCCCGCTCGCCACAGAGTCGTGGCAGCGTGAGTAACTTTCCTTCATCCAAAGCTCACAGCGCACAACCATGTGACCAGCCCACACCAGAGACCAACAGCCTCCTGGACTCTAAGATATGGGACAGCTGGCAGGAGGACCAAGAGGAGGCTCTTCCTCTCTCTCAGAGGCTCCTCCCCTCTGCTCAGCTCAAAACACCAGGTACCTCAAACCGGCCTCTTACCAAGAGAGTTAGAAATATTTACGTTTGTTCTTTAACCCTCATGCATCATTATGGACATTTTTGTCCATTTGGTCCAATGTTTCCTCTTCATCTGGTCATCATTTTGTCTGTGTTAGTGGATATGGCACACATTTTTGTGAGAAAGGAATTTAACCCTTTAAATGCCAGTTTGATTACATGATTCTGGCATTTAGGGTTAAAATCCTGATAAATATTGGATATTTTTGAGCAAGGCTGGAGTTGTTTAAGAGATGTATGTAGAAAAAAATATGAATCTGTTCTATTTTTATAGCAGTTTTTTGTAAGTGGACATTTTTGTCTTTAGTGACTTAAGAGGGTAATAAATTAAACTGATGCCTGAGGGTTAAAGGAGTAATATGTAACTCTGACACCTAGTGTTTAAAATAGGTTAAAAATCATTTTAAATTCTAAACAGTTAACATTTAAAGTTTGTAACCCTGAACACATGATGTCACTGCTGCTGTTTCATTCTTTCCTGGTTTTAAACAGCGTCTCTCTGTTTGTGTCTCAGCCGCAGCATCGCACAATAAAAGGCGCCGCACCTTGGTCCCCATCACCCCGATGCCGCACTACTCTGACATGGACACTCCGGACCTGAAGACCAAACTCAACAGGTGAGCGGGTCCTCCGTCGACCACCCTGAGAAGAGAGAAAGGCCGGAGAAGCCCATCCAATGACCCGTCCTGTTTTCAGAGCCAACTCGATCTACTCTCTCCCGTGTCTACATGGCGTTCTTTTTTCGGAGAGCCGGCGTCTTTTTATTGTTACCAATGAGTTGAATGCGTTTGGAGCAGCAGGCGGCCGCCATCTAGAAAGCAAGTTCAGTTCTAAGCGTCTTTTTCCCGAGCGCCGCAGGCCGCGGTCCTTCATCCTTTCAGAAAGGTGCTCGTTGACGTCACCGGCGCTCTTTTCATTAATATGATATTCCCCATATTTTTGCGTCGTACGAATTGTGTCCTGTACCAACATCGTCCTCGCTTCATGTCCACACAAAGTACGAGGACTTTAATGTTACATACAGTAAAAACTGAGCGAGCAGTGTGGGTCATACAGCAGGTGTTAATAAGAGACACCGCGTGCAGCACTTTTATTCTGCTCCCGGGCGCAGCTAGCGCTTTTTCTGCCTCCAATAAAACACCATGTGGACACCGGGCCGTCTCTTGTTCTTTTCCTCTCTTCCATCTTTTAGTTTTTCTCCTTTTCCTCCATGCAGGTTTGGCGTTCGACCTTTACCGAAGCGCCAGATGATCCTCAAACTGAAGGAGATCCACCAGTACACCCACCAGCTGGTCCACTCCGACTCTGATGGCGAGGCCCCCTCTGTGGGCGGGGTTGCTCAGGTGAAGCCCCCGCCCAGCCGCTCGTCCGCCGCTGGCAGCAGCAGACCGGCGTCCTGCGCGCAGACGGTCAGGTTTAAAGAGCCCAGAGCGTTCGCCGACACCTCCCCTCTGAAACACGGCGGAGGGGAGGCGGAGCTTCTGTCTGCCTCGCAGGGCTCCAACACATCATCGACTGCAGAAGAGTCCGAGAGGTACCGTGTGTTACATTTAACTTATAATTTATAGTCACCAGCTGAAGATGAAAGCTGGAGGAGTCAGATCAGACCCCAGAGGAAACGTTGCTCTCTGATTGGCAGTGTTAATCTCATCAACAAAATAAATGATGAAAATATTCGTTTACAAAGGTCTTTTTAAATTAGTCAACTATGACGGGCCGCTGTGTGACGTTTTGATAAATAATTTTACTTCATCATCTAATTGACGAAAATGTGATGAAACGAAAACTACATTACAAGTGAGGATTATCACGTCCTTGATAAATAAGTGTTAAACCGCCTCAGCTGTTCTAAAATCATTGTAAACCATAGCACACTTCATCAAAGATGTGCGTGTGTGATGAGTGCAACAATGTGCAGCCTGGAGCCTGCAGGTCTGTGAAGCCCCGCCCCCTGGAGCTTCTGCTGCATTCATGTGGTGTCGGAAACTTTTGAGTTGTAAAATGCACATGAACACCTGCTCATGTCAGACCAAAACAATCGGAAACTCTGATAAATAAGTGTTAAACCGCCTCAGCTGTTCTAAAATCATTGTAAACCATAGCACACTTCATCAAAGATGTGCGTGTGTGATGAGTGCAACAATGTGCAGCCTGGAGCCTGCAGGTCTGTGAAGCCCCGCCCCCTGGAGCTTCTGCTGCATTCATGTGGTGTCGGAAACTTTTGAGTTGTAAAATGCACATGAACACCTGCTCATGTCAGACCAACAACTCGGAAACTCTGAAAAGAGTAAGATGCCCGACTTCCCAACTTGATGTCAGAATCAGTTGTGCTGTTGTTACGACATTCCAACTTTCTGAACTTAAATCATGTGAACACACTGAAGTCGGAAAAACTACTTCCCAACTCGGAATCATGGACCATCCAAGCAGCACCTGAATGCAGCAGTGAGCTTCTGATAATCAAAATAAAAGCTTGCGTCTGATTTTGTTGACTAAAATATCTTCTATTTTCGTCAACTAAAATGATTTTAGTCAGTGACTAATTGACTAAATTAAATCAATAACAAATGACTAATATCTGACTAAATATAAAAGGAGATTTTCGTCAGGAGACTATGACTAAATCAGAAAATGGTGTGAAGATTAACACTGCTGATTGGTCACATTCAGAGAGGATCTGACCCGAGAGGAAACACTACAGGGAGAGGAAACACTGCTCTCTGATTGGTCACATTCAGATCAAACCTCATTTCTGACTATATAGTTTGGTGAGTTTGGACGTTACGCTCTACTGGTTAAGATGTACCTTACGTCTCCATGGTAACCAAACAGTGACATAACTGGAGAATAACCAGTGTCAGTGGACAGTTTAGTTTGGACTGTACTCGAGAACTTACAGACTAGAAGAGCTCAGGTTACAGATTGAATCCTTTAAACCTTAAACCTTAAAGGTGCGTGCGTGCGTGCGTGCGTGCGTGCGTGCGTGCGAAAAAAATGTATCCCCTTTGGGGCGGCAGTGTCGAGTGGTTTTGTTTGCACTTCCTTTGTACAGTGCCTGTAGTCCTCCAAGCAGGCAGCATGGGTTCAAATCCGACCTGTGGCTCCTTTCCTGCATGACATTTATCCACTCCTGATCTCGACTCTACCCACATAAATATATTTATCACTTCATGATTAAACAGGGCGACATGGTGGTCCAGTGGTTAGCTCTGTCTCCTCACAGCGAGGAGGTTCCTGGTTTGAATCCCTGTCTGTCAGGAGTCTGCATGTTCTCCCCGTGCATGTGTGGGTTCTCTCCGGGTACTCCGGCTTCCTCCCACTTAACTAACTGCTGACTCTAAATTACCCGTCGGTGTGAATGTGAGTGTGGCTGGTTGTCAGCTCTGTGATTGGCTGGTGAACAGTCCAGGGTGTAACCCTGCCTCTTTAATCTGTTTGTTTTCTCCACTGAATTTATGTTCTAAAGTGTAATGTCGTCTAAAGATCAGGACTTGTTGCTTTAACCCCTTCCTCTCTCTCTCTCAGGTCAAACCCAGAGCTGTGCGTCTCCTCAGAGGGCGACTCAGACAGCGACGGCGGCATCTCTGCCTCCCAGGTGGCGTCCCGCCTTCAGGATCGCCTCCAGGCGGTGCGCTCCTTCATCCTGTCTGACTCTGCACTGTACACTCAGATCCTCCAGTACCAACCCGTGGTCCTGTCTCAGCTCCAGGAGCGGCTCAAGGCAGCCGGGATCCGCCTGGGTGCCGCTAAGCTGGTGGACTACCTGGACTCTCAGTGCATCACCTTTACCACCGCCAAGCCTGGCCACTCGGCCCCGAACCGCAGGAGGGGCAAGAAGGCGGCGCGTGGTGGTGGAGCAGGCAGGAAGAAAGTGGTGACAGCTGCACTTTAAATCTGCAGGAGAACTCCATGTAGGAGTGTAGTGACATCATCATGACTTTAAAGACTTTGGGTGCCAGAATTAAAAATGACGTCAACGTGTTTCTTAAAAAAATTTAAGTTATTTAGTATTTTTAAATGAAGACGCTGTGAAAATAAAAAATGGTTAATGTTTTAAGAGTTACGTTTTATAAAGGTGGAGTCAGTAGAAATGTTTGTAAACATTCAAATGTGGCCCCTCCTCCTGGGCTCATCTCCCCCTGAAGCCCCGCCCCCTGCAGGACGTAGTGTGTATGTTTACTGCTTGTAGCTACACTGCAAGCTAATGCACGCTAGCACAAGCTAACCGCTGGTGTTTGTCACCTGCCTGTCCAACAGGAAGCAGACCAACTCCACCTCCACAGGTAAAAGACAACACAAGGTTCACCCTCGTTTTAGAACGAGCTTTATCCGCTTGGTGTTTCTCCTCACTGATTATATTTTCTCTGAATATATACGTCCACGTCCGTCATATTCACTGGTTTGAATCTCGTCCAATCGCTGAATTGTATCCTCTCCTAAACTCACCTGCTGCGCTGTCATTGGCTGGAGCAAACACACCAGCTCCGCCCAGAAACATCCCGAGTCAACCAGAACAAAGCAGAACAGTAAAATCCAATCAGAGGACAGAGGCTGTATCCGAATTACCAAGTACCTACTCAATCTGTCCGTGCTGCATACTGTTAGTACCTACTATTCAATAGGCGCGCACAGAAGGCAGATATTTGTTCCTACTTCATCTGATTCGTTCAGTATGGAAGTGGCGTCATTTACGTTACCCGAACCGGCCGCATCCACCCGTTTTTTTTTTTTGTTTAGCTTTATTCAAGAGGAGTAATGCGCATACAGTCAGGTAAAATAAAGTGAAGTGACGATTTACGTTTAATTTCGCACAGCATTGTGGGTGGTAAAATACAATTCATTTCCTGAAAGCATGCATCTGATCCATACTGCATGAAACCCGGAAGTTAGTATCCATACTGAAATGTTCAGTATACTGAGGTGGACCCAAAAAATGCATACTGAATGACCACGAAAGTTCAGTATACTGAAACTCCTACTGAATAGTACGTACTGCCAACTGAACTGTGGCTATTCGGAAAGGGCCACAGTCACCACCACACATGTATGGTGGCCCAGAACGGACGATGGAGCAGCTTCACTTTAGGAGAAGTCTGTATTTTATGTTGAAGGAGACAGCTGCTCTATTTTATGTTGAAGGAGACAGCTGCTGGCTCCATGTTTAAAGTCTTACTAACTGACATCATGTATGTGTTTGTGTGTTCAGAGATTGATGACTCGAGCGTTTTGAAAAACATTTTTACTTTTTGTTGCTTTTCAGATTTATAATAAAAGATCAGCTGTGACGAACATTCAGCTGCAGCACACTTCAGAAAGGAGGCGGAAAAAAATCTCACAGCTTCAATCTGATTGGACCGTTCACGTAGAGCGACGGCTCCTTCACGTCAGCGCTGTCACAGTTCACAGTCAGGGCGCCGTCTTCTGTTTCTCTACAGCGGCGTGACGCTCAGGACATTCAACATTTGGCTCCACAGTCCGTGAAGATGCACTCGCCTCGTGATGCTTTCACTGACCGAGCATCGACGAGGGACTTCCTGTCCCCGCTCAGAGCCTCACACAGTCATGACAGGTTGGCGATGTTAGCGAGGAAGCGCTGAGCCCACCACTCCTCCAGGTCGATGGGCACAAAGTCTGCGAGGAAACAAAGAAGAATTCTGCTAATAAATCATAGATTAGAAACATGAACATCAGGTCAAAAACATCTGGACAACCAAAACCATGTAGGAGGAGACTCAAAGATGGCGTTTAATAACGTTGTTATAACTCCCGTATTGAACAAAACGCCGTGTGGACATAAATCTAATGATTCAAAAAGTGAAATAACTGAAACAAAGACATTTAAATCACCGGAGAATCTTTATCGTCTGATTCTGAAAACTCTGCAGATGCGTGTGCGCGTTGCAGGGATCAGTCCGGGCCGGTTGATCTGGAACAGACCGGTTCACGTCGACTCCAGAAGAGTTAAAAGCTAACTATTACAACAGCAGGTTTGTGATTCCCACAGAGAGCAGACATTCAGCTTTCCTCTTGTACTCTAAGTAATGTTGAATAATAAAAACAAGGTGCTGTGACCTTTGATTGATCAAAGGATCAAAGAGGTTTATCTGATGCCATAAAAAGCCTGAGATAAGAAGTTTAACTTTAAAGGACCAATCAGTGAGACCTTACAATATCATTATACATTAAAGGAGCAGTCTGTAGCTCTGACACCTAGTGTTTAAAGTGGGTACTGCAGTCTAAATTCTAATCACTAATCTAAGCACTTCAACATAGCATGTTTCCTTAATGTCTGATCATATGGTAAGGTCACTTTATCATTTCACTCACTACACAGCTCTCTCCGATGTTTTGAATTTTAACTGCAGTACCCATTTTAACCACTAGGTGTCAGAGTTACATGTGTAGGTATACTTACTCTTCATCGCAGCACTGGGAGTCTTCTCAGAGTACTGAACCGGCCCCTGGCTCTCAGTTGACCCCACACCGTCTCCGTCCCCCAGCTGCTGCTCCACCTCCTGCCACGCTGCAACAAAACAAACACACATCATGCACGCTGCATGAGCTTCAGTGCCAACATGCTCATCGCTTCTTTAACGCGTGATAAATCATTTTCACACATGGCGGCGTCCTGACAAGGGGGGGGTAGGGAGGGGCCTGACTGCTGCGGCTGTTTATCTGCTGGGGGTGAAAGTTTTACAGCTTCCGTGATAAGCCTCAAGGTTTCGGCTCGCCTTGAACGCAGACTTTCAGCCACACACTGACAGAGCCTGTAGTGGGACTTCAGTGTTTGGACGCCCAATAAGAACAACACGTGGGGTTAACGTCGTCATGACACCAGAAGAAAGACCGACTAAATCAAACCTGTTTCAGTCAGAATCAGAAATATGTTATCGATCCTCAGTCGGAACAGGGGACACAAACACTCCTGAAGTGTTCAGTCTGAGCGGCGTGTGTGAACACAAACAGCTGAATGTTTCTCTCTCCACCCGGAGTTTCTCCTCCAGCCTCCTCGTATTTATTTTGCAGAAAGTCAGAGCGAGCTGATGTGAGAACGCAGCAGGAAATAATCAGGAGAATTCACCTGGAGCGAGCGGTCCTCCTATAAAAATGTGCAGCTCATCTCGGCTCTCAGAGTTTGTGGAAAGCTTAGAGGATAACTTGAAATGAATGATTAGCTCAATAAAGTAACAGAGATCAGAGAGTAGATAATAAGTACTAGAAGGTTTAGAACATTTTGTTATGGACCAATGAGGATGCAGGGAACCAGCTTGTCCGACTCTTTCAGGTCGAGAGATTGGACTTAACACTCTTCATGTAGTTCAAACTGACCCAGAGTAGAATCTGTGTTTATATACGAAGCCTGAGTGATGCCCAGCGCCCCCTGTTCCTGCAGGGGGCGCTGGAGTCCCATCGATGGCGGTCTCCATGCTGGAAATGCTGTCTCAGCCTAACTTTCAGTCAACCTAACGACAGGCTGAGAGCTGGAGCTGAGGTGGGTTTGAAGCCTCCTGACAAACCGTTACATCACACCCACTTGTCAATCAGGTCAGCTACACACCTTATTGTGAATAACTCTTATCCTTCATCAAATCAAAACTGATGAGTCATTAAAACATTCACCCCCCCGTACAGTGTGTGTCGATCGAGACATGAGCTAATTAGACCTGTTTGGTTTTTTGAACCAGGCTGTAAACATGTTAATCTCTGCTGTAAAAACAGGCTTTTTAGAATGGGTGTGTATGTGACTTCCTGTGCTTTTGCAGCCAGCCTCTAGTGGACACTCGAGGAACTGCAGGACTTTACACTTCTTCACTGGAGGTTGCTGCTTTGTGTCTTTGTGTTGAAATATTCTCTCTGGGATTGTGTTCAGTTTTATATTTCGGTCCACATCAGAAGGTTTAATGTTTGAATTATTTATTTTTGTGACATTTTAACAGCAGAAACTGAGCAGGAAAAAATACAAACACTCTAAGAAAAACAACCTCAGCGGGTCATTAAAGGATTAAACAGATGAAATGTAAAAAAGTTTTGCGTTGGTGTACCGAGCATGCAGTCTCACCTTCAAACACAAATCTGACGTTCTCTTCGTGTGCAGGAGTGAAGCCCTCTGCGGCGTCCGCAGGCTTCTGTGTGGCTGCACCGTGGTAACGCTTTCCATTCAGACGGTTGAAGACGATCTTTGGAGGCGGCGAGCTGCGAGGGATCAGACAGAGTTCATGAAGAGGGTCAGCTCAGGTAATGAGACCGCCAGCACCAATCAGTTAAGTCTCTCAGTGATGAGGACGTTCACTCACATCACTCCTCGCTACTCTCGCTCCCCGCCACTTTTAACGCTCGACCCACATTACATCATCTCTGAGACGCTGTCCACCAAGAGCCATCATGCCACCTTACATCCTCCTGTTCATATTTCTGCTTTAAAGAAGATTCTTCAGTTTGGCGAGAAACAAACCATCACACCGTCATAACGGTCGTCTCTAAAGGTCGTCAACAGATTGATGACATCACACCTTCATGTTCAGATCTTCACTGACCACAACACGCTGACGTTTTTTTTCTCCTCAATGAAGGACAACCCAAGTTTCACTGTCATGTTTCTCCTCGCTAACTGGCATCATAAAAACAAACTTTATACTTCTTTTCTTGTTGTTTAACGGCAGATAACCAGCGTTATGGTGCAATGTCGCCACCTACTGGCACCTACTGAGTATGAATAAACTCTACCACATGTTCCTTCAAATAAAAGCGAAGACTTTTTGCTACAATTTTTTTTTTCCCTTGGCACAAGTCAACCACCCACTAAAAACCACTTCACGACCCCGTTTGGGTCCCCACCCACCAGTTAAGAACCAAGGACTTAAAGGAGTGATTCTCTCTGCTACTTTTAATTAAATGAGATACTGGAGTTTAATTATTCGACATATTGCGTCTTTAAGGTGAAATTTTAATTAGAAGTGGGAGGAGCGACTTGCACAGGGCGAGGACGCTTTCTTCTTGGACTCTATCAGACATCGACGTCTTAAACACACAAACACACTTTGTGTTCTTATCTCCGTCTTCGATCTTTCATGTTGTTTGTTCCTCTTTATAAATATGAACACTGACTTTAAAAAGACTCAGATCTGTTTAACTGTTCTGGTTCATCTTGGAAAATAATGCCAACTAAGCACTTTTCTTTAACAGTGGTATTTCCGAGCAGCTCCTGAAGGCAGCACGGGCTAACAGTTTCCCCGCAGGGCAGGTGGGGTCACAGTGTCTCCACTAACCGTTAACAGAAAACAACAGCCCCGTCAGGAGAGGAGCTCCAGGTTATCACAAGGTCACATGGACGAGGAAAAAATGCGTCCGATAATGGAACCGTCACCCCAAGTCACACCGACGATATATGAGAGCACCCACGGCGCACGTGCAGAGTACTTTAAACCCACGCTGCTCAAACAGATAGGGAACATTATTTTACATCAAAAACATCACGTTTAAAGCATTGTACTCACTTTGCAGAGAGCCAAGACGTCGGCTTGAGCTTCAGGTCGCTAAATTTGCTCTCGACTTGTTGTGTGGGACCTTTAAGACAAGAATCGGGGTTAAATAGTTCCATACGCTCACCTTTAATCAGGTGTGCGTGTTTACACTGTGATACAAACAAAGCGTGTCTCCTGTCACAGAGACATGCTCAGCGTGATGTTACATTGCATCATGTTTCAGACACATGAGACGCGTTCACTGACCTGTCCTCCGCTGTGTAACGAGTTTGCTGGGACCTCTGGTGATTGTGTACATCATGTGAACAACAGCAACCTCAAGAACTGATCTGGAGTCTGTGTGTCTAATTAATGAGCAGGTGTAGAGACTGTGCTCTCTGCCACTTCCACTCCTCTGTCCGCTCCTCCTGACGCAGCCACGTTGGAGAAACTAAACCAGCAGCAGCAGCGTCGTGTTTTTCTTGCCCGGGTCAGGTGCTCCAGAGTCGCCTGACTCCTGCAGGAGACTCGCTGTGACTCGTCGACTTGTTGCCCGGTGTTTGTTAACGACGTGCTCCGCTGCTCCTCTTGACCTGCCAGGTGTTCAGGTCTAATGAAGCGACGTCCGCTGCTCCTGTGAGTGGTTGCGTGTAGGTCATCCAAGGAGACAGCGGCTCCACATGCCGGGGATCGGTCAGTCAGAGGGGGGGCACTGCGGTACCTGACGTCCGGGGACAATGACACTCCAGGCCGGACACTGTGTCCTCTGTGTTCCGCTGATGCTCTGGGACCGAATGCAACACCTCCACAAGGACACTGCACACTTTGATATTTTCATCAGGACGGAAAGCTACCCTGCTGGGCATGTGTCAAGGTACACAGAATGAAGACGAGAACTTCCGGTCATCACCTTCAAAATAAAAGAACCCCTTTTCGTTTGTCTACTTTATTGCAATGGGGGGTTCCTTCAGAACTCTCTAAATTAAATGATGTTATCAACATGTGATTAGTCCACTCCATCTGTTTCCTTAACCTGATCACTCCAGCTTATTATGATTTCCTCTTAGGCGGCAGTAGCTCAGCCTGTAAGGACTTGGGTTGAGAACCAGAGGGTTGCTGGGTCAAGTCCTAAGTGGTCTGGAAGCTGGAGAGGTGCCAGTTCACTTCCTGAGTACTTCTGAGGGGTCCTTAATTAAGTCGCTGAAACCCCAACTGTTTGGTTCTCTTTAATTCAGGAGCGTAAAAAAAAATAATTGGTGCTGACCTGCCCTCCATCCAGGACTTATACTGGTCCAGGGCAGACCCCTCACACCTGGATACAAACTGTTTAAACCCTCTCCCTTAATGTAGGCATTACAGACCACTGCACGCCGAAACAACCCGACTGAAGAGCAGGTTCTTCCCCCTGGCTGTCACCCTGATGAACTCTGAACAGTCAGAGAAAGTTTTTAGATTTCCATTTTCTAAAGTATAACGGCTCGCTGCATGTGTGATTAGGTCAAAGGTCAAAACCTCACAATCATGTTTTTCTTACGTGTGACTCAATAAATTAATTTCAGACGCCAGGATTCTGATTGTTCATGTTGCTCTACTTTCTTTAACTTTTACTTTGAAGTAAGGGCTTCCTGATTTCCGGTCTCGTTGTTTGTGTTTACCTCTGCTCGGACTGCTTTACGGAGCGGGGCAACCCCCCTCCGTGACGTCACAACACGCCCCTCAGACGGGACTGAGGAGGAGGGGGAGGAGCGATCACCTTTCACCTATTAAAGCACGCGCGGTGTTTACAGTAATGAAGCAGTACTGATGACGTAGAGCTGCTCACAGATCTGATGTGTAGCATATAAATAAACAAATAATCAATAAGTGTAAAGACCTGCAGCTTATTCAACACCATGCAGACACGTCACAGGTGCAGATCACCTGACCGTCTCTGCACCGGGAACCGACAGCAGGTGTTCGGTCACCGGGGATCAGCCGGGACAAGACGCAGATCAGACAGGCTTACCCGCGCTGATATCCCACCCTACACCCCCCCCCCCCTTTCTGAACCTTCACCTGATTGATCACCTGAAGAGACCAATCATCACCGACTTCACAGACTTCAGTTCCACACACTAAAACATAGTTATTATGTTGTGCGCAGATTTTTTGTTGTTTAATTTTTGGGACTTCAGGGGCTCCGTAGTATCTCCCAGCATGCATTGCATCCTTTAGGGTTTCATTCATTAATATTTACAGTCTATGGTTTCATTACAACACTTCCCTCTTTCATTTAAAAGATCATGGACCAACTTTTCAAACCTTTTAACAACTATTTATTGTCTTCTTTCATGATTTACAAACTGAGCAGTAGTTATTCACATGTTGTAAACATTAGTAACGAGTCTTATCTTTGAATAAATAAACAGAGGCGCTGCTCGGGGGCCCCAGGACAGTAAGGGGCCCAAGGTGCAGCCTCTGTACAAGGGGCACGCACACTAACCACGAGGATATCGGTACAAATCATATTTATATTATGCAGAATGAGGTTAGTGTGCTGTTTATCAATCTTAACTTTACAAATGTTGAAACATGAAGTGTAAAATCCTGCAGTTCCTCGAGTGTCCACTAGAGGCTGGCCGCAGAAGCACAGGAAGTCACATACACACCCATTCTAAAAAGCTTATTACAGTGAATCTTTTTTACAGAATCAGAGTAGCTTCCTGTGCGTTATGCTCATCCACCTTCTCTCACAGTCGACCACATGTTGAGGTTTTTCAGCTTAATGATGCTTCGAAGGAGGAGGTGTGAAAACAGGCCAGGAGGTGTGAAAACAGCTGATGTGTCTTTGAAGTGAAGAACCTGGTGCTTCACTTCAAAGACACATCAGCTGTTTTCACACCTTCTCCTTCACCTGAGCTCTTCCTGCAGCTACACGTCTGCAGTGTGAACCATCTCTACCGCATGTGACGTGTTGGGGGTCACACCTCGCCATTGTCTGGGAGCCTCTGCTGCTGCCGCCTCGTGTGTTTGAAGTCAGTTTTTATGATCAGCTGATAGAAAACACTCAACATGTTCACTCCTTGACTTCTCACTCAGTAACCTCGTAGTTTGGTTTGAAAGAAAAACAAGTCAGCACACAGACTTTGTGTCCTCAGAGAGACGTCTTAACGAGAGTCATCAAAACATTCAGCCTCCGTACAGTGTGTGTCGATCGAGACATGAGCTAATCAGACCTATTTGTTTTTTTGAACCAGGCTGTAAACATGTTACTCTGCTGTGAAAACAGGCTTTTTAGAATGGGTGTGTATGTGACTTCCTGTGCTTCTGCAGCCAGCCTCTAGTGGACACTCGAGGAACTGCAGGATTTCACACTTCACACATCCGTTTCATTTTTCAACATCGGAGGTTGCTGCTTGTTCTCAACACAGTAACATGAATGATAAACTGTTCTCTCAAAGTGAGGGGGAGTCGATGTGAAGAGGGCAGGATGGCTGTGACATCACAGCGTCTGGATGATGAGTCAGCAGCATTTAGGACCACTTGGAGGCGGTTCATGGATGTGACGCTAAGACATGTCAATCAATCAATCCAACCTTTATTCATTCTCCAAAGGACGTCCAGGTTACAATCACATTTAAAACAAGCAGAACAGAATATTTACGCTCAGCGCTGTTCTCCCGCGCTGACTCAGCTGACCCCGTCTCACCTCGGATAAGACTTCTGAAGACAGGACAGAGGGGGGTCACTTCATCCCCTCCATTACGCCTCAAGGACATTCAGAGAAACGTTACAGGGGCGTAAATATCACAGCCCCCCCCAGATAAATCCTCAGAATCAGACGTCAGTGTTAAACAGAGAATGTGCACATACAGATATCACCTCTTACATCATGAGTGATGTTCTGAAATGTTCATATATTTATCTTCTTAAAGACACAGCGCGTCTCAGTAATGAGGTTCACAGTCTTCCAGCAGGCTGTCTGTGATGTAGTTTACTTTCAGCAGCTCCTGGTAATACTCCTTCTCCACCTGAGTGTTGACCGTCCAGGCCACCACCTCCACCCCCCTCTGGGACCAGTACTGGATGTAGTCCCTGCAGAGCACAAAGCACACCGTCACACTTATTCTCTGCTAAAGCAGCTCTGCTTCAGGAAGTGAGCGTCACTCAGTGTGGCTGCAGGTAACGTGAAGGCTGTCGGAGGCATTCAAACCCGTTTCAACCAACAAATCAGGTTTGGTTTAGTACAGTACGGTACAGTAAACCCTGATCTGGCTTACATTCCCACAGCCAACCGCACCCTAAAACATCACTAAATCACAACGTAGTGTAGACGCCAGTAAATTCAACAAAGAAGAAGAACGCGACACAGTGAACTAAGATCAATGTTTCATCACGGAGGTCGTCCATGGAGTGGTGCTACGGGCTGAAAAGAAAAGAAAAACAGCCTTGAACTTATTCTCTCCAAGTCCACAGGATATTTAAACATCGTGCCTTTTGTGTTTGTCCTTTACTACAGGAAGTGAAGATTCTTTTGACCAATCGACGGACTGCAGTGGGTTCGATTGGTCCGACAGAAGTGCGCCAAAAAAGTGGGATGGTACAGATCGGTCATTTTGTTATCATTCAACTTTTGACTGTGGAAACACTAATAAATGTGTACCATACTGAAGTGAACCGGACCGGACCAGACCAGACCAGCGGGACCGCCTGGTGGAAACGGGGCTGAAGAGGCTGAAACAAGGAGCTAGTGACTCACAGTGACACAAAGTTCTTCTGTATGAGGAAGGCAGAGATGCCACACAGCTTCCACAGGATGTGATGGTGCGCCCAGTCCAACGCCATGTCCATCAGGGTCATCCAGTGGTGTTTCCACGGCGACGAGAAACGCGGAGCACCATCTCCCAACCGGCTCAGGCTCCAGGGCCGGTGGGTCAGCGCCGTGACCACTTCAGGGTCGCTCTGTCTCATCTGGAGTGGAGCAGAGACGGGCATGGTTACAGTCCCACCCCCCACTGTGAGGTGCATCTATAAACTAGATTTTGGGGTGCAGACTGCTCTAAGACATTTTCTAGAAATGTTCAGAAGTACACGTGTGTCAAAAAAACTGGACAAACACGCTGAAACACTCGCTCACCCTGTAGATGACTTTGGGCTCAAAGGAGCACACGATGCTGCTGTTGTAGAGGACTGGATGTTTTTTATACAACGCTTTGAGGGCTGCGGCCGCCTGGGGGAGGAGCATAACACACATCATTACTGTGGGACAGTCAAGTGTTCAGAGTGTGTGTGTCTCTGTGTGTGTGTGTGTGTGTGTGTGTGTGTGTGTTCCTGCCTGAAACAACAACCCCGGCTGCAGCTCTGCTGGAACAATGTGCTGAGTCAGGATCCACTCATCCAGCAGTTTGAAGAACACTCATAACTTAAAAATGTTCAACTAAAAAGATGTGTATGCTACACATACTGTCGTCTCTGCCTCAAACATTTAGCAGTGATGATGCAACTTATTACCACCGAGCAAACAAAGTGTGTGTGTGTGTGGCAGCGTCCCCAGAGTGATAGCAGCAGGAGAATGTGTGTGTGTGGCACAGAAACAGGTGTTGTTGTTCTGGTCGTTACCTCGTCTGGATGACCTTTGACATCAAAGTAGACGGTGAGCTGCAACCTGATGCATTCCTGCACAGCCTCGTCCAGAGTCGGGATCTTCTCTCCAGCAAACGTTTCTCTGATGAAGAAGGAAATGTTAGAGCTCTGTCCGTGTTTCAGCGTGTCCTTCAGACGTGTGAGCTCTGTGTGTGGGGAACGCTGCTTTCACAGCGCTCTGTGTTTCATTGACCGTGCAGCACCTTTTTTTTTAAAAATGTGCATTATAAATACATTTTTCAATCCCTGCATCACGTCTGGTTTGGACGTGCGTGCAATGTGCTCCATCAGTTTGTTTCTGCACCTTCTCTCTCTCTCTTACCTCAGTCGGTGTTTAGCAGCGGCGTCCAGTTTTCCCAACTCGGACAGCATCATCTGGCTGAGTGGTCCTGACCCGTTGGTGGTCCGGTCGACGGTGTCATCGTGCATCAGTATCGGGACGCCATCAGCTGAGAACTCCAGGTCCAGCTCCACGCCTGTGGCCCCGTTCTTACTGGCCTACAGAACGACAGACGAAGCAGGAGGTTGTTTGTGTCTCAGGAGGATCTCGTTAATTCAAATGTTTGAACCCTTCTTTGGACTTCGTTAGGGACCTCCACCTGGACTGTCTTTAAAAACCGATGGGTAAAAGGAAACACCAGAACTTTTAAATGTTTTAGCATATAGTGAAATGAAGATTTGACCTTCAGGGCCACCGTACCAGTGGACAAAGGTTGTAGATTCAACTTTATTATAAATTAAATTAACTCTCTGTCATCTTTCAGATGTAACAACACTCTTCAGTTTTATCAGGGATGAAAATGAGGGATACCCTCCACCCCCTCGCCCCTCTTACCTCCCGGATAGATGCTATCGTGTTCTCCGGAGCGTCGTGCCCACCGCCCCGGTGAGCGACCACCGATACCTGGCCGGAGCCCGTCGAGCCACTTGCGGGGTGCAGAACCTGCCGGGCTCGGCTTTGCGGTACCTGCGGGAACCGGAACATGGCCACAAAGAGGTAGAGGGAGGCGGTGAGTGCGGTCGTCCACAGCGGGCTCCGGGTCCCCAGCAGGACCAGGACGAAGACCACCGAGTACAGGGTGACTTCATCCCCGAGCTGCAGCATCGTGGTCCCCCGGTGTACCTCAGGTGAGGTGTGTCAGAGAACCAGTCCAGAACACCTGGAGACAAATGAGACTCTTCCTCAGTTAGCTCCCGTTAGCTCCCCCTCCGGCTACGTGAACTACCCTGAAACACCCTGAAGGTCTGCGGGATATCATATCCCGGATATGATCATACTCCACCTAATGTGAGAACATTAGATAAGTAAACCCACAGGCCCAGGACAACCTGCTTCAGGTCTGCTCAGGAGAATCACGTGACGTCTGCTTTCAGGTCTCTTTCTTCTTCTTCTTTGGTGAAGCAGACTAAACGCATCACTGGTGTGTTGCTGCCCTCTGCTGTCCACTGTTCAAATTTTTGTCAGATTTTTAAATGTTCTGATACAGTCCTGTGCTGTGCAGATGTTCCAACAGTTTCTTCATCTTATTCCAGATTAAACAAAGTGTGCACAGTGAAGACGGTTTCTCCTGCTCATCCCAGAGCGGTTTCCTTCTTTGGAGAGCGTCATTCTTCTGTTGTACAGTTTAAACGCTGCCACACATTTTTCATCAGGGTGTTTTCCTGTCAGAGCCAGCCCACTCCTCAGCCTTCAGTTATCAGGCCTGCTCGTGGTACAGTCTTTAAATGTACTATGGGAGGTAGAGCCTTCAGTTATCAGGCCCATCTCCTTTGGAATCATCTACCAGTCAGGTTTAGATTGTAATAAACTTGTATGTTATGATATTTCTATATTGTTTTATGATTTCTTTTTTTTGGTATTCATATTTTTATTTTTATTTTTATTTTTATTTTTATTTTAATTTAATTTAATTTAATTTAATTTAATTTAATTTAATTTAATTTAATTTAATTTAATTGTATTTATTTAATTGTATTTTATTTAAATAATTTCTTTGGAGTGGGATTGGGTTTATTATAATTATTATTATTATTATTAATAATCAATTAATTTCTTTCTAGAATGTAACCGGAAATACATGAAGCCCTGCAGTTGCACTCTCCGTTACAGTAGGTGGCGTTGTGTACCTTTACACGTTGGTTGATAACTGCCATTAAACTACAGAAGAAGAAGATTATGCTAGCAGTTAGCACCGGTTAGCCCTCACCTACCTATCTTTGAGAAGCAGTTCCTTTATGTTTGCTTTATATGAACTTCGTCTCTTGACATGGTGAGTGTGTTTCATGCTCTAACTGTCCTACAAGAGATCAAAATAATGATTAAAGTTTATTTACCGACAGTCTGACCGCTGGCTGTCCTGATGAATGACAGCTGCTATATTTAAATTAAAACCTTTAGACCAACAGAAATATAGATATAATTATATTAATTAATGCCTCGCTTCCTAATAAAGCGGGGTCTGTTTTTGCTTTTTAACTGAGCAGCCTTTTTTGTGTGTAAAAAAAATACTTTTTTATTAAAATACATTTTACTTCCTGTATGAAAACCCTGGAACATGTTTGTTGTTGATCTGTCAAATAGACTGTTTAAGATATTATTAATTATAGTCTATGGCACACAGCGGTCCCCAACCGGTTTTGGCTTGTGACCCCAGTTTGACTTTTTACTCTGGGGACCCCAGACATCCAAAACACAAACAGCTTACTGTTAAAAATATTAAAAGTCCAGTCATGTGATAGTAAACATTTATCTTGTGTAGGCTGTTTCAGGTATATTATTGTGGCTGGGGCAGAAAGGCCGGGGTGAGATCTGTGCCCAAAGGGAGGATTTAGTTTTTCTCTGTGTACGATGTATGACCACGGGTGGAAGTTAGTGCTGGACCATGAGACCTGGATCAGAGACAGACTGTCATACAGCCAGGCTGTTAGTTATTAGCATAAGCTACGGCCCACAGTAGTCCATACTAAACTGGAAAACGTCTTGCGACCCCATTCTGGTCCCCAGAATAGGAAAGCCTGGCTGCTGCTCGACCCAGAAGACGTTACAGGACTGTGAGTGTGCTGACGTCTAATTCATGTTTTACTACAGATCAGATCAGCAGCGCTGCGCAGGCTAACCTCCCACATCCTGTGCTGTACCGGAGGATCATGTCTGGTCCCAGGTCGGATATCTTCCGGGGTGCACCCCCATTCACCGAGTCACACTCCCGTCCTGCAGGTCCTCCATGGACCCCCTACCACACCTCAAACCCTAGGCCTGCTAAGGTATTCGGACTTATCCACACAGAAGTACACTATGATTTACACCCTGCCACACATCAAACTCCTCCGAGCCGTGTCCAGACTCAAACTGCTTCAAACGGCGTTCACCGCGCTCATTTTGCCCCCCGTGTTCGCCCTCTACCTCCACGGAGACGCCCCCCTCTTTCTTTTAAGCTACACCACCGGGATAGCACTGTTCGCAGGTGTCATGCTCTACACCGCCAGTCACCTTTTCAGGAGGGTTGTCGGGATGATGTACCTGGACCCGTCCCAGACCACTCTAAAAGTCAGCCACCTCACTTTCTGGGGCAGGCGCAGTGACATCATCGTGCCTGTGTCGGATGTTATGACCATCGCCGATACAGGGGACTCACGCAACGAGGTCATATTGAAGCTGAAGAGATACAGCGATCCACAGACGTTCTATTTCTCCACTCATTATGGACGTGTGGTGGACAAACAGGGATTTGAGAAGGTGTTTGGGACTTTAAAATAATCTTTAGTGAAAAACTGAGTATTTAGAGTGTTGTTTATGACGTACAGTCCACTGCCCGTCGTGTTTCACCACAAATGATGACTCATTATTATTTTCTCTCTAAAGGACGCTTTCAGAAGGAAATATCAAATATCTAAAGAGTACTCTCATTTCTTCTGTTCAGACACTCTGAGACGTTATGTGTGAAGAAGAAAATAAAAGTGAACAATGTGAACTTGGTACAAGTGACGCTGTGTGAATGAATCGGACATATATACTCTTTATTTATTTCAAACTGAGAAAACTAGAGTGCACATCCGAGCAGAATGCAAACAGCTGCAGGACAAAAAATGAAAAGAGAGAAAGGTCGTCACACTGTTCGGTGCCGACCTTCACTCTCTGATCCTTCATCAAGAGGTGACGACGAGATGTTTGATACAAAAGAAGATTTGAATAATTATTATAATTATAATTTTGAATAATTGAAACTGACAAACTACTTTCTCTGACAAAAACTGGAAAATCTGAAACTTTAAAGTCAAATTTGTAGACTTGTACTAAAAGAGCATAAAGAGCTGGCCGGTCTGATCTCCTCAGGGAGGTCGGGGGGGGGGTCCTAATAGAGAAGGACCTGGTCACTTTCGGTCCTCAGCCTCGGTTGAGGAATGGGGAGCGGAGCTTCTGGCTGAGGGACTTGGGTTATGGCCGGGCATGAAAGGAGTGAGGAGATCAGATAAATACTTTGGTACGAGTCCAGAGCGTCGTAAAAGGATTCTCCTGGAGCTCTTTAGAGATCTGCTCCCTGAGAACTGGCCTCTGCATGTCCACCTGCAGCTTAGGAGGCAGCCAGGTTGTAATACTCAAGCTCGATGTTCTCCTGGACGGCTGGCTGCTGCCCCCTGGTGGCCTAGAGAGACATGACATCATTCAAGTCACAGTGCTACATTGAGTACAGATCCTCTCCAACACGTGCACTGACCTTTCTGCTGTAACAGATAGCCGTCAGAAGCGATGCTACAGTCAGCAGCACGCCAACGAGCCTCACCAGGAAGACTTTTGGAGATGAAACAGATTCATCACATGAAGTCAGAGAATAAAAGATTTAAGAAGCTTTATGAAAGATGAAAGAATCAGTGATGTCCTGGAAACAGATAATCTCATGTTTTTTTTTAAATAAATCTCTTTAATATAAAACTTTCATGTTAGTAAAGTTAATGCTACACACACCTGTCTGATACAGCGCCATGTCATCAGGGACAGAAACATCGTCATTCTCTTAGGAATTATAACGAGGGAGAACATCATGGAGAACACCAAACAGAAAGTGTGCAATGTGGTCGACTGTTTTCTGAATGAAATCGTGTAGTGAGCTGGTAAGAGCCTCCTTGGTGCTGATGGGTAATTTAGTTCCGTATTGTGACATTTAGTGTAGAAAAAACAGACATTATATCTGTCAGCATCAACGAGGTAATCTCCATTAAGGTCTGAAATGAATGCATTAAAGGTCCCACATTCTGTAAAATCCACTTCTCCATGTTCCTCTAACTCTAACATGTGTCTCTAGTCTGTCTACAAACCCCCCAATGATGAGAAAAGTCCATCCTCTCCATCTTTTGCCTGCTCCACTTTTCAGAAAATGTGTGCTCAACCAGGCCGTTTGGAGATGTTCCCTTTATGACATCACAAAGGGCAGTAGCCCCTCCCCCAGGTGGGTGACACTCCCACAGCTAGGTGTTTGTTCTGCCCTCTGAGTCTGCCTTCTCACCGTAAACAACAGGACATGGAGCGAGAAAGCCCGAGACACCCAAGTCCTTCCAGAGAGGGGGAGTGGTCAGACACAGCTCATTTACATATTTAAAGGTACAGAAACAGCCTGTTCTGATCAGGGCTGAAATAGAGGGGTTTATAGGCATGATCAAATACAGGATCACAGTGGATTTAGAACAAGAAACTTCACACATGTTTTGAGGAGCTCTGAGACTTATTTACACTGATTAATCCCATGCTGTTTTGTACCTTCAGGCTTACCGTAGGTGGTCGTCTTCAGTGTCTCCCTGTAGTCTCAGTGATGTAAAAGAAGGACACTGCTGCTTCTTTTTAATGTGTTATTTCAATTTAAAAATTGGTAACAAAGGGCTCTAGTTTGATGTTTATTATTTTGTGAGGATAAAACAGGGTGTGCTTTCCTGTGATTGGCTGTTGCTGTGTCTTACTGTGTCTACTCTTACCTGAGCAGGTGATCTTCAGGCTGGAGTGGCCGCGTTTCATCGTTAAACTGACATTAACAGGCACTGAAAAGAGATGAGACAAAGTGTGTAGTTACTGTCATGACCACAGAGCCAATCTAAGCTACATCTCTAGTTTTTTTTTACTTGAGCAGTCAAGTTTGACAAATGAGCAGGTTTCCCCCTTTGACTCATCAGTGTCACAGTCCAGCAGAGTCGTCTCGTTTCCTCTGCACTTGAACTCTTTTCTTCCTTTTGGAGGGTTTTTACTTTCATAGGGCTCCCACAGGAATTTCAGCAGATCCCCACAGCTGATCTCTCTGCAGACCACCTCTGCATCCTGCCAGTCAAAACCACCTTTACAGACTGAGGACCAGGACTGATTGGATCTCACCTCCAGTCTGCCTGAGCACATCGAGCTCCCGCTCACCAGCCTGACAGACTCTGCAGATGGAGAAGAGAGCTAGCTGTGTGAAGTCCATTCTGTCCTATTAACCATTGTGCGGTTCTTATTTTACTGTATCAGGGTTTCGTCAGTGATAGTACCTGAGCAGATGATCTCCAAGCTGGACGTGGAATTCTGGACCCTCATTGGTCCACTGGGAGGCGTTATCTTCCACACAGGTCTTGCTGAGGGACTGTGTTGAATTCTTGTTGACAAAGCAGATCCACAGTCCAGGTTTTGGCACACCGCCACCGCTGTTCTCAAGTTCCAGTCAAAATGATGGTCGCCCACTGGTGTCCAATCATTGATGAGTTTTATTTCCAGTCCTCCAGCACAGGAGGACTGGCTCCTCCCATCAGCCGGATATTACAAGAATCTGAGGGGAAACATGTCAACTTTACTACACAGAACATCAAATCAGAGACAGGGTTTATCTTAGTCCGCCTGTGTTACCTGTCGAGCGATTCTCTTCAGCTTGGAGTTCTCCTGAGGAAAAGAAACTTCACTTCAATAACACTCCATGTTTGATAGTGTTACACTACAGTGCTTACTGATTGGTCCTTTCAAACTCACTCACACACACACACACACACTCAGACAAGCTGACACAGACACACTCACACACACACACACACACTCACTCACTCACTCACACACTCACACACACACACAGACACACGCACACTCACACACACTCAAGCTGACAGACACACGCACACGCACACGCACACGCACACACACACACACACACACACACACACACACACACACAGACACACAGAAAGACACAGACACACTCACACACAGACACACACACAGACACACTCACACACACACACACACACAAGCTGACAGACACACGCACACACACACACACACAGACACACGCACACTCACACACAAGCTGACAGACACGCACACACACACACACACAGACACACGCACACTCACACACAAGCTGACAGACACACGCACACACACACACACACACACACACACACACACACACACACACTGACACAGACACACTCACACACACACACTGACACACACACAAACTCTCACACTCTCACACACACACTGACACAGACACACACACAAACACACTCAGATAACTGAACTCCTTCTTCTAGTAGTCTGACTCTGGCCCTGTAACTCTGAAGTCTACTTGTTAAGGCGGTCCTACCAGAGCTCCACGCCAACACGACCACTACTGTCAGGATGTTCATCATGTTCTGGGAGTTTGTCGTCTTGTCCTCTCTGCCGCCCCTCCGTGCATCTGAATGTTTGAGTCCTCTGCTGCTTAGACTCTGTCCTCTGACTGGTTTTTACTGTTCTGCTTTGTTCTGGTTGACTCGGGACGTTTCTGGGCGGAGCTGGTGTGTTTCCTCCAGCCAATGACAGCGCAGCAGGTGCGTTTAGGAGAGGATACAACTCAGTGATTGGACGCCATTCAAACTGGTGAATATGACGGACGTGGACGTAGCATCAAAGAAGAGAAAATATAATCAGTGAGGAGAAACACCAAGCGGATAAAGCTCGTTCTAAAACAAGGGTGAACCTTGTGTTGGTTTTTACCCGTGGACGTGGAGTTGGTCTACTTCCTGTTGGACAGGCAGGTGATAAAACACCAGCGGTTAGCTTGTGCTAGTGTGCGTTAGCTTGCAGTGTAGCTACAAGCAGTAAACATACACACTATGTCCTGCAGGGGGCGGGGCTTCTGGGAGGAGGAGGAGCCCAGTTTGAATGTTTACAAACATTTCTACTGACTCATTTAGAGACAGGAAAGTGGATAGAGTTGGAGAGAGAGCGGGGGATGATGTGCAGGAAAGTAGCCACAGTTTGGACTTGAACTCGGGTTGCCCGCTTGGAGGACTATAGCCTCTGTACATTAGGCGTGACCTAACCGCTCGGCAATCTGCACCCCATCTTAGCTTAGTGGTGGGAATTCCAGGTCCTTTTAGTGATCTGGATCATTTGAAAAGGTCGGTAATCAAAGCCGACTCTTGTGACCTCTAAAGGTCACATATCCTCCTCCTCTTCTTCAGTGTAAATAAGTCTCAGAGCTCCTCAAAACATGTGTGTGAAGTTTCTTTTTTTTTTTTAAAGATTTATTTTGGGCTTTTTGTGCCTTTAATGCAGAGGGAGGACAGTGGATAGAGTTGGAAACCAGGGAGAGAGAGCGGGGAATGACACGCGGAAAGAGGCCACGTCGAAGCGAACCCGGGCCTGCCGCTTGATACGAGAGTCTCAGTACATGGGACGCGCGCCCTAACCATTGCACCAACAGCGCGCCCCAATGTGTATGAAGTTTCTTGTTCTAAATCCACTCTGATCCTGTATTTGATCATGCCTATAAACCCCTCTATTTCAGCCCTGCTCAGAACAGGCTGTTTCTGTGTCTGTACCTTTTAATGTAAATGAGCTGTGTCTGACCACGCCCCCTCTCTGGAAGGGCTTGGGTGTACTCTGTCTTTCTTGCTCCATGACCTATTGTTTACTGTGAGAAGGCAGACTCAGAGGGGAGAACAAACACCTAGCTGTGGGAGTGTCACCCACCTGGGGGAGGAGTTACTGCTCTTTGTGATGTCATGAAGGG